ACTAGCCTTAGAGGGCGCTTCGCGCCCATCTTCTAAATTAATTGTGAACATGTTCTCTTTGTGTACATCGTAAAACAAAACAAAAATAATTCGCGGATTTTCACAAAAAATTTCGTGGATTTTCAAAATTTTCAAAAATTTAATGAAGATCGAATTTTGATGGAGACAAATATTTGAAATTTTGATCATTCATAAACCTTCCCTGTGCAGTGGTCACGTGATGTCCCACAAAAAATTTGGGCCCGATCGGTTCAGCCGTTTTGACGTTTATTGGATACAAACACACAGATAAACAAACAAACAAACAGACAGACAAGCCAAATTTATATATAGAAGACGATATCGAATTCGTCACTGAATTCCCATCTTTTTTGGGACACCCTGTAGTTGTAACTAAAGATTTTTTTAATTGTAATGGTAGGGATTTCTATTTCTCTGAAAATATTTAGGGCACATTTTCCGAGTTTTTACAGTTACAACTGTTTAACTTCAACGCTTAAGTAAAGACGACTTTATTTCTGTTTTTTTTTCTGGTTATGACTGTATTTTTAAATTCTTAATTTCTGAATATTTTTATTTTGTGTAGAATGTGGTGCCATGAATGGTTCGATCTGAAGGAATCTCCGGATATTGTAACCTTCAGTAAGAAGATGTTAACCGGAGGCTTGTTTCATAAATCTAGTCTTCGACCTAAACAAGCATACAGGATATTCAATACATGGGTTGGAGATCCAGGAAAGGTAAAAATTTATGGAGAAATTTTATTTTAAATACAAAATTTATTCATCTCTTTTGCAAACCTAATATAATCTAGTTGGCCTTTAATCTTTTAAATATTTAGAAATTTTGCTTTGAATAAATATTTCAGCAACATTAGATTAAATGCGCGAAGGTTGTTAGAGGAGGCAGGGTTTAAAACTAGTTAACATTACCCTTTAATCTGCTAAATTGAACTTGTTGTCATTAAATGGAACTAGTAAAATAAAAAAAATCTAAAATGCAACATTATCCTTCTTCTGGTCATGTTTTGTGGTACACTCTGTATAAATCGTTGTGTGGTTTTATAGATTTTAGGAAATCACAATCTTCCTTTAAAAATTGATTTTATATTTCTCCGTTTCAGTTGATTCTGTTAGATGCAGTATTGAAGACGATTAAGGCGGAAAACCTACTCTCTGAGACCATGAGGGCCGGAGATAAACTGATGGTTGGGTTGAACTCGCTCCAGGATAAATATCCAGGATATCTCAACAGTGTGAGAGGAAGAGGAACCTTTTGTGCTGTTAACTGTGATACCGGAGCAAGGCGGGACTGGATTATTGGGAAACTCCGGGAGCACGGAGTGCACACCGGGGGGTGCGGAGAGAGTGCTATCCGTCTCCGTCCTGCTCTGGTCTTTAAGGAACACCATGCAGATCTGTTTTTGGAGAAACTAGAAACCATTCTTCGTTCCATATAATTGAAAATGTATGCATTTTTGATGATAATATCTTTAATTTATACTTCCCTAAAAACCTGCTTTGCTTGCCAAAACTGTCTAAATTTGCTTTTTATCTATACTCAGACCGTAACCTTCACTGTGCTATTGTAAACCGTTCAATGGAATATTTACATTTTACAAATATAATGTACCTACTATATACATGATAAATATAATCAATAACATTTTCTCAAACTATTGGAAAAAAAGAAATGAGAGCGGATCGATCTAGCTAAAGGCCCTCGCTCTAGAACGGAATTGAACGATTTTTAAAAAGATGGTATGTGCCCAGCCCTACCTTGCAGATGCAGGGTGTCTCGCATCATATTAGACCGAGAACGGGTCTAAATTACGATTTTCGGGACTAATTAGAAAATTTCATTAGAATGAATCATTTTGAAAAATAACATAAGGCGTATATAAGAATTTTCTTGCGGAAAAGTATAAGTTTTTCGAGTATTAAGGGTTTTTTTTGGTGTTAAAGATTGGAGATAATCTAATATGATATGGGACGCTCTGTAGATGTCTGTTAATTTGTTACGCATTCTGCCCTCGTAAAAAATATCTCATATTTTAGCCGTTAATACAGGGTGTCCCAATAAACATGGGAATTGAGAGACGATTCAGATAAAGTCTTTTTAAATAATTCTTTGATTTAGCATAGCGATACCTACTGAAAAAGCTGTAATCCGTAAGATTTTCGTCTACTATATTTTCAGTTTGTTTTGACTGCATAAGGGTGTGCACGCAGAGAAATTATAGACATTACAGTCTTTTACCGTTTTCATAAAATAAACTCTAGCAAATAAAATAATAATATGGCTTTTGAACTCGGGTATTACAATATGCTAATTCTTAACAAAGACGATCTCAAATTCTTCACTGAATTCCCATGTTTATTGGGACATCTTGTAGATCTCTGTAATCTCTTGTCCTGGGTTAAGTCATACAAACAGCGTGTTTAATAACGGAAGCACTTAAAGCACGACATTTTTAAACTGATCCTCTAAATAATGATAAATAATAAAAAATGACGATTCCTTTTAATGTAAACGGCTTACTTACTTTTCCAAAAAAGTTAATTCAATCTTCCCTCTAAAATGGCTTATTTTTGAAAATATTATGAACAATAAAATGGTGCATCATAACAAACCCTTTAAATTAAAGATTATCAAGTAAAATAGGTGGCAACAGAGAAATGAACCAAGTAGGCACGACGTCACAAGTGTCAAATATAACAAGGAACACGAAACGAAATTTTCTCATTAGTTGACATTTTTTTAAGATTACATAAAAAAGTGTAAACACGGAAAATAAAGTACACATCAAATTGCATTTATTTTACTGAAAGATTTGTCGGACAAAAAAACTGAGTTGACACTTGTGACGTAAGAAGAGCTATTGAGTCAACCTTGAACGGTTCTCAAAATGTACAATGAATAAGTTCCAAAACTGAACAACTATTTTTTATCTCAATAATCCTTGAGTGTTTTAAATTATTCAGAGGAAAGTCAGATTTACTAAATTTATCAATAGTCAGAACAGAAATATCATCGCTTATTTGAGATATAAATCAGGCATATTAAATTTTACTTTTTTGACAATAATGAATTCAAACACTCATATCAAATTTTATTTTTGTTGACAACAAAGAATTCTATCTTTTCTTGTATAAAAATCATATTACAACAAATATGTCCAACAATTCCCTTTTATATCCACACTTTAATTGAATTGAGTCTTGACCAAAAACTCAAAGTTTATGATCCCTATATCTTTGTAACCTGATGGAGCAAACCTCTGATATTAAAAGCTTAAATTATTTGATCAACAAAATTCAAAACACATATCTAAGGTCTGCTTAATTGGGTTGCGAAGGCATAGGGATTAGAAAATCAGAGTGTGTGGCAAGACCTCAGTTCCTTTTTTACGATTATTCTACTCCATATATGATTCTACTCTGGATCAGGAGCATTCAGTGCATATCCGTGCTCCTGGAGAGCCAGCTTTATATCTCCATAAACACTTGGATCCTCTATCGTTGGAGGGATCTTCACCTTCTTCCCGTCCGCTAGATCTGACAGTGTTTTCCTAGCAGTCTTTCCTGATCTGGTTCTAGGCAAACCCTTTACCATGATTACAATTCTAAACGCGGCAACTGCGCCCAGATCATTCCGAACCTTGACCACAAGTTCTTCTCTCAGGTTTCCTGTATACTCTAGCCTAGGAACTATCAGACCAATGGGAAGTTGACCTTTGAGAGTATCCTTGACTCCAACTACAGCTGCGTCTCCTACTCCAGGGTGTGCTAGGATAACCTCCTCTAAAGCTGAGGTGGATAGCCTGTGTCCTGCTACGTTTATGACGTCATCATCCCTGGCCATAACCTTGATATATCCGTTCTCATCCTTCATCCCTGCATCCATAGTATCATAATATCCCGGGAATGTTTTGAAGTATGTATCGTGGAACCGCTGATCTGCTCGAAACAGGGTTGACATGCATCCAGGCGGCATTGGAAGCTTAGCAACTATACGTCCTAGCTCATTAGCTTCCGCCTCGGTTCCATCTTCCTAGATTCAAACATATATTAATAACTAAATTAATCTGCTTACCTCCATGCAAAGATGGCACTGCCCGATTCGCACTGATACCATTGAAACCTTTATCTGATCAATACTGTGGAAGATATTGTGATGTGTTCAATTTTGATAATTCCTATATGGTTTCCTGCAGTAGAAATACGCAATTAATTTTTTGTAGAGAAACCACAATTGAAAATAGTCAGTCTTCAAAATTATACACTTTGATATCTAATTCATACTTGATCAGACAAAGCTTTTAAGGGGACCGATGTGAGTCGGGCAATGACATCTTTGTAGATGACAATGTAAAGTCACTAGAAGTTCCATTAAAACTTTCCAATATTAATGACAACTAAAGACAGAAGTTAATTTACCATTTTTAGTAAATGACATAATCATTTGTGAAATACTAACAAGAAAATCGTGGAAAAATATTCCATGAAAATTAGTTCTTGTACCTTGAGTATTCTCATATCCCAACCTGGAACTGGCATCCCGCTCACATCCTTCGGAGGGTTCAAGGAGTTTCCCAACCCGATACAGGTAGAGGTCATTGCGTGACCTAGAGCAGGGAGGATTACAGGATTAGAGGTTTAGAGGTTGAGATCATAGTGACCTAGATAAGAGAGGTTTAGAGGTGGAGGTCATAGTGTGACCTAGAGATGGGAGGATTAGAGTTTTAGAGGTCGAGGTCAAAGAGTGACATAGAGCAAGGAGGATTAGAGGTCAAGGTCATTGTGTGACCTAGATTAGGGATGATTAGAGGTTTATAGATAAGAGGTCATATTGTGACCTAGATTAGGGATGATTAGAGGTTTATAGGTAGAGTCATTGTGTGACCTAGAGCAGAGAGGGAGGATTAGAGGTCCACATGATGTAGGTCAAAATATTAAAAAACATCTACATCTCTATATCTATATCTATATCTATCTACCTATCTACCTGTCTCTGTCTGCCACCAATTATCCAGGACGGGAACCTGAAATATTTTCTCCGCCCAAAGTCTAAAAATAAAATAGTATCAACTATTTTTAACTTTTGAATTTAAGCCGATATCACACCCTACTGACTAATCCAAAAAAAAAGGCACACAAAATAGTATAATAATGGTGTAACACCCATTTCATTATTCTTCTAAGAGCAGTTAGAAGTTTAACTCCATGGTAAAATCCAGAATATGCTCCAATGTGATCATTTCCAGAGTTATGAACTATTCAAAAACTAGATAAAACCTTTCTCATACCTTGTATCATAATCACAATGTTCTCCAGCTACGAATAGATACCGGAGAGAACTGAGATCATACTTCTGAGCGTATTCTCCGTTCTGGTCTTCCTTCTTTATTGCACGAATAGCAGTCGGAGCTGTAAACATACCGTTCACCTAGAGAACATTAGGTCTTTATAGATATATATGAAAGAACTAAATACCTAGTACTCCTGTATCACCCTGGAGAACTATATCCCTGGTACTCCATTATCACCCTGGAGAACTATATACCTGGTACTCCTGTATCACCCTGGAGAACTATATACCTGGTACTCCTGTATCACCCTGACGAACTATATACCTGGTACTCCTTTATCACCCTGACGAACTATATATCTGGTACTCCTGTATCACCCTGAAGAACTATATACCTGGTACTCCTGTATCCCACTGGAGAACTATATACCTGGTACTACTGTATCACTCTGAAGAACTATATACCTGGTACTCCTGTATAACCCTGAAGAACTGTCCAGGGTCTGGGGTTGCTACAGGTTTTCCTTCGTATAGGATGGTTTTAGTTCTGTTGAGAAGAGGAGAATAACAAGTATATTCGTGACCAACTATCCATCTAAACAATTTTTATAGATAACAAAAAAATTTATTTACCTAGAGTCAAGAAGGTTTATTGATTTAGCAAGAGTTTTGAGGATTAATTAGTTTAACAAGAGTCTAGAAGGTTAATTAATTCAAATTTAGTCGAGAGGTTAAATTAATTCAAACAAAGACTAGAGGGTTAATTAATTCAACTAAAGTTAATTAATGGTTAATTAACTTAAATAGAGTCTAGAAGAGTAATTAATTTAACTAGAGTAGAGAGGATTTATTAGTTTAACAAGAGTCTAGAAGGATAATTAATTTAACTAGAGTAGAGAGGATTTATTAGTTTAACAAGAGTCTAAGGTTAATCAATTTAAGAAGAGTATAAAAGGTTAATTAATTTAACCAGAGTCGAGAGAGGTAATTAATTTAACTAGAGTCTAAATGATTAGTCTAGAAGGTTAATTAATCTAACTAGAATCTAAAAGGTTTACTGATTTAACTAGAGTCTAGAGGGTTAATAAATTCAACTAGAGTCTAGAAGGTTAAATAATTGATCTAGAGTCTAAATGGTTAATCAATTTAAATACAGTCTGAATGGTTAACTATTTAAACTAGAGTCTAATAGGTTAATTGGTTATTTAATAGAGTCTAGAAGGTTAATTAATTTAACTAGAGTTTAAAAGGTTAATTGATTTTACTTGAGTCTAGAAATATAATTTATTTCAATAGAGCTTTAAAGTTGACTGTGCAGTGTATATTATGATCTTGGCTTAAAGGATAAAGCTTGAGACTCAGAAAATGTTGAATGAAAAATGTAGATGAAAATTCTTTCAACAATATACCTGAGTGGAAAGTGAAAGTATGGCTTGGTATTATTATTATTATTATTAAATATTTCTAGGTTAACTCACCCAAGATCTGAAGCCGCGAACCAAGAGGATTGTAATGATTAATAATAATAATAAATAATTAAAACGATAAAATTTGGAAAAACAATAAAAACATTTTTTTGCAAAACCAATTACTTATTTTGAATATGCATAAAAAATTAATATACCGTGCAACTTTGTACATTTGCTTGCTCAAAATAACAAAAAATCTAAGTTCTCTGTAAAAGTGACTTTATGCAAACGAAACAAAGAACGTAATTTTACAAAATTCAATACTTTAACGGAACTGTTAACGTAATTTCAAGTGACCTTCCATGGAAAGAGGGAAATACAGTACATCGTGAGCTCAACACAGAGCATATTACCAGAATTTGCACCTCTACTCGACCAATACACTAAATTTTTTAGAGTACCGTTGTAAATCGGGCATTGCTCTCCTTTAAGGTCATTTGAAATTTCGCATACAGTCCCTTTCAAAAAGAACGAGCTTATCTCCCCAATATCGTTTTTTAATAATATATCGATGGCGCTGGATTTTCGAACATTCCTGGAAAATATGAAAATGTCGTCTTCATTATCAAAAATCCACGAAACAGGAATAAATGTTTTCAAACGTAACTATCAGATCATGAAAAATAAAAAATATTATAAAATATTAACTATATACGAATGCGTCGAAAAATTATCGATGATTATTGGTTGTAATATCTGAATGATTTGTTTGGAATTAAATTAATATTTTTACAATCCGAGTTGAATGTTTCAATTTTCTGACTTTGTATGGACGCTAGATTCTTCAGCATGAGTCTTTTTCAATAATTTTCTCCTTATAGACGCAACAGACAGAGTAAGATTAGTAGCGATCAAAAGCGCTTATTTTCCGCCGTAAGCCTATATACCCCTTTTCATTTTTTGCGAACACTCCCTTTAAGTACCGTCGTAGATCGGGCACGCCAATCTTTTAACAAGAAGTGGCATATGAAAATAAGTCTTCTATTCCTTTAAGCTTTTTGAAAATTGAAAGTTTGGTTAAACCATAAACTCAAATACTATCTATAAGATAGATTATAAATGGGAAAGTAAACATAAATTGATGTTCAGAATATCATTACATCCGTCCTACCAGGTGTCTCCAGGCTGCATCCCGTATATAGTCTCCATAGTCCACTTGTTAACCACAGCATGCCCTCCAGTAGGATGCTGAACACCTTTAGGTTCTCCAGTTGTACCACTAAACAGGTTTGGCCATTATTTGTAAACATGTTTACTGCACAGTACACAGTAGGATGCTGAACACCTATAGTTATAATTTAAATAGAAGCTTTCTCGTTGAAAAATAAATTATTCCAAATATGATATGAATTATTCAGTAGTCGTCATATGTATCCATATATACAATAAAGGCGACTTTCGATTTAAATTTTTGATTTATAACAAGCTTTTAAACAGTATGGATACCCAATACATATAAGCATAAAAACAAAGAGAAGCTGTCAATTAACAACTTCTCTTAGAATTTACTAGTAAACTTGTAATTTGAAAAAAGCTGTGAGAATCAAAACCTAAATTTAAAAGTCGTCTTCATTGTATTGATGTAGACGTCGACCATTGTATAATAAATTATATTTAGATTACCGAGGTCAATAAACTTTCATAAAGTTAGAAGAATACAAGCACATCATCTAATTGTTCTGCAACTGCATGTTGAAACATTATTAACGAATATATAAGGTCAAAATTAATGTTTATAAAATGAAAACATAAAAAATAAAAACCTTGTGTAAAGAATATACAGAGGATCCATAGAGCCTACAGGAACACAATCTACTCCAGGTACTCCAGGAACTACATCCTAAACATAGATCCTACAGGAACACAATCTACTCCAGGAACTACATCCTAAACATAGATTCTACAGGAACACAATCTACTCCAGGAGTACCAAGAACTACATCCTGAACCGAGATCCTACAAGAACACAACCTACTCCAGGTACTTCAGGACCTACATCCAAAAGAACACAATCTATGTTCTTCTATGTTCCGACAGTCTTCAACCCAACCCCAATCCCTATAATTTTCTTCCTCAGTCTCCAACCCTAACCATGACCTTCTCTGCTCCCCTCCGGTCTTCCAACCAAACTAAACCCAATATTTTTTCTTTACCTGCCAGACAATATCATTCTTCCCGATATCTGCGATACATTCATCCCTCTGGAAAACCAGGTTCTTAATCTCCAGTCCGGAGAGACGAATTGCTTCGTCCACATTAGGTTTATATTTAACTATTCTGTTTGGTTCAATACCACAGCTAGCGGATATTATCACCTAAATAAACACGGTTTAATTTCTCAAGTAGAGTTAAAGCCAAGACATTTAAATTGTCTTCGATAGTTGATGAACGATATTGTCAAAGAAAAATTGAGGTTTAAAAATGTGGTCTAGTCTTTTATCTTAATAAATGGTTCAAGAAAATGACAAATTTAGATTATATTTAATAAAAATTCGACGAAATCTTTTATTTGAAGCTATTTTGAAGCCTCAAGGCCACATTTTGTTATAAATTATTAATTTAATGAACGTCGATCGTCGACATAAAAGATATCATTAATGTCGTCACTAAATTCCATATATATAGGGACTTGTAACAAGTTTAGCATTGTATGTTTAATTAATTCCAAATTTGTGAATTATTAAAATTAATACTTTAGGTTCTGCGTGTTTAATCCTTGTAGAAAGCTCCTTCGCTGCAAACCCACCAAAGACGACGGAATGAACGGCCCCTAGACGAATAGTTGCCAACATGGCCACCATAGCCTCGGGGACCATCGGCATATAGATGAGAACCCTATCCCCTCGTCCCACTCCCAACCTTGAGAGTAGTCCTGCTACACGGGACACTTCGTCCTTCAGTCTGTTATAGGATATCTTGTCCTTCCTAAATGTAGGAATATTTTGTAAAAATTAACAACAACAAAACATTTGATCCAGTGATTATTTAACTTGACGAAAAATTACACCATTGATAAAAATAAACAATTAGATGAGAGCTTCATAAGAAATGAATGAAACAAATATCTGAATTGAATTAAAAAATAACATTACCTTCTTTACTAGTCCAAAATGTGACAAAATTAGAATTTTTTTTACGATAAATTCAAACGATTTTTCTTTTATCTTTCCTAGGTTAAAAAACATTTATCAATCAAAATGTAAATGTGTTTTTGGACACATTTGGACACACATGTGTCCTTTTGTGTCACTGGATCAAGTTTCTAGGTGCCAAGCATCATAACAGCAATTTAACCATGATAAATTTCTAGAAGCCTTGTGCAACAATTATTGTTAAACCATGACACACAAACCAAAAAAGCAAAAATTATAGGATATTCTTAATATTGAATATCATGTATATCAAGTGTTACATTGTTCGAGTGTTACATGGTTCAAGTGTTACATGGTTCAAGTGTAACTTGAATCAAGTGTAACATGAATCAAGTGTAACATGAATCAAGTGTAACATGAATCAAGTGTAACATGAATCAAGTGTAACATGAATCAAGTGTAACATGAATCAAGTGTAACATGGATCAAGTGTAACATGAATCAAGTGTCACATGGATCAAGTGTAACATGAATCAAGTGTAACATGAATCAAGTGTAACATGAATCAAGTGTAACATGAATCAAGTGTAACATGAATCAAGTGTAACATGGATCAAGTGTAACATGAATCAAGTGTCACATGGATCAAGGGTTATATTGGTCAAGTGTCACATGGATCAAGTGTTACATGGATCAAGTGTTACATGGACCAAGTGTAACATGAATCAAGTGTCACATGAATCGAGTGTCACATGGACCAAGTGTCACATGGATCTGAAGTGTCGAGGTTCCATGTATAAATGCAATGTACCCCATTTAACATTTCTTGAAGACTAGTGCAATAGTTTAAAATCATTTTAATTGTTTATTCATGACATCATCCAAAAGCATAAAAAATGGAAAAGTCTTATTGATAATGATGTAAAGTATAAACACACAACTTACCTGTCAGTTATCGCCGAATCCCAAATAATCGCTGTTTCATCGCCGAAACCCTCGTCCACATGGCGGTCAACTGCATTGTAACACAGAGATAATTCACCGCCGGGAAACCATTTAACGAACGGCGGGTTCGAATTATCCATAACCTTGTCCCATTTCTTTTCCCAGATTATATTCTCAGATATCCGTCCCCAGTACTCCTCAGGGACCTGGAGAGAACGGTCAAGTTCAACCTGATATTTCTGGGATGATACTGAGCCGAGAAACCGACCTTTATGTTTAACATTATCACTTAAATGTTTTAAACATCTTCTAAGGTTTAGATTCATCAACCCCATTCTCCGGGTCTGTGTTGGAGTACTGTGTGTAGAGCAGACTGAAAACTAGGGAAACAGGTTGCTAACTTGATCTTCTTTATCACTCGGTTACACAGTACACATTATTATAATGTTTAAAAGTACACAGTAGCCCCCAAAATCCCAAAATTGACACTTAACAGTCATGTCAAATCTTTTGCTTAAATATTGATAATAATATTCATAAGTTTTGGTCTGGCCTAACTTTATTGTTTCCAGGTCATACCTTGAGATATATATAGGAGCTTTTCCATAATTTGTTAAGTTCTTTGATACAAAAGAGATTAATAAGAAATATAACATGGCAGTCATTTTATAGTAAAAATTATTTCAAAGTAAAATATATTGGAGTTAAAGATTTTGTTAATAAATTAACAGGAAAAGCACCACTTTTTATATTCCCCCAATCAAATAAAATTAGCAACAACAAAAAACTTTTCTAAATAATCGACATTTTATCATCTTCAAATTTATTAAGTAATTTTTTTATTTATTAGAGATAGCAAAATACGTTTCTGAAAGTGAATTTTAAAAATCCAAACAATGAACTTTTGAAAAAAGATTGTGCATCAGAAATTGTAGAAATATTATTTTTTATGATTTAAATCTAAGATATCTAAATTCAGGAAGGGGGAGGGGGGGCTCTTCAAAAGCTTTTGGTGGGAAATTGCCCCCCCCCCCGATATATATTCCCTTGAAACAAACCGGATGATATATAGTGTGTCTAAAAATTCTCTAAAATGTTTTTTTTTCTGTAAAGGCCAAACAGTCTAAAATATAGATTAACCATTTCCTGGTCAAACATTTGTTTGAGAAAGTAACAAATTTCAATCACGGTTTTTGTATATTTTGTTTTTTTAAATCCCAAAAATTACGCTGTTAACAGGGTTAACGACATTTATAGTCTAAAAATCTTTTTTTATACCACGAACTGACGACTAGATTAGACTGTTTGCGGAATTTGCATTGATAATCGTTACTTAAAGGGACTGTGTGTTTAATTTTCATTAATAATCGTTACTTAAAGGAACAGTTTGTGGAATTTGCATTAAAAATCGTTACTTAAAAGGACTGTTTGCGTAATTTGCATTAATAATCGTTACCTAAAGAGACTGTTTGTGGAATTTGCATTAATAATTTTTACTTAAAGGGACTGTTTGCGGAATTTTCATTGATAATCGTTACTTAAAAGGACTGTTTGTGGAATTTGCATTCATAATCGTTCCTTAAAGGGACTGTTGGCGGAATTTGCATTGATAATCGTTACTTAAAGGGACTGTTTGTGGAATTTGCATAAATAATCGTTACTTAAAGGGACTGTTAACGTAATTTTAAGACGCCCTCCTTTTTCAGAGTTGTGTATCTTATTCACATCAACATTTGTCTCAGATTTTTTGTTTTTCTAGCGGAAATTTTGAAAAAATTTATCAGATTTAACACTTTTCAAGGTAGAACAACAACGATGCAAGTTTTGTGTAAGGTTGTAAATCTCGAAAAATGGAGGGTTACTTAAAATTGCGTGTACAGTCCCTTTTATTTAAAATTTTCTCTTCTTTCAGAATAGGTTTTTTAAGTTGTATTTTTGATTTGTAGAAATGTCAACTTAAATTTTTAAAAACCATGTTTGTATTTAAAGAAAATATTGCAAATGATTGAAAAAATTTTAAAAAATTCTTTCTGGGATTCACAGTAGAATAATCTTTAAAAATTTATCAATATGAAATGTAAACGAAAATGTTGACTTAAATTTTTAGGATTTTATCTGATTATAGGATTTTCAAGATTGTCGGTTGGTTTGGTTTACTCCGTGGTGGTTTGGAACCGTAGCAATAACTCCCTCCCACCCCCTTCCAGTGTTCCCGCCCCACCCCTCCTCTCCCCCTTAATAGCTCCGCCCCTTACATATATCATAGACCCCGATCATATCAGAGAGTAAAATCTTACATTGTCCATTGTTTCATGACAAACCTGGAAACTACTCAGTTTGCTAGAATCCTTCATCATGGATTACTATACATTCTTCTCCCTTCTCCTAGTCCTACCTTCGCTGTACTTTATCTTTACCCGGAGCAAACGGGTTTCGCTAATTGGAAAGAGAATTTTAATCACAGGTTGCGACTCCGGGTTCGGATACTCCCTGGCTTTGTGGTGTTCGGAGCAGGGTATGGAGGTGCTGGCAACCTGCCTGGAGGAGGGAGGTGAGGCCTGGAATAATATGAAGATAAAGGGAATACACATGATGAAATTAGATCTTACAAATCTAGATTCTGCCGAGACAGAGTCTCAAATCAACAGAATTCTTAAAAACCAAGGTAGTACTGTTCATCTAAAGACTTTATTCTCGTACTTTATTATTGGATACGACTGTCGTTAAAAGGACCATTCATGTAAAGATTGCATTGCCCGATTCACAACGGTACTCTTGAAATACATTATCAATAATTTGGAAGATATTGTAGTTTTTTAATTCTTATAATTCAATATTTTTTCTGTAGTAGAAATGCGCAAATCACATTAGAAGAGAACCCCCTATTAAAGACAAAGCTTTTCAGAGCACCACCGTTGTGAATCGGACATTGCCATCTTTGCGTTTGAAAATACGATTACTGTCCTTTTAAATTTGGTTTTTTTTCATTTCGTTATTTCAATAAATAAAAAATAGACTGGTTGGAGGGTATTGTTAAGCAACAAAAATCTTTTGTAACTTCATTAAAGTGTCTGCTTGTGTCTGCTTATGTACTTTCATTAAAGTGTCTGCTTATGTACTTTCATTAAAGTGTCTGCTTATGTACTTTCATTAAAGTGTCTACTTATGAAATTTCATTTAAGTGTCTGCTTATGTACTTTCATTAAAGTGTCTGCTTATGTACTTTCATTAAAGTGTCTGCTTATGTACTTTCATTAAAGTGTCTGCTTATGTACTTTCATAAAGTGTCTGCTTATGTACTTTCATTAAAGTGTCTGCTTGTGAGAGATCTACATAATTTAAAAAGCATTGATGAAAATATTCGTTTGAAACGGACTGCTCTTTCATTTCAAAAAGGTGTTCTGTTCCAAAGTTTTAAAAAAAAGACTGTTTCACATTTTTAAAGAAAACTTTCAAAAAGACTATTGTCTTATTACCAACTCATCTTGGAAAATTGGATCTGCAGGAATAATATAAAAAATGTAACTTTTATCAAGGTTTGGACTTTCTGGTCAACAATGCTGCATGCCTTGTATTTGGAGAAGCATGTTGGCAAACTAGCCAGCAGGTCAATAGACAGATGCAGGTCAACATGCTCGGTCCATTACAGGTAAACTAGTCAGAAGGTCAATAGACAGATGTAGGTCAACCATGCTCGGCCCATTACAGGTATAAACTAGTCAGCAGGTCAATAGGCAGATGCAGGTCAACATGCTCGGCCCATTACAGGTATAAACTAGTCAGCAGGTCAATAGTCAGATGCAGGTCAACATGCTCGGCCCATTACAGGTCAATTATGAAAAGTATTGTTTAGATTTAATTTCTTAAAAGTATATTACATCTAGATGATAAAGATCTGCTTCCCCTCCCTGAGGTCTGCTAGAGGAAGAGTGATAAACATGATCAGTAATTGTACAGACTGTCCTCTCCCTACCCTGAGCGTCTATACCTCCTCCAAGGCAGGATTAAAGTATCTGACCCATGGTATGCGTCCTGAACTATCTAAATACGGGATAAAGGTTAGTGTTCTTTTCATTTCTAAGAGACTGTTCACTGTTTATTTATTAGAAATTTTGCTGCATGGGATTGTAAGATATACATGATATTTTAATCTCTACCTAATTAAGTGGAATTTGCGATTCACAATGATACCCAGAAAAGCTCAAGCATAAATAGAATATTCATGATTTCTCTTCTTATTTTCAATTCTGGTTTCTCTATAATTATGTCTTACACATTTCTTGCTCTAGAAACAATGGAAGAAATTGATATAATTGATATAATTTATATAATTGATATAGTTGAAGAACGACAATATCTTCCACATTATTGATTGAAGTCATCCTCCATTTAAAGAGTTACATGCACGATTCACAACTCAAGCGGATTTAACAGTTCTTATTCCCAAAATGTGACTTTAGATTACAATTTCGCCTAAAATATTGAAAATATTGAAAATATTGAAAACTAGCTAAAAAGGGTCCGGCGTTGCCCGTGTAAACCAAAATTTTTTTTTTTATTTTCGAATCTTTTTTAGCCCATGAGTGTCAAAAAAAAATTTCCGCCCATTCGGTCCGGCCGTTTGACCGGCTATAGGCAACATATACGAATGTCTTGTTTTATTATATAGATATTGAAAATAAATTTTTCGTTTTTTTGTCGGCGGGTTAGTCTAGGATGAACCCTTTAAATCTTAATCTGATCAGCAATGGGGAAGATATTGTCGTTTTTCTATCTTGCAAAATTGTTATTTCTGTAAACTTCATTCTCTCTATTAACCTCAAAAATCCGTTTAAATATTTTATCACGGGTTTTGTTTCTCATCTATTCCTCTTTTTCATTTAATCCAATTCTATTCCACTATTAACAATTTCTAGATGGTGCTAGTGAACCCTGGAGATGCTCCTTCTATAACTAAACTATGCTCCGGCCAGGACGGATTCTATAATGATATGAGAGAGGAGATGGATGAACCAAGGAGGAGAATATACGGAGAATATTTTCAACTGTGTAAGGATAAGTTTGTTAACCTATTCCCTTCTCCTCCCCTGGTTAGAATTCAAGATCAACAATTCTACAACGTGATGGATAGAGCTCTTAGTGAGGAGAACCCAGCTATATTCTATGAGAATAATCCTGTAGTAAACAAACTTGTATTTGGATTTATAAAACTGCTCCCGGTCCATATTGGGGATCGTGCCAGGCTTGCAATAATGAAACTACCTAAGTATGAAAGTGTGGAATGAAATATGAAATATGATTTATTCATAAATTTTTTTGAATTTTTGATATCAAAAATCTTGTATTTATGGTAGAGGAGTAGTTGTAATATAGAAGGGTGAAGTAAATAAATCTACAAAATCATTTTATTAAGTTTGCATGTGCGTAAAAATACATAAAAATACATTAAGATGAATTTAAAAATCATAAAATCTGTATTATGAAGAGAATAAGTTTGGCATAGTTCGGAGAAAATCAAATGCTTCCTCTTCTTTAATCTGTTTACCGTGAGCTACCATAGTTCTAAAGTATGCTGCTACAGGATCCCGTCCTAGTGTAGCAACCCCCTGAACTACTCCACCTATACTGTAAGTAGCAAGGAAGGATTCACCTTCTACCTCGACCTTCACACTATCACAGTCCTTGCTGATCCCTGCAAACCGAACACTTTTACCATACTGAACCGACCAAAAGAATGGAACAGTGTAGGCTGGTTCCTTCCTTCCTAGGATATTAAGAGCAGCAACTTTACCCATATACATTGCTATACCCCAGTGTCCAATATTAATGAGCTGTCTGGAGTAGGTTAGGAGAGGGAACTCTACTATATCTCCTGCACCCCAGATATGTGGAACACTGGACTGCATAAACTCATCTACTCGGAGTATTCCTCTAGAGTCCAGTATTCCTTCTATATTATCTAGCGGAGCAGTATTTGGAGTAACTCCTGCTCCGATGAGAACTAGGTCTGCCTCCAGCAGTTTACCGGAACCAAGAATTACTCCTGTTACGGTTCCGTCTGTTCCCTGGATCTCTGAAACTGTTTCTTCCATCTCAAAGAGAACTCCTTTATCTGTGTGAAGTTTGGCAAGGATTGCTCCGACCTCTACACCAAGTATGTTCTGAAAGGATACAGTGTTCCTGTCTACTACTGTAACCTTCTTACAAGATCCAACTAGAGCAGCTGCAACCTCAAGACCAATAAATGATCCTCCGATTATGACAACATTCTTCCCAGCAGCCGCCTCAGATATGAAATTAGCATCCGCAGGTCTTCTTAAGGTTTTCACTCCTTCAAGGTTCTCTCCAGGTACTCCTAGTTTCCTTGGTGATCCTCCAGTAGCAAACAGTAGATCATCATACTTTAATCTCTCTCCACTAGATGTCACCACAATCTTATTCTCCGGGAATACCTGAACAACTTCAACCCCGAGCATGACTTTAACTCCTCCTTCCTTGTACCAGGTGTCAGGTCGGAGCTGAATCTCGGAGGGTTTGGCGTCTAGTTTCTTACTCAGCTTGGGTCTATCATAGGGCAGAGATTCATCGGAGCTCACCAGGATAATTTTACCATCAAATCCTTCAGCTCTGAAATATTCGCAGTTTAGAATAAAAATTCGTTTACATACGTTTATATAAACACAATGAAGACGACTTTTTATTGCTAATGCTTCGATTCCTAACGAGCCTTTATCAAATTACAAATAAAAGTAAACAAAGAGAAGCCATTAACAAATATGGGGGGGGGGTGGTTGAGGAAAGGTTGAATATTACCTGAATGTTTCTATGGCAGTGTGCCCTGCTGCTCCACCCCCAACTATAACAACAGTTCTTTCATTGTCAACATCTTCAAGGATCTCTCCTCCTCTCTCTCTTTTCTTCTTCCCCAGGTCGGAACTGTTTCCTTCAATGAAGATATTTCCGTCCTTCTCTAGGATATTGAAGGATACTAGACTAGATAAACCAGGGAAATCTTCAATATCTCCTGAAATAAAACTAGGTTTGGAAACAATATAAATGAATGAAACATTTTTTATGTTTCTAAAACAAATATTAAAAGATTAACACAAGATTCCCGGAGACTTTAGTAATCTGATTCTTTGTTTGTTATATAAAATATCTTTTGAACTAAAATATAGATATTAGGAACAAGAAAACATTGGATTGCCGTACTCGTTCTTTCCTTGGAATATAAGGATTATGAAATTTTTAATTGGTATTACTCATAAAGGAATTAAGTCTTTGCCTCAAACTCAAATTTATAAATCCCTAAATCTTTTCAATCTGATGGTGTAACCCTTATATGGTTCAAATTCTTAGATTTTCAATTCACTGAGCACGAATCTTCCCAACTTAACAGGCGTATTTAAGATGTACTAAATATGTTTCCGTACTCAGTGTTTATCTCCTAGATGTCTCCCGTTAGTTATTTTCGGACGGACAGACTTACTCATGTCATGGTTAACTCCATAAATAAATAAATAAACATAGATAGCTTATGTACGCAAAATCACCAAGAATTGTACAGTCCGCTTACTCATACTTCTAGGGGTCAAAGTGTACTTCAATGATAAGCGGGGGGGGGGGTTTGGTGTTTTAATAGAGTATAAAATAACTCCGGGAATGGAACTATTTGAACAACAATATTTCACTGAGCAATATATCATATTGACGAGAACTGAAGGAGGACATGAGAAGGACTAAACTAACTTAAATTTCTCTCTACAGAACTCATGTACACCACAAGTACTCAATGACATAAGAACAGCCAATGTTCACAACCGACCTAGTTAATCTATATAATAGGAATATCTTTAAAACATCTCTGTACATTTATATCTTTCAAGATGAAAAATGTCGTCTTATGCGCAATCTATCTTTATCTATGGTTAACTCACGTAATTTCACCGTATTTTATCCTTATTATAGGCGTCAGTACCGGCACACATAACAACTTTTTAAACACAGGGATAACCACATTTTTAATGATTAAATTAAATCCAGAGTCAAATTTTAATCCGATTTTTATAAAAACAAAATAAGAAATTTAATATTTTGTTGTTTTCTACGCAAACTAGATAATCCAATGCTGTTTCTTGAGAATTTCACTTTTTTGAAAGTCGTCAATTAAAAGTATCCCTGAAAATTTATTCCCAGCGTATTTTGACCAGCTTTCTTCTTATTTTCGTCTATAGGGGTTGCGCGATATAGCAGTTTATGTTCGGACACTAAATGTGTGCAAAAAGTATGGATAGCAAGATACCGGCTCTTCCACATCGGAACTAATTTTATTATTCTAGAAATGCTCGTTATAGGATTGATCGAACTGCGCTATATTCGAGAAAGGAACTGATCAGTTTTTTAGAAGAGAAAAGAAGCGTATCCTGTGAGTAGAGAACCACTACCTGTTGTAGTATTGAAGCAAGCTCCATGCCAAGGACAAGTTATTGAATTAGCTCCGAGTACACCTTTAACCAGTGGAGCTCCGTAATGGGTACACGTCCCACTCAAACCTCTCACTACGCCACCCTGTCTGAATATTAGATTATGACATAATTCCAAACTCTGATCAATTTTCACAAGAAAGCGAAGACCAGACCAATAAATGCTAAATGTTTGTTTACATTCTCTTGAACTGCAGTACATGTTTTGTGCACGCAACTTTTTTGTTGATCTACACTTTATAATATTGTTTTGATCTTGATGAAACAAAAAGTCTCAAGAACTGAAGAGGCTCAACCCGGGCCGAAATACATTTTCAAAAATGAGGAACTTTCATCTACTTTTTTTGGATCATCATCAACACAAAATTTTAAATCTTTTTTGTATATTTTTTCATTATTAGACCACAATTTGAAAATTAGCTTTAGTGCCCCTTCTAGCAAAATAAATGATATCTTTTTAGTTGGATAATTTATTGATTGAATTCTACCTGAGAAGGAGAATCTTGTTTCCCTCCACATCTACCTCCTTCATCCCTCCCTCCTCTACCTCCTCGGAGTTGCACATCAACCTCATGTCGGTGAATTTAGTCTGTATATCCGTTGTCTGGTTGCTACAAGAGTTTCCCATCACCACAGATCTTTCATTTGGCGGATTACTGGTTTCTAATTCACAGATTTTCAGGTTTATGAGCTGAATGTGTGTGTATACTGTATACTATTAACCCGTATGGCGGGTCTGAAGGTTGTAAGATTACTAGAGAACTAAACCACTATTTCATATATATATATATACCAGCTCGGCAGCTGTATAGAATACTGAATGATAAGAAAGCCGGAGGCGTTCATCCATGGAAAATTATTATTACCTTATACTTAAAAAATAAAGAGTTGAAAATTCTAATTTTTAAAAATGCTTTATAACTAAGTTAAAATTTAAAAGTTTTATTTTCAGTTTGAAATACATTTATTATTATTATTATTATTATTATTATTATTATCTAGCTACCTGTATTTTATACCCTTCTCATAAAATTTTTGTTTTAAAGTGGATTAGAATGGATGGCTTGATGTTTTTTAATTATTGATCAACTCTTAAATCTTATTACTTACACATACAAGGTTTCCCACAAAGGAGAAACTTAAATGACGACCTAAACATTTTCAATATAATCTAAATATTAAATCCGGTCTTTTGCAGTACACACCGTAATGCCATAATCCTGGTAATCCCATATACTGACCTAATCCTTGTAATCTCATATATACTAACCTAATCCTTGTAATCCCATATACTGACCTAATCCTTGTAATCCCATATACTGACATAATCCTTGTAATCCCATATACTGACCTAATCCATGTAATCCCATATAATGACATAATCCTTGTAATCCCATATACTGAGCTAATCCTTGTAATCCCATATACTGAAATAATCCTTGTAATCCCATATACTGACATAATCCTTGTAATCCCATATACTGACATAATCCTTGTAATCCCATATACTGACCTAATCCTTGTAATCCCATATACTGACCTAATCCTTGAAATCGGCCCATATACTGCCCCAATCCTTGTAATCCCATATACTGCCCCAATCCTTGTAATCCCATATACTGACCTAATCCTTGTAATCCCATATACTGCCCCAATCCTTGCAATCCCATATACTGCCCCAATCCTTGTAATCCCATATACTGACCTAATCCTTGCAATCCCATATACTGCCCAATCCATGTAATCCCATATACTGAGCTAATCCTTGTAATCCCATTTACTGACATAATCCTTGTAATCCCATATACTGCCCCAATCCTTGTAATTCCATATTCTGACCCAATCCTTGAACTCCCATATATAGTGCCTAATCTTGGTAATCCCATATACTGACCTAATCCTTGCAATCCCATATACTGCCCAATCCATGTAATCCCATATACTGAGCTAATCCTTGCAATCCAATATGTAGTGCCTAATCCTTCCAATCCGATATTCTGCCCCAATCCTTGTAATCTCAAATACTGACCTAATCCTGGTAATCCCATATACTGCCCCAATCCTTGTAATCCCATATACTGCCTCAATCCTTGCAATCCCATATACTGCCAAAAAAACCTTTAATCTCATATACTGCCCCAATCCTTGTAATCCCATATACTGCCCCAATCCTTGTAATCCCATATACTGCCCCAATACTTGTAATCCCATAAACTGCTCCAATCCTTGTAATCCCATACACTGCCCCAATCCTTGTAATCCCATATACTGCACCAATTCTTGTAATCCCATAAACTGACCCAATCCTGGTAATCCCATATACTTCCCCAATCATTGTAATCCCATATACTGTCCCAATCCTTGTAATTCCATGTACTGCCCTAATCCTGGTAATCCCATATACTGCCCCAATCCTGGATTCTATTCCGTGACTCCTGATGCATGAGGTTAAGTGATATCGCAGTTCACATAGATTTTACTGGAAATTATTATCTCAACTTTTATTTTGTTCGAACTCCTTTTTAACAAACCCTTTACATAGCAACATAATACTTCATCAAGTTTTACGTTTTTTAATAATTTCAGGAGGGGGGGGGGACAATTTAGGAAGAAAGAGAAACGTAAGATTTNGGGGGGGGGGGGGGGGGGGGGGGGGGGGGGTATAAAAATAATCAAGCCGGTGTTCTACAATTACCCAGATATTTAGGTTATAGTTCTGCTCAATTTTACTCCGGGTCTGATCCTTGATAAGGTTTAACTCCCATTTTCAGTTCATCATCATTCTCTGATACCAGGTTCAACAGCGTATACACTAGAGCTAGATACATATATTAAAGATGGCAATGAACGATTCACAACGGTACCCTTAAATCTTTGTTTGATCAAGTATGAATTAGATATCAATGTTTATAATTTTGAAAATTGATGGTTTTAAATTGTTGTTTCTCTACAAAAGTGAATTGCGCATTTCTACTTCAGAAAAACAGTGTAAATAATCAGAGTTAACCACTTTAAACCTAGAAAAACGACAATGTCTTTCTTATTACTGATCATATAAAGGTTTCAATGGTCCTGTTGTAAATCGGGCATTGGCATTTTACTTGAAGTTACGTTTACAGTCCCTTTAATGAATATAGTTCAGTGATTCCTTTAAAATAATAAATATTATCAAACTTTATGTTAAATAAAAACTATCATCAAACTTCATGTTAAATACAAAATATTATCAAACTTCATGTTACATAAAAAATATTTTAAACTTCATGTTAAATAAAAAATATTATCAAACTTCATGTTAAATAAAAAATATTATCAAACTTCATGCTAAATAAAAAATATTATCAAACTTCATGATAAATAAAAAATATTATCAAACTTCATGGTAAATTAAAAATATTATCAAACTTCATGTTAAATAAAAAATATGATCAAACTTCATGTTAAATTAAAAAATCATTAAATTTCAAAAAAGAAAACGACAGTATTTCACTAATTTGAGTAAATTCTAAAGTTTAAAATTGATCAAACAACTAGAATAAGAATATTAATCTTGTTGAAGATATGAACTTGAGAAGATGAGTATTGATTGGGATTGGTTTGGAACCTGGTGGGATTTATCTTATCTCTACTCAGCATACCTTTTATTTATCACAGGTAAGCTTTTTAAATTCAACACTTAACAATATGTTTAACAAAAGTGCATGGAAAAATGAATGCGGAAAAGAGTGTATTGCAATAGTACAGTTTATGTACAGCGACAACCATTAAAAAATAGAACAATGGTAGTATTCAACCTTATTTTGGTTTTTTTCCGATGCAAAGTTTTTTTTTGAATCTCTTTCGGCCAAATACTATATCTACCAGGTTATCCGGAGTTTCAATCACATGTTTAGTTGGAATCCATATATTTCCGATCCCATGATTATTTTTAATCCCATATGTTTCAAATCCAATGATTATTTGGAACGCCCTTTAGTTTCAAACCCATCATTTGGAAATTCCTATAATTTGACTCCCATCTTTATTTTGGAATCCTTGTTCATTCCCATGTTTATTTTGGAATCCTTGTTAATTCCCATGTTTATTTTGAATCCCAATAGTTTCACTCTAGTGATTATTTTGAATACATATATTTTTACTCATGATTATTTAGAATCCCTGAACTTTCAATCCCATGTTTTTTGGGAATCCCTACATTTACAACCCCACGATTATTTGGAATCCATAGTTGTAATCCCATGATTATTTGGAATCCCTATATTGCCGATCCCATGTCCCCACAAAACATGACAATAGCAAGACCTTTAAGTCGTCTTGCTACTGTCATGTTTGTGGGACACCCTGTATATTTGAGTAAAGTAAGAGGATATATTCTTGATAAGAGGTTTCAAATTACCTAATCACATGTTTTGTTAAAAGCTATCAACACCTAACCTAAAAAACAACTTGCGATTAAAACTTCTGTAAATACTATATTAATAAACTATGGACAGTCTGTAGAGGCATTCCAAGAGGAAGACCAAGAGGTCAAGGATATAAAGGAAGAGGAAGAGGATACTAGAGACAGTAAACATGCCGAGTTGATCAAAGAGCTGTGTTGCGCGAAAAGTCGAATATATTCCTTATATTGGGATAATCTGTATCTATTGGGATAATCTGTATCTATTGGGATAATCTGTATCTATTTTTTATTCCTAACCTAGTTTAAATCTGCAGGGTTGTGTTGGCTGGTTCTATTAGACCGGAGCAGGATCTCAGGATATATTTATCATGGAGCAGAACCTGCTAATCAATCTAATCAAGTAGATCATGTAGATCAGGTAGATCAGTTAGATCAGGCAGACCAGAGTCTAAAACTAAAGAACGAAAAGTTTTGACTTAAATTTTAAGTTCATGGTTAAATGCCACTTCTGACTTAATTTAAACCTGAACTTTAACCGTGTGGTTAAAATCTTGAAATCCCGCAATCCCTATTTGTCTATCATCATTCAGTGGTAAGCGGCATCCAACTAATTATGATATATTTAGAAGTAAAAACCGATTAAATAAATTTCCCGTTATAGATTTATTAATGTTTGCATGTAAACCCAAAATACTGTTGTAACTGGAAATATATTTTGTCTTCCGTTACGTAAATAATTTAAAACTTAAGAAAACAGCTGATCATACCGATACTTACGTAATAATTCTCCGTAAATCCTTTTCTCTGATTGGTTCAGACTTTTCCCGGGAAATTCAAATTTAAAATTGAGAAGGTTTAATATTTAAGTAGCTATTCATTATTTTACACAACTTTTAACCTCGAACTTAAAATTCGCGCATTCTTTAGTTTTAGACTCAGGTGGATCAGTTAGATCAGGTATAGATCTGGTAGATCAGTTAGATCTGAAAGATCCGGTATTTCAGGTAGATGTGGTCGATCCTGTAGATCAGGTAGATCAGCTAGATCAGGTAGATTAGGTAGATCAGGTAGATCAGGTAGATAAGGTAGATGTGGTATATCATGTAGATCAGGTAGATCAGCTAGATCAGGTAGATCAGGTAGATCAGGTAGATCAGGTAGATAAGGTAGATGTGGTCTATCATGTAGATCAGGTAGATCATGTAGATTAGGTAGATCATGTAGATCAGGTAGATGTGGTCGATTATGTAGATCATGTAGATCATGTAGATTAGGTAGATCAGGTAGTTCGGTTAGATTAGGCATCATAATTTTTCATGTATTTATTATGAGTAGGACGTGAATGAGAATAAAGGTTCGGATGAAGAGTTTGAAGTTTTCATTATTATCATTTTATCTCTTCTTGGTCTTCTTTCTCATCTTCTCATCTCAAGGTGGGAAAAGAATACAACGAAGAATTTAGCAATAAAATACAAGGATTTTAAATATATTTATCCAGGATACTCAATGGTAACTCTACCTCTACCCGGCTCAAGAATATCCATGGATACGTTACAGATATATCCAGGTAAGACTTATGACTTGAAGTATGTATTCTCAACAAATATCCAGGTAGGACTTGAAGGTTCTTCTCCAGATATATTCAGGTAGGACTAGGTTCTTTTCCCCCGATATATTCGGGTAGGACTTAGGAGTAGGTTCTTATACACATACACATATCTAGAAACCAGCGACGTCGCGCGACCAGTCCCATTAGGTCGAGATAGGTCAGGTTAGGTCGGGTTACGTCAGATTACCAAATTGGTCGCAATATGACCAGTCCCCTTAGGTCGTGTTAGGTCAGGTTAGGTCGGGTTACGTCAGATTACCAAACTGGTCGAAACATGACCAGTCCCCCTAGGTCGTGTTTGGTCAGGTTAGGTCGTGTTAGGTCGAGTTACCTAACTGGTCTAATACTGGTCTTAACCTGACCAATCCACTTAGGTCAGATTTGGTCGAGATTGGTTGAGTTATGTCAGGAGACTTAACTGGTCGGAACATGACCAGCCCCCCTAGGTCGTGTTTGGTCATGTTATGTCGGGTTAGGTCGAGTTACCTAACTGGTCAGGTTAAGACCAGTATGAGACCAGTTAGATAACTCGACCTAACCCGACCTAACCTGACCAAACACGACCTAGGGGGACTGGTCATGTTCCGACCAGTTAGGTCTCCTGACATAACTCAACCAATCTCGACCAAATCTGACCTAACTGGATTGGTTGGATTAGGTCGGACTTGGTTGCTTTATCTAACTGGTCCTAACTGTTCATAATTTGACCCTTAAGTCAAATTAGATCTTGCATGGTTGGATTACCAAACTGGTCATAACTGGTCACAACCTAACCAGTGCCCTTAAGTCGGATTTAGGTCGTATTAGGTCGGATTAGGACCTTCTGAGTTTCGCCACTAGATGTCTCCACCTGAAATTTAAATAAAAGCCACTTTTTGGCCTTGGATGGCTAGAATTTTCAAATATTATAATTTTTTTCAACAGAATTGATCTGTAAGATATAATACCCAAATATTTGAAAAAATTGATTGATGTTTTCGGAAAAATCAATGTCAGTAAATTGTGAATTTTGTGACAAATAGAAGTTCTTTTCTACTGTAGGTAATTATTAACGTCGCCATGACGACCTTAGGACGTCCTCTGGTTTCTAGGGTTAAGACTTGGATTAGGTTCTTCTGCAGATATATCCAGGTATGACTATGAATATGTTCTTCTCCAGATATATCCAGGTAGAATTAGAATTTGGTTCGTTTCTAGATGTATCGAGGTTCTGTATGTGTAAAATGCCTTTTTTTCGACTAAGAAATGTGCACCCTTCAGAAGGTGGATGGTGAGGATAGTAAAGGACGGAGAGTGTTATGAATGCCAGAAACAAGCTTAAAACTATTGATTTAATGAGAATCGATACCCATATTGTATACCATGCCCAAAGAATAATCACAGAGTGGGGATGGGGTCTCTTTAATCCTCTTTTTGGATATCCCTACTGTATTAAAGTTGAGTCTTAATAAACATTAAACCAAAACTTATGTTCGTTCAATCGACCATTAGTTCAATTGATATGACACCATCAACACCAGAAATCCTCAAAAATTAAAAACAGGATTTTCAAAAGTTAAAGAGCGCATCTCTAATCTCTAGAAATTAATTTAAAGTCTAAATTAGTCTTGAGATTAGCAAAAAGAGAGGATTAAGCATTGATCTCGATATCCACCATTTTAAAGTTTTCAGCTCTAGTGGGACTAGTAATACGTTCTTTTATAGAATCAAGGTATTCATCCAGGATGGTTTGTAAATTGGGTTTCAATAATATATTATTGTCTACAGGGTGTGTGAGATGGATGGACATTTAGTTTTCTGTCACGCATCTCAGAGATCTCGTCCATCATCCCTTCTCTTCATTCTCCTCTTCATTTATCAGGTTGGTTTCTATGAAGAAAGATATCGGCTAACTCTCCGATATTTTCCTATGGACATTTTCAAAGTTGAAATATCCAAAATCTGCAATTTTTTAAGTGACAAGTTTCTTTATGTACAATTTCCAAAGTATTGCTCGGCCTCATAGCGTATTCTTTTCATTGCACAAGACCAAGAATCTCTAATATCAATCCTAGTCTAAGATATAATTGGAGAAAATGCAAATTTTCAACTGGAGAATTGAAGAATTGTCGAAATTTGGAGGACAATCAAATCAAATCATGAAGTTGGTCACGTAAAATCTAATTTGATTTGATTATTTTCAGATTGAAAGAATAGTTATAGTTCTTAGCCTGGCTGGAATGGTTTTCGCAAAATCAACAGGTCTTATTAATCGCTAATGTTTTCATCTCAAATTCAACTATTCTATTTCCAGGTTCTCATTCTACATCCTGTCTAGATCTTCTTTCCAGGACGGTTTGCTTATCCCTAGTGGTTCTCCAGGTTCTCTGTTCTATTACCGGAGCATTTTGGTTCTTCTGGCAGAGAAATCTTCAGTTTAATAGATTAATGACAAGATACTCCTCCTATCTAGGCCAGGTTGATGTAGCTAGGGGAAGATCTATTCCAACTCCTCCGAACCATAAACGGGTTCATCCACTCCTGCCTCCGAAGAATCCCTACGCGGCATCCAGAGATAACGCGCTCCTCTTCGATCTTCTGGCGACATTACACGGTCCTGGCTCAGGTCTTCGAGTCCTATCCGTTCTTGAGCCGGATATATCGGAGAGCTGGGAGGTTACTGGGCTTACGCTAGAGTTTGAAAGAGGTTCACTTATAGTATTTTGGAAGGATCCAGTTGTACTAGGTTAGTCTTTTTTCAGCCGATCCAGAAATATCCCATTTTTAATTCAAATCCACAGTAGTAAATTAGTTAAAATTAATTTCTGTAAATGCTATAAAACCTAAGTTTACTTTTACCCTAAGGATACATGCCACCAGCAAGCTTGTGTATGAGCTACGGGGTGGAGTTGGATATTCCAGGAATAAGCACTTACACGGCAGTTCTAACCCAGGAGGAGATCATCTATATGAAACAGACCTGGAGTAGAGAAAACCCGGAGAAACTCCATCTAAACAGTCCACAGGTTAATCTTACGTTCCTTCGTTTAATCCTGTGAACAGTCCTCAGATTTACTCTCCAAACATTACTTAGATAAATCCTGTGAATAATCATGTCAATCCTCTAAACAGTTTAAATACTAATCCTCTAAATAGTCATCTTCTGGTTAATCATCTAAAAAGTGTTCTTGTAAATCTGCTAAATAGTTCTGAGGTCAATCATCTAAACAGTTTTGATATTAATCCTTTAAATAGCCCTAAGGTGAATCCTCTAAACAGTTCTAAGGTGAATCCTCTAAATCGTCGAAAGGTTAATCCTCTAAACAGTTCTAAGGTTAATCCTCTAAATCGTCGAAAGGTTAATCCTCTAAACAGTTCTAAGGTTAATCCTCTAAATCGTCGAAAGGTTAATCCTCTAAACAGTTCTAAGGTTAATCCTCTAAATAGTTAAGGTTAATCCTCTAAACAGTTCTAAGGTTAATCCTCTAAACAGTTCTAAGGTTAATCCTCTTCACATTTCTAAGGTTTACCCTCTTCTCCGAATAAGGATTGTTTTCAAACAGTTCTTATCCTTGAAGCTATAATGTGGTTGGGGTTTCTGGTGTAAAAACATAAGAATTGAGCTGAGAATTCTTTAATCTTTATTATTCGAGAATATATAAATGAAAGAAGTAGTCTGTCAGAAAAAAACTAGCTAAAACATTTTTCTGACCTAAATATATTTTGTAAAAAAACGTTGTCACCTAAATTCCTTGTTTACATGGGACACCCTTTGCACTATTTGAATTGTAATAAATAATAATAATATTTCAGGATTTGGTTTATCATCATGAGTTTAGTGAGCAAACCCTCGAAATCCTGGTTGGATTCAATGCCAGAGTTCGGGTGTGGACAGTAGTTCATGGACAACTTATCTCAGCTTCAACATCAACCGTGACAAATCTTCTCATGGCTAAACCTGAACCAGAGGATACAACTCAACCACAACCAGTCCCGGATACCCTGAATCTAGGAGCTGAGATTGATGAATCCAATGAAGAACCCAAGGAGAGAGGTCTTGATGGATCTAGCCCTGGATCTCTGGGACAAGATCAGGTTCGGGTTGAAACGGTTACGACTAGGATATATTCTAAGAAAAGTTCTTCTGAATCTAATCTACTGGTGGAGAGGGGGCAAGGACGGTTTAACCGGAAATCTGGGACCAGGCAGAGTATGCCACAGGGACATACTAACTACGGATTACTGGTTTCAGACGAAGATGAATCAAATCTAGAAATTTGAATAAAAATTTACAAATTCATTTTTTTATAAAAATTATTAATTACTAGCTGAAGGGCTCAGCGTTGCCCGTGGAATTTTTTTTATTTAAGCCCATTCGGTACAGCCGTTTGGCCGGCTATTGGTGACATATATACGAATGTCTTGTTTTATTATATGGAAGAAAGATATTCTAAAGATAACAATGGTTGTCCATAAAACAAAAGGGCTCCAGTACAAAATTAAAAGGGGAGCCCGGAGACGTTCTAATTTTTCACTTACTTTTACTTTATCTTACTAATTATTCTAAAAAGAATAGTTAGAAAATCATTTTTATAGGTTTCCTTGTACAATGTTTTCAGAATCAGATCAAACCCATGCGAGGTGTCCTACATCATATTGGATCACTTAAAAAGAATCAATCATCTAGCAAAAAAATGTATAAGGCGAATATAGAAATTTGTATACAGATAATACTAGGTATTTCGTGTATTATGTATTATGTATTAAAGCTTGAAGATAATCCAATATCATATGGGACGTTCTGTATATACTCCATGCATGAACTTCTATATTGAATTTTAGCGGAAATGAATTGAGTTTTTGTAAAGTCACTGCTAAAATTAAATATCAGAAACTTGATAAATTGGAGTAATAGATGATTTTTGGCAGTGTAATAAGAAAATACTGAAAAGCGAGGAACCCACTTATTCTAAAAACTTTAAGTTTTTAAAAGAAAGATTTTAGAAACCAAAGGTTTTTTATCTAAAAGATAAAATTAATTATTCTGAATAAATGTCTATTTAATAACAGATAAAGATAACAATACCAATAATAATAACAATAATACGTAAATACAAAGGATTTAGAGCCACTCTCTTAAACCCCCAAAGGAACACTTGACTAAAACTCTGATTTTCTAATCACTGTTTCTTTATAATTTGATGGTGTTATCCTTTTTCAACCTTTGACTATCAGAGCTGGGAAATTTAGACTGGATAAACTTTAATCCCTGACTGCTGGATCCGAATATCCCATGTGGAAACTTTTCATTTTAGTTCTTAATCCACTCTTTTTCTCTCCTCAGGTCTAATTAGAATCAACATTTTCAAATATCAAAGGTCGGCCTACAACATCAGGTTTCAAAGATATAAGAATAAGAAAATTAGAGTTTGGGGCAAGTGTTTAGTTCCTTAGACGATTGCCACATCAAGAATTATTTTTAAAATTTTAATAAAGGACTAATTAAACTTAACAATTAAACTAGATAAAAGATAATAAGAAATGTAAAAAAATTAAATAAATAAAAGTAGCTGGCCACTGAGGATTAAATTCTTAAAAAGATTTTACTGATTATATAAAAACACAACAATTGTACTTTGCACAATGGTGTCATTCCCATGTTTATCGGGGCTCCCTGGCAGTTCAACAATTGATATACAGTGAGAAACAGAAAACTCTGGAATAGAAAGACGACTTTTAGACTCAGGTTGACTTTAAACAGTTTTAATAAGTGATTTAGAACTTACTAGTAAATATATTTGCTTTGTAAAAACATCAAATTTATTTCAGTATTGCTTTAATGTCGTTTTCATATACTACAGTTTTCTGGTTACTTCTATACAAAACAAAACAAATTATTTTTAGAAGTTCACACATCTTCTGCATTCAGACTTACAAGTTAAATTCTCCTTGGAGTTCACTGTCTTTTCAAAAGTTCTTGTAAAGTTTGCGTATTTGTTTGGTACAAGGAGATCCACTACGTCTAAGATGGACTGGGGAGATTTGAAGGATGATCTGGTTGCGGAGCCAAGGGAGCAGGCTAGTTTCTCCGAGCAGGTTCCTCCGTCCTTGATCGCGGAGAGGATCAGGATTCCGTTCTCCAGTTGGGATATTGTAGACTCTATATAAACATTTATTTTGGTTTTAAATTATTCTAAAATTGTCATATTTACTGAAACATATTTAATATAAACAAAAAGATATATTATACTTTATCCCAAATTCAGAAAAAGGAATTTTTGAAAGTGGAGTCAGAAGAAACATTTGCGTAATATCTGTTTTTATGGGAATCCAACTCGTTTAAATAAAAGGATTAAATAAACGGATTAGACAATAAAATAAAAACGTGAAGGGTGCGAAGAAAAATGTTTATATATTTTATGATTTTACCAATAATATCTTCATCTCTCCGAGCACTCCTGCCGATTGCAGCGGTTGGGAAGAGAGAACCGAAAACAAAGACTCCGAGAAATATTATTGCAAGCAGCGGAATCCAATCATAGATATCCAGCTTACCATCCCCGTACTGGCTGGTCATTTTATACATTATATCCTGGGTCAATATCATGATTACTTTAATTCATTTACGGGGTTCATACAGTGGTAGGCGATTATATCAATACAATGAAGACGACTTTCGAATTAAATTTTGATATAAAATAAGCTGTTAAACAGCATGGATACAGAAAAACATAGAAGTTAAGAGAATTTATCAATGAAAAAGTCTCTCTTTGATTATAGTAAACTTGTCATTCGAAAACAGCTTTTAACCATGAAAACCAAGAAAAAAAATCGTCTTTATAGTAGGGATATACTCGCTTACCACCGTATCATGCAGTAGGTTTTTAACTCTTAAAGGATGAGATCAGAGCTGGGAACTTTTAAATGGACGCAATGAGTTAAACTTCTTTTGATAACTCAACGGAACTAAGTTCTTGCCACTCAAATTGAAGTCCCTATATCTTTGCAACCTGGTATCGTAGACCTTTGATATTAAAAACTTTGAATTCTGTTGGATCAAATAATCTACGTTTTATAATATCAAGGGTTAACACATCAGGTTGTAAGGATATGGGAATTAGAAAAGTTTTGTTTGCGGCAAAGTTTCATGATTCCTTTGTCCAGCTTTTTAACCGTTTGTATGAAGTTTAGATTATTTCTTAAGCATTGAAATCTTGTAAATAATAAAAATAAAGGAATTGAGTTTTTATCACAAACTCTGATTTTCTAATCCCTATATCTTTGCAATTCAATGTCGGAGAGCATAGATATTTCAAACTATGAATTCTTTTTAATCAAATAATGATAGTTTAAAGTATTAAAGATCTACACCATTAGGTTGCAAAGATATAGGGATTAGAAAATCAGAATTTGTGACAAAAAGTCGTTTTCTGTAGTATAATCATTCTCAAGGCCACGTACGACGCTTGGTGTAGAAGAAATAATTTCCCAAATTCAGAAATGTAAAACAAAGCTGAATAAAAGTCGTCTTTGCTCAATCTCATAATTGCCTAATTGGAAATGTCGCTAAGATTTTGTAATTTATATCTTTAGCCGTGAACATTCAGAGATACATCAGCCATATCTTTCAGAGATACATCAGCCATAACATTCAGAGATACATCAGCCATAACATTCAGAGATACATCAGCCATAACATTAAGAGATACATAAGCCATAACATTCAGAGATACATCAGCCATAACATTCAGAGATACATCAGCCATAACATTCAGAGATACATCAGCTATAACGGTTACAAAAAATCTTACATCACTGATATAAATATTGAACAAAGACGACTTTGATTCAACTTAATTCTGGTAACAACAAAAAAACAAGTTCTACAACTTAAAATTAATCATAATTTTTCCTCTGCCGTGTATGCTATAGAATGCATCATGTTGGATCCTGAATTATGTAAATCCATTTCCTTGAACATATTCTGGGTATTCCGCACCCCCCGCATCATCATGCCGTGCAGGTCCGACATCATGGTACCGAAGAAGGGGGCCTCGGGTCCCTTAGGGCCCAGGTACATTAGGGACATGGGATGAAGGGGTTTCTCGCCCTCGTGATCATTCTCTGGTCTCCCGTACTCATCAGTGTGAAAATCCGGGGCTTTATAGTCGTAAGTTTGTGATTCCTGAACAAAATAAAGCCTTATCAAATTTATGACTCTGAATTTGATCGGTTTTGCCGATCTTTTACCAGAGATCGATAAATTTGAGTTATGCCACAAACTCAAATTTAACAACCTGATCGCGTAAATTGTTGATATTTCAAATTTAGATTATTTGATCAAACAGAGGTCCAATTTAAAGAATTTGAGCAACGGCTTAAATATGGTTGGTACCACTTAAAATCGTATTAATTGTTTCAAGATTTAAGCCGGCGCTTAATTGAAACTGGTATTTGGCGGATTTAGGACGCAGCTCAAATTCATTGAATTTGGACTCGACACAGAATTCATAGTTTGAAATATTAAAGATATACGGCATTGGGCTGCCAAGACATATATCGAATCAGAAAATTTTTGGCAAAATCTTAGTTCCTTTGTAAAAGAGAGCGACTTTGGTTGGTTGATTCTACTACTTCTTCTGTGAGGTCAATACTCAAAATACCTCAAGAGCCAATTGTAAAAACATCTGAACACTGGATCTTAAGGAACTCATTGATCCAGGGTTAGGAATGCGCAAAATTAAAAAGCTTGGACCAGAAGTTGAAAACGGTTAATTTTCTACCGCAATTATAAATATGTAATCAAATGTACTTACTCCAATATGTGAGTTAACAGTGCTGTCAGTGATGTCAGGGTTAACCCGAGTTTGGTATTCTTTCAAGGCCTTGCTCGCGTCCTTGACTAGTTTCTTCTCACCAGAGCTTGTCCATTGTTGCTTGTAAGTCTTATAAGCATCAACCATATCCAGTCTCACAGAGTCCTGGGCAATATGCTGTGTCATCTTAGACACTTGTCAATATGTACTTTTCTTTTTATTCAAACTGTAGAAATATTGAGTTGTTCTATTTTCAGATGTTTGCTCATCATCATAACGAGGATATTAGTATAAACACAGAAAATAAAGATATTTTAAAGACAGAATCAAATTTGTTAACGACGCCGCCAATATCTTTCATCAAACATTTGAGAACAACTTTACAAAAATTTTTAATGTTCAATTTGAAAATACATAAAAGAAGATTTTATTTTTCTCTACTAACCTTAAAAACGGAGTTCTCTCTGACTGCTGTGCTTTCCAGGAAGGACGGAACAAAATTATCAACTTCTCTCTCGTAAACCTTTACTGGAGAAGGTTCAGGTTCAGGTAGGGGTATTTGTTTGTAAACTGAGTAAGGGAAAGGAGGAGCAAGGCTAAGCTCCTGGTGCAGTTGCTGAATAGGGTCAGAGTCTCTCACCTAAACAATAAAAATAATTTTTCGTACTTTTTATCCATGGATAAACCATACCTGGATTGATGTCGAAGAGTTAATCGCCATCGGAGATTGGAATGTTAAGGACGGTTCTTTAGTACCCGGAGATATATGCTGATATCCGTCTTCAATCTCCAGCTTCTTATACTCCTGAACCAGCTCCAGGTCTGAACTAACCCTGGAGGTTTCCGCCTGGTCTATAGTATTCCCTTGGTGTAAGAGAGGAAAGATGGAAGGTTGGAAATCCGCCTCATTCTCCGCCATTGGTTCGTAGGGGTCATCCTGATCATAGTGTTGAGGATAGGACGGATCCTGATCCTGGTCTACATGAAGAGGTTGAGGTTGACCGGGTTCAGGATGAACATGAACCTTGTAAGGGCCCTGTAAACCTGTCTCTTCACCGATCTGAAGTATTCAAAATAAATATTTTTTTTTACAAACTCTGATTTTCTAATTATTTGTCTATACACAATACACAATGTACAACAGAAACTGGACTCCCTTTGTTTACAAACATAGACTTAGAGTTTGTGTGAAACTTAAATATAGATTTTAAAGTAAATTTCGATTTCAGAACTGAATTTTTGCCATTGTGCTGCACATTGAACAATTTTAAACAGCACAATAATGCCTGCATGCCTAATCTGTAAAACAAGGATTGCACAATTTGTGATACCGATTAAGGAAGATCTTGTTGAGAAAAATGGCAAGTTTTTAAATTAAAATATATCTCTTGGTCTGCACTTATGTGTCCATTTTGATAGATTTAAGAGTGGTTGAGAACTAGACATCGTTTTTAATATAATAACAGAGGCGTATTCAGGAATTTTTCCAGGGGACTTAATTATTTTTCTTTCTAGGGGGGACCAAATTTCACCCCAAAACCCCTAAAAAGGATAGATTCAATGATCCAGGGGGGATGAGCCCCCCCCCCTGAATACGCCTCTGGATAAAAACATGGATGTATACAGACATATTTAGGAATGGAGTGAGATTTGAAAGAACAAAATTAAGTAGTTTTAATTTTTAAAGATTAATTCTAGAGTCGGTAGTGCCAGGAAAAATATCTACTTTTCAAAAGTTAAATGACCCTGCAATCTTTGTATGCAATTATACCAAACCAAATAAAACCTTACGGCCCAACCTGTCGTCGTTGTCTAGTCTTGTTCCACTTTAGTATTATTTACTTTGACAGACAATAGCTTAAAAAATGTTTTAGCACAACATAGTTTAATTATTTCTAGATTTAACTGTGCTGAAGGGGGTTTTAACCATGGGGTTTCAAAGAAACTTTTCCTAGACTACCTTCGGTCTTTGAGTATCTCCGTAGAAGAGCGGAGAAGGAGTTGTATCCGTCTTTCCTCCGGGTATAAACTAAACCAGACAGATGATACTTAGATATATGCATAGATACTCAGTAAAGTCAGGATATCGTAGTTTCTTTAATTAGAACCATTTAATTCAAACATTTTAATTATATTCATTTGCGTTGTCAAGGTTAACCTTCAAGTTCATATGCACCAAGAAAAAACTAGTTTTATCATCTTTCACGCTCACGAGCATGCTGCAGATATAATCACTGGAAACATAATTGCTGAAAAAATTATTGCTGGAAACACAGTTTTAAGAAAATAATCGGGGTTTTCTGCTACATATTTGTTAACAATTAAAACAGAGACATGCACGTTTCTAGCAGTTCTGTTTCAGCAATTATATCTGCAACTGTCCAACTGTTATAACGAAGAATTCTTTAATTTGTTTAACAGTAGGAAATTTGGTCTGTACAAAATCAGTTAAAATAAAAATATGAAAAGAGGATTTTAGAAAAAATATTTTTAATATAAGAAGTTAAAAGTTTAACGTAAAAACTGTATCTGTGTCATATCTTAAAATAAAATTTCCCTGAAATTTATTTTCAAAAAGACTCTGAGAAGGATTGTAGATCTGTGGGGTTATATACGTCTCTGGGGACTTGTGAGGTGTTTCGTAGCTCTCAGGAGCTCTAAAGCTCTCTTCATGCTGATAACCGTTGTCAGAGATTTTATGCAGATCTGGAAGATGGGGAAGTGGAATGGAAGTTTTTATCGCTATCCCTAAATTTACAAAAAAATCATATTTCACTACTGGAAAATAATATAAATAATAATTGCAATTGACGATTTTACTCTGTTCGTTAACGTTTATGATGCTTTATCTTAAACGATGTAGGGTTGAAAGAGTAACCATGATTAGGAAGTAACTCGATCTGAACAAAGCGCGACCATTTTCTCGCTTTAGGCTTGATATAAAAATCTTTAAGTTATTTTCGGTGGTAAATGACTGGTTGTCAATTTAAACTTTCTTTTTAGTTCGTTCTTTAACAGATTTTTAAGTTTAATTGGAAATATATATTCAATACCGGCATTATAAGCTCCGATTTTATTTCTTTTTTTGTCAATGTATCATATGAAAAATGTCTCAATCAATGTTTATAATTATATAAGTCAGTTAACACTGAGATCCAGGTAGCTATGAGTGCAGTATCAATTTTCAAGTGCCAACTTTGATATACAGGGTTACCCACAAAGATTGAGACTGTAAAGACGACCTGAAACTCTTTGAATATGAGGTTTCCCAAGTTGAATTAAGTATTCTGCCATGATTATTGTCTGTTTTATGGCCTTTTTTATGATTGGGAAAAGAAAGAATCAAACTTACAGGTGCAGGGAAACAGATAGAGTTAATCCCGTACAGTCGTCTCTGAAGTCTCATCCTTTGAGGATAACCCTGTATATGTAGCAACGCCTTGGCCATTGAAACCAGAAAATCCGTGAAATCTTAAATTGTTTTTTTCTTTCTAATGTACGAAGAAAAATATTTGCAGATAACGTTCAAAAGCTAGAAACAGGCACCAGGGGTGCGATACCTAAGGGTTCAGGAGGACAACACAGGGTTACCCACAATAAATGAGGCTTTCAAGACGACCCAGAAATATCTAGATTTTACAATCTGGAGGTCGAATCTTCTGCCCAAAATAAGTCTTTTAACGTGCAGCTATAGATGGCTTAGTAAATAATTTAGTTTTTTACTGTTGCAGAGAATCAAGAATGTAAGAAGAAGACTAAACAAATTCCGTACAGTCGTCTCTAAATTCTAATCCTTTGTAGGTCCCCCTTTATATAATACCTGGATTGAGCTGGATAAACCCAGAAGAAGATTTTAAAAACAAGATTAGTGAGAGAATAGCACGGACCACCATGCTTTCTGAAGATTTGAAAACTATTTCAAAACGATGTAAATGAAAACTGTTTGAAAAATATTGATACTCATGATGCTCACTGCACTTTCGTAGATTAATGTTTAAAGCGTCCTTTTCCGCCGGTGGTTTGGTTGTGACTTGCTCTAAATGTTTAAATTTTAAGATTCAACTCCGTGAAATGGATGGAGGTAGAGTGTGTACTCCAGGAGTAGGTTAGAACCAGGGGGAAACTCAGTCCTCTCTCCGTACTAACAAAGTCCATTATCATTATATTTAACCTTTCCGTACTACTTTGACATACTTTCTATTACCTTTAACCTTTCCGTCCGACTTTCTATTCTATCTTTCCAATCCGACTTTAACATCTTTTTTTCAATTATTTCAACCCATTCCAACATAATTTACCATTTTTCCACATTTGTTTACTGGTTGATCTAGGCCCTATTATACTACATTGCTAACCCCTTGTAATCTAATACTAACCCCATGTACCGCAATGTTTACCCTCTGTACTTTTTTAAATTATCCGCTGTGCTGAACTGTTTGTACCCCTTGTAATATACTGTACTGTACTTATATACCCTCTGTACTGTACTGATTACTCCAATTTACTATAATGTACTGCAACTGTATTGTACTGTAATGCTTACCCTTAGCACTGTACTATTTACATATATGTACTATAAACCGCCTTTACTGTACTGTTTCCCCCCTGTACAGTATTGTGTACCTCCCTGAGAAGTGTTGTCCCGTCACACCCCATGTACTCCTAAGGTCTCGGTCACAGTGTTGACACACGCCTATCCACACCCTGAACCTTAATCTTCAATACTTCTTTTCTTTGTACAGGATGGACCAAAATATACTGGTTGTCTCAAAATACTTATTTCTTTACACAGTGTGTCTCAGAAAAAAACTTAATTTTTCCTCCAAGGTTTTCCACAACTTCTTCCTTCTGAGAACGTTGTCCCTAAATATATATTTATTTCTCTCCACAGTGTCCAGGAATAGATTTGTTAGTTTTCTTCAGAAAAGGTGTCTTTTACTCATTACAGGGTGTCTCGGAATATATATTTAATTTCTATGATTGTCTCAATGTTTGATTATTTTTTCTTTTAAACAGTGTTATAAACTTTTTATATTCACTAAATATTTTTATATAAAAACTTCGTGTCAGCTTCAAAGATATTATAAACCTTAACGGTGCAATAAACATCCCAGATTTAAACCTGAGAGATATTGACTCATATTAAACCAACCGGGAAATCTTTAATTGAGAAAACATAGTTTAACAACTCAATGAACCTTTAATTAAAGTATTGTGCAAGTTTCGAGGATAAACTGCAAGATAGAAAATTAGGAAACATTATAAACAGGGAATCACCAACCGATCACTAATAGCTCAAGTGCCCGGCGTTGTCGATGCACTAGTAGCTCAAGTGCCCAGCGTTGCCGATGCACTAGTAGCTCAAGTGCCCGGCGTTACCTAGCTCAAGTGCCCAGCGTTGCCGATGCACTAGTAGCTCAAGTGCCCGGCGTTGCCGATGCACTACTAGCTCAAGTGCCCGGCGTTGCCGATGCACTAGTAGCTCAAGTGCCCAGCGTTGCCGATGCACTAGTAGCTCAAGTGCCCGGCGTTGCCGATGCACTAGTAGCTCAAGTGCCCGGCGTTGACGATGCACTACTAGCTCAAGTGCCCGGCGTTGACGATGCACTACTAGCTCAAGTGCCCGGCGTTGACGATGCACTACTAGCTCAAGTGCCCCATGTTGCCGATGGAATTTTAAAAAACTTTTTAACAAATTTTAATTTTAATAAAAAAATGTCCGCTGATTTGCCAGCTATGGCTAACATATACATATATATATGAGCTAAGAGCTTTAATATATAGAATGGCCTATTTATTCAAAGTGAATAAATACTAATGGCCGGGAAAAAGACAAAATAAAGACGACTAGTTGGGCAATAAGCAATTATTTGGTTTGGTAAAACTTTTAAATTATTGTTTCGGGGCCCAATTTATGATATAATGATTAATATGTAATGTTACAGTTGGGTAATAGAATGAATATTCGTTCTATAATATCTAAAAAGTGTTGGCTTTTACTTTAACGCTCCAAAAATCTACTGGATGGGATTTTTCAAGATGTCATTCTCTGCAAATTTGCCTTTGTCACATTATACAAAATTTCAATTCTGACAGAAGATATAGGCGCCTAAACTAAGATATAGGTGCCTAAACTAATATATAGGTGCCTAAACTAAGATATAGGAGCCTAAACTAAGATAAAGGCACCTGAACTAAAATATAGGCACCTAAACTAAGATATAGGCGCCTAAACTAATATATAGGCGTCTAAACTAAGATATAGGCACCTAAAAGAAAATATAGGCATCTAAACTTAGAAATAGGCGCCTAAACTAAGATATAGGCGCCTAAACTTAGATAAAGGCACCTAAAAGAAAATATAGGAACCTAAACTAAAAAAAACAAATCGTATAAAAAGTCGTCCAGATGTGACCTATAGCGTCAGAGTCAACATTTTTTAAAGTGTAAAAATCGTATTACTAAGTTAGTCTTAAACAATAATTTTTATTTTATGTTGAGTTTTGTCATTTTTGAAAATTTGTATATGAAAACCAAGCTACATATGATTGAGTCGACTTTAAAGTGTCTCAAACATAGAGAATAGAATATATATTAGAGAGGAATTTAAAGAATCTCTCGGTATGAATTTTTTCAGTCCCTTTCAGCCTGAAAGGGAGTTCAAAGTGTACAAATCATGTAAATGTTCACAAATTATATGCAGTAGAGTACATTAGTCATTAATACAGTATGTTCCCTAGACTATTCATTTCAATTTCGAATTTTTTAAACTGTTAAATAAACTTTATAATGAATTTGGTGAATAAAAAACATCATTTGATTTATAGTTATAACGGAAAATCATCGTTTGTAAAGTGAAAGGCAAAGAGTCTATGTGAAATGATCATTGGTCAATTATGAAACCAGCCTATGTCATAATTTGGTTTTCTTTTAACAATAATTTTAGATTTTCTATAAAATGATATTCCAGGGCCCAAAAGGTTATATAGCATAACTATGTGAAGTACACCTGCAGTATGGAAACAGTACAACAAAATGGCCGTTTTACACTTTTTCCTAGTAAATTCCTCTCTAATACATATTCTATTCTCTATGGTCTCAACGCCTTGCTGCCCTTTAAATTATGCTTTTTTTAGTAGTAAACAGCATTCTTAAAGGGACTGTCACATGATACAGACAGAAATCACGTGACCAGTATGCTGCACTGCCATTGGTTGAAGTTCCGGTGACGTAATACGGACTATACGGACACAGTTTGACAAAGTTTTATATCAATTTCACGAGACAGGAACATCAGACAGATGTCTTATATGTATCGTTCAACGCCTGAGATTCTCAGGCTTCATTATCTTTTCATTTTTCCTTTACAGTCCCTTTAAACTATAATAAAGCACTTGATTTTAGCCTCAGATTCTAATTGGCAAATTCTCAACGATTTTTAATGGGAGCATGCAGCCTTTGGGAAACTGAGCCTATTTGGTATACATATCTGTTTGTTCGTCTGTTTGTATCCTATAAATGTCAAAACAGCTGAACCGATCAGGATCAAATTTTGTGTGGGACCTCGCATGACCCCAGGGAAGGTTTATGTATGCACCGAATTAGAAAAAGTAGTATCCCAAAGTTTTTGATTTTAGTAAAATTTTAAAAATACGTCAAAAATTTTAAAATCCGAAAACTTTTTTGTTATTGGTTTATACTGTACAAAGAGAAGATGCTCACATATATTAAGTTAAAATAAAGGATGAATGCAAAAAAGCCTGGTATTAAATATATTCTACATTTATACGATTTGTTGAATTAATAAATGAAAAAAATTTTATATGAATATAATCTTTAAATCTTTAGGATTATACAGCTTTTTCAACAAGAACACAAGAAAACATATCTATAGTTTGTAAGAAATCTAAAAATCTGAAAAAAAAATAATACAATGATAACAGGTTGCAAATACATCTTCGACATTTGGCTTATCTCGATCCACCTTCTTTACAAATTACGCTGAACATTGTCTTTAAGATTTATATTATTTCAATAAATTTGTTTATTTTGTACTTTTGTTTATTGAGAGATAAGAAGAAAATATTCAGTTTCATCTTATTCTTGTTGTAAATAGTTATTATATCTATTAAAATTGAATTATTGTTTTTCTGTGCCCTTGGATCAATTTCTCTTTACAATTTGTATGTCTTGTTTTTTCAATGTTAATTAGATTTATCCATGTTCAATGTTCTTAATCTCTTTTCTTCCTTTAACTCTTTATCTCTTATCTAAATAGATTTTTTTCTTGTTTTCTCATGTTTTTAAATCCAAAATTTTCTTTCTTTCTTTTAACAGATTTTTTTAACATTTTTTAACATTTAACATTTTTTTTCTTGGATTTTTTTATTATTTCCATTTGCAATTCTTTCTAAAAATCTTTTTTTCCTTCAAATTTGTCATTACTTTGAGTTATTTATTTCGTTTTAATGGTTTATTGACTTATTGACCGATTATTAGAATTTGTATTTGGTAAAAAATAAAAAATACTTTATTAATATCCAGAGAATATTGTAAAGATGATACCTAAAGAGTACCAGGAATATCTCAAGTATGGAATGTATGGCGGAGCAGGGTTGGCTCTCGCAGTTGAGTTTCAAAACCTTAAACTAGGTAATCTATATAATAAAACAAGACATTCGTATATATGTTCCTTCTGGCCGGTCAAACGGCTGGACCGAATGAGCTGACATTTTTTGTGGACACTAATTGGTAGCCTGGGGATGAAAAAGGCGAGAAAAATTCGAATTTAAAAAAAATTTCTCGGTCAACGCCGGGCCTTTCATCTGGTATATATATATTATATATCTACTATCTAGAGACATCAACGCCACAATAGGAAATGAGCTTTTGTTACAAACTCTAATCTTTTTCAGCCCTTTATCTTTGCAACCCGATGTCGCAGACCTTTAATATTTCCAATAATGAATTCAGAAATATCTAAGGTTTTTATACCATCAGGTAGCAAAGATATAGGAATTAGAAGATTTAAGTTTTTGGCTAGAACTAAATTTCTTTGTGTTTGCGAAAACTGCCACAAATGTAGCCTGCTTTATAATGTCGTTGAAAGAAAAAACAGTGATAATAAAACAAATCCATCATTCGTGGAAATCTAGTTTAAAGGTTTGGCAGTTTTATACTTTAAATTCCAAGACCCTGAGTTTTTAATTCTGTAATTATTAAAATATTTTTCTATGGTTCATAAATCTTAAATGTTCTCATTAAACAAGTAAATAAAAAATTAATTTAATGGAGGCGGGTGGGGGGCGGGCGGTTGGAGAGAAAATGGATTTAGGATTTGAATTTTATCTTGTTTTAGCTTACAATACCATTGGAAGGGATATAGAGTATGGATACAGGAAACCCATAAAAATTAAAGAAACTAAATGAATTTAAAGTTTTTAAAATAACATCTCATTCTTTTTTTTGTTGCATTTAGTCTAATTTTTAATCAAATGGGTTGGTTAGAATTGGAAACGGATTGAGACACATGCTGAACTTCCAAAAAAACAACATGACAATTCATCAGCTGTTTTACAACACGTGCAGGAACCATCCACAGAAGGTCGCCATTTTGAAATTCTCTTGACATCCAACTAAAATCGTACTTTCAGGTAATGATATATTTCGAAGAGGAGGAGTGGACGTTCCAGGATATAGAAGATTATTCAAACAGGAAAACATCAATTCTGATAAGAAATAACAAAACTCAAATTCAAATCAAGAAATTGAAAAATTTGATAAAAGGAATTAAAAATAAAAAACTTAAAAATTAAAAGTATGTTCTTCTTAATGTCTATTAAGTATATCAGAGTTGTTGGATAATCACAGGGTTGGGAACTATTTCCTGGAGCAGGGTTGGAGACGAGGAGATGTGGTTGCTCTCTTCATGGAGAATAAACCTGAATATGTTGGAATACTTCTAGGTATCTTTTATTTCTTGTTTAAAAGATATATTAATAATTTAAAACAGAAATAGATTAACAGACGGAAAGATGATCAAATGTACAGATGAAAGATAAAAATATGAACAATCAAAAGTTCATAATTGCAGATATTTTAATGTTCCGCATTATTCCATGTTTAATTTACGTTTATTGTATTAAAATTATAGTTTCAAGATCTAGGGGTTTCTATTTTCAGGTTTATCTAAGATTGGAGTGACTGCAGCTCTGATAAATACTAATCTAACAATGAGGTATTTTTCATATTTAGATCTCATTTTTTTTATTAAACTGTTTGCTCTCTATTTAGTTCTTTGATTCATTGTGTTACGGTTGGGAATTGTTCCGGGATCATCTTTGATTATCAGCTCTCGGAGCAGGTTCAGGACGTAGAACTAGAGCTCAGGTTAGTTTATTCATTAGCTCTCGGAGCAGGTTCAGGACGTAGAACTAGAGCTGAGGTTAGTTTATTCATTAGCTCTCGGAGCAGGTTCAGGACGTAGAACTAGAGCTGAGGTTAGTTTATTCATTAGCTCTCAGAGCAGGTTCCGGACGTAGAACTAGAGTTCAGGTTAGTTTATTCATTAGCTCTCGGAGCAGGTTCAGGACGTAGAACTAGAGATCAGGTTAGTTTATTCATCAGCTCTCAGAGCAGGTTCAGGACGTAGAACTAAAGCTCAGGTTAGTTTATTCATTAGCTCTTGGAGCAGGTTCAGGACGTAGAACTAGAGCTGAGGTTAGTTTATTCATTAGCTCTCAGAGCAGGTTCAGGACGTAGAACTAAAGCTCAGGTTAGTTTATTCATTAGCTCTCAGAGCAGGTTCAGGACGTAGAACTAGAGCTCAGGTAGGTTTATTCATTAGCTCTCAGAGCAGGTCGAGGACGTAGAGCTAGACCTCAGGTAAATTTATTTATTAGCTCTCAGAGCAGATTCAGTACGTAAAACTAGAGTTCAGGTAGGTTTATTCATTAGCTCTCAGAGCAGGTTCAGGACGCAGAGCTAGACCTCAGGTAGGTTTATTTATTAGCTCTCAGAGCAGATTCAGAACGTAAAACTAGAGTTCAGGTTAGTTTATTTATTAGCTCTAAGAGCAGGTTCAGGACGTAGAACTAGACCTCAGGTAGGTTTATTTATTAGTTCTAAGAGCAGGCTCTTAGAGCAGGATCAGGATGGACGTGGAACTAGAGCTTTGGTAGGTTTATTCATAAGCTCTCAGTGCAGGTGCAGTGGCGTGGAACTAGAGCTCCGGTGTAGGTTTATTCATTAGCTCTCAGAGCAGGATTAGAACGTAGAACTAGAGCTTAGGTAGGTTTATTCATTAGCTTTCAGAGCAGGATTAGGACGTAGAACTAGAGCTCAGATGGTTAGTTTTAACTGTTTTAATTTGGTGGATTTTTTGTTTCAGACGAAAATCTGGCCGATTTGAGTTGTATCAGCTAGACAAACCAGACCTGTTTTCTCTCTCCCCACTAGAAATTAGTCTTAAGGGTTCTATCCTACTGGAGAAGGTAGGCTTCAAGGGTTCTTCCCTACTAGAGAATGTAAGGTTCAAGGGTTCTATCCTAATGGAGAAGGTAGGGTTTAAGGGTTCTATCATAATGGCGAAGGTAGTGTTTAAGGGTTCTATCCTGATGGAGAAGGTCCGGTAGTGTTTAAGGGTTTTATTCTAATGGAGAAGGTAGTGTTTAAGGGTTTTATCCTACTGAAGAAGGGTTCAAGGGTTCTAACCTACTCAAGAAGGCAGGGTTCAATGGTTCTATCCTGCTTAAGAAGGTAGGGTTCAAGAGTTCTATCCCACTCAAGAAGGTAGGGTTCAAGAGTTCTATCCCACTCAAGAAGGTTTAGTCTATCCTGCTTAAGAAGGTAGGGTTCAAGGGTTCTATCATATTGTAGGAGGTACGGTTCCAAGGTTCTATCATTCTGGAGAAGAAAGGGTTCTATCCTACTGGAGAAGGTAGGGATAAGGGTTCTATCCTACTGGAGAAGGTAGGGTTAAAGGGTTCTATCCTACTGGGTAAAATAGTGATCAAGGTGGAGAAGGTAAGGTTTAAGTGTTTTATTTTAATCAAGAAGGTATGGTTTCAGTTCAAGATTGTTCAGAGCTCTTCGTTTTCCCATAGTGGACCAATACTCTTAAAACTAACTATATCTTATACATATATATATATATATATATATATATATACATATATTGTTAGAACTAGGCAGATATTTTGAAAATTCCAGAAACAATTCAATAATTAAGCGCTTTTTTGCACAACAAAATGCAGAGAAATAATAGTTATATTATATTTAACCTTTCAGGAGTTGAATAGGATGAAATCTACTCCTGTTCCTAAATCTGTGAGAAAACAGATTCAGACCTCAGACAGCCTCTGCTATATCTACACATCAGGTTTAATTCTATGTTGGAATAAAAACACATCAAGTTGAAAATTGAGGTGGGAACTTTAGTGTTAGATATCGATAATCCCGATATCCACAGCGGGCACTTTTAAATTTTTACAAAGAATCTTTTTGATCTCTAAATTTTGGTTATCTACAATTTCTTTGTTTTCTCATTGGTTAAACAAAAAACTCAATGGCTTTTGAATAGCTGATTTCCCCCCGCATTTGACACTCTGATTGGTTCAAGTTTTGCACTTCACTAGATATCGAATAACGATATATTAGATTAATCTGTAGATTAACAAAAATGGAGATCAAGCATTAATCTCGAAACTCCAATACAAGAGTTCCCTCTACCTCTGAAGAACCACTGATTTAAAGAGTCTAAAATTGTCCATAAACTTTACAGCAATATTACTCCGGGAAAACACATTGAAACTTCAGTTTGTTTTATAACTTTATCCCAAGCTAGTGTTAACAAGAAACATGGGTTCTGTTTTAAAATTTAAAAATATAGATTTGCTTATTTTAAGATATCTTAAATAAGACACTTTAATCTACGTTCTCAGTTTTATTAAACTCTATTGTTTTCTAGGTACAACTGGACTGCCTAAACTATTTTGTTTTCTAGGTACAACTGGACTGCCTAATCTCTGTTGTTTTCTAGGTACAACTGGACTGCCTACACTATATTGTTTTCTAGGTACAACTGGACTGCCTACACTATATTGTTTTCTAGGTACAACTGGACTACCTAAACTATATTGTTTTCTAGGTACAACTGGGCTACCTAAACTCTATTGTTTTCTAGGTACAACTGGACTACCTAAACTCTATTGTTTTCTAGGTACAACTGCAGTCTACCTAAACTCTACTGTTTTCTAGGTACAACTGGACTGCCTAATCTCTATTGTTTTCTAGGTACAACTGGACTGCCTAAAGCTGCGTATCAAGACCACTCCAGGTTAATTTACATAAATCAGGATTTAAAAAAAGAAATCATTGGCTTCCATTTGCTAAATCGCAAGCCTTATTTTTTGTCCAAAAATAACATTTTTAATTGAATGAAATCTGTTTCAGAATTTAGAAAATATGAAAATTACAAGTTTTTAATTGATTTTTAGGTTTTACATGGGGAGTAACATGGCAACCTTTGGGTGTGGAGTTCAAACTGATGATAGAGTTTATAGGTTCAGAATTTAATCTTTTCATTCTTCTACTTATTTATTCTTTCCTTTTCTCAACAATAAACTTAACCATCATTCCTCTCGACTCTTAATGATGAATTCATTTCTTATCTTCTCCTACCTTTCATCTTTCCACTTATTTATTCTTCTAAAGGATATAGTTCAAAACAATTCTCTTGTGCACCTGTATTAATAGTATTTAATTATCATTCTAAAATTCATTTACACATTTCATTTATCAATTTTTACTCTCTCTGAACTCTGATAAATTTTTATTGCTATAGGCTTTTTCTTAATATTTTTCATAATCTCTTTTTTTCCAGTATTCCTTGTATCTCTTGTTAACTTCAGTGCCTTGCCAATGTACCACTCCTCCTCTATGTGGATGGCTGTTGGAGCTGCGATCAATGTTGGATGTTCTGTTATAGTTCGGAAGAAGTTCTCAGCTTCCAACTATTGGGAGGATTGTGCCAGGTGAGAAGACGACTTTTGCATTCGTCACTAGGCTTATAGATACGTCATTTTAAGTGACCCTCCATATAAAAGGGCCATTACCGATTAGCAACGGAACCCTTTAAACATTTTTTTTGAGCCAAAATGATGAAGATATTCTTATTTTCCTTTTTTAATTTCAATTGTGGTTTCTTGATGTCAAAGACTTGCGGATATGTGCAGCAAAGACAAAGAGGGAAAATGTCGAAATTCAACACATTTTCAGATATGTAGATAAAAACACGATTTTCCTGAGATTAGATTTTAAAGTCCCTTGAAATCATTTTGACATCTTCTAGAAATCCAACCCAGATTTTAATATACGCTTATATACAACATACAGGGTGTCCCAAAAAACATGGGAATTCAGTGACGAATTTGATATCGTCTTTGTTATGAATTAGCATTGTAATACCTAATTTCAAAAGCCATAATATTATTATGTCTGCTAGAGCTTATTTTATAAAAAGGGTAAAAGACTGTAAAGATGTGTCTATAATGTCTCCGCAAGATGAACAGTGAAGACAGACAAGTTTACTCTGTTTGCATACTGCAATTTTCTTGTTTTACTACGTACAACTGTATGCAGTCAAAACATAAACAAACAAAATGTAAACATAGCAGACGAAACTCTTACAGATTACAGCTTTCTCAGTAGGTATCACTAAACTAAATCAAAGAATTATTTGAAAAGACGATATCGAATTCGTCACTGAATTCCCATGTTTTTTGGGACACCCTGTACATAACTAACCTTAGTTAATATCCAGGTACAAGGCAACCTGTGCTCAATATATCGGAGAGATTTGTAGATTCCTTCTGCAAAGTAAACCCAACCCGGCAGAGAAACAGCATAGTCTCAGGTCAAAATAATCTAAAAATGATAAATCTTTATAATTCAAACCAAAGATAGTAAAACAAATATGTCTATCCTGTTTACAGAATGATGTACGGAGTAGGATTAAGACCTGAGATATGGAAGGAGTTTGTGACAAGGTCAGAGTTTGTTCAAAATCGAACTAAAAAACATATTTTTACAAAAACTGATTAACTTTCCTCAAACTTTAAATTTCTAGTCCTTTCATCTTTGCAACCAAGGAGTATGAAATAGAAGTGAGATATAACTGACGAGGCCGCCCCACCATATGATTATACATGCTTTGCAAACGGTACTCCATTTGTATAAGAAATATTCAGAATAGGTTATTGTAAACGCGGTAATTGTACATCAGACAAATATTTCTTATACAAACGGAGTACCGTCTGCAAAGCATGTATAATCATATGGGTAGGGCGACCGCGTCTATTTCATACTCCTTGTTTGCAACCCTTGATATTTCAAAATATGAGTTCTGCGTGTTCTGCTAGATCAAATAGTCAATGACTGAAATATAAGGTTAAATCAGATAGCAAAGATTAAGGGTATGGAATTTTACAGTTTGTGGAAAATAATAAAGTTATTTTCTTATAAGGTTTAATATCCCAAGTATTCGAGAGTTCTATGGATCAACAGAAGGAACCTATGGAACCATTAATATCAGGTATTCACGAGTTCTATAGGATCAACAGAAGGAACCTATGTTACCATTAATATCAGGTATTTATAAGTTCTTGGATCACTGAAAGAACCTATGGAACCATTAATATCAGGTATTAGAGTTCTATGGACCAATAGAAGGAATCTATGGAACCATTAATATCAGGTATTCATGAGTTCTTGGATCAACTGAAAGAACCTATGGAACCATTAATATCAGGTATTCATGAGTTCTATGGACCAACTGATGGAACCATTAATATCAGGTATTCATGAGTTCTATGGATCAATAGAACCAGAAGGAACCTATGGAATTATTAACATCGTGTATTCATAAGTTCTTGGATCAACAGAAGGAACCTTTGATACCATCAATATCAGGTAGTGTAGAGTTTATGGATCAACTAAACCATCAATATCAGGTAGTATAGAGTTTTTGGATCAACTAAACCATCAATATCAGGTAGTATAGAGTTTATGGATCAACTAAACCATCAATATCAGGTAGTATAGAGTTTATGGATCAACTAAACCATCAATATCAGGTAGTATAGAGTTTTTGGATCAACTAAACCATCAATATCAGGTAGTATAGAGTTTATGGATCAACTAAACCATCAATATCAGGTAGTATAGAGTTTATGGATCAACTAAACCGGTAGTATAGAGTTTATGGATCAACTAAACCATCAATATCAGGTATGGAAGAAAAATTACAAAGCATGGTCAGAAAATGTTCAATATCTTGGTTAATTCTTCTACGACTTTTCTTATGTTCTTTATATACAACTTCAATCCTATGATAACGTTCTTGACGTTCTATCCCTTCGTAACGTTCACACAATCTAAAATCTGAACTACAAACTATTCATAACGGTTTTAAACTACAATCCCTGTGTAGCGGTCCTAAATCATATTTCATTTTAAACCATTTGTAACGTTATTGAACTTAAAAGCCGTTCTTTGCATTCTTGAACGTTCTTGAACTAAATTATAAATTCTTATTTTTTTATTTAAGGAGCAAAGAAGGAGCTTGTGGTTTTATTCCTCAGTTCTTGAACTACAATCCATTCGCTCTTATCAGGGTAGACGAAGATACTGATGAAGTTCTCAGGCAGAATAGAACAAACCAGATCAATCAAACTATGTTTTCAGAGCTGGGAACTTTTGAGTTGGATATCCTTAATCCGATGCGTTTCATCCACTGTTGACACTTGTAGGATATCCCTGCTGGGTTCCGACTAATGAGCGTTAATGAGCGTTCTCTAATTGGTTGCGCGCAAATTTCCCGGCTTTTAATTGTGTTTTTGCAAACGGCACTCTGATTGGTTGATTTTTAAACACTTTCCTGAAAATTAATTAAAGATTAAATTAATATGCAGATTAACAAACAATTCAATTGTTTCCAGCTCAGAGCTGGGAACTCTTGTACTGTGGATATTGAGATCGATGCTTGGTCTTGATATTTTGTGAATCTGAGGATTGATATAATCTTGATTCGATATCCCGTATGTTAATCACACCCAATCAGGGAGCTTTGATCAGGGGAGGAATGATTGAAATCAAGTGATTGAGCATTGATCCTCAAATCAAAAGTGCCCAAAGTGAATATCGAGATCAAGCAATCGGAATTTTTATTATCCAACGCAGAAGTTCCAATAATTCAATGATAAATATATTGTTATTTTTAAAGCAAACATTTTTCATCTTGTAAGATGGGTGGGGGACGGGCAATATGTTTGAAAGAGATAAAGTGAACGTGGTTTGTTCTATGAAGAGATAAATCTGGTCTTTGTATCACCTGTAAACCTGGAGAACCCGGAGAAATGGTTGGATTGGTCCGAACCTCAGACAGGATCCTAGTCAGATGACCTAAACTTAAATCTTATTCACTTGGTTAACTTACTTCACTGAATTCTTTGTTTTCTTTTTCAGTTGAACTAAATTTGTCTCCGAAATACCTGATCCTTTGAAGGTCTGTAATTGAAACGGGTCTGTGTACACTGCACAATTCCTGTGTTTCATGTTCATTGGACTATTTGTAATGTGTACTCAATAAAAAACGGAATAACTATGCGTACGCTGGGTTCTCAAGCTAGTAATAAATAATATTTATCACGTATCACTGTACAGTGTACATCATGACTCTGGTTTAAACTGTACAGAGGAGGTCCTGGTAAGTTTAAGGCCTATGTTGATGATAAGGATCCTAACAAGGGGAAGATTATTCGGAACGTCTGGAAAAAGGGAGATATGTGCTTCAGGTGGGTTTTATCATTTAAAAAAGCGGATTGTCCTTAATTTGTCATTTTATTTTTATTTTTTTTATTTTACACTTTAAAAAAGAATATAATACTAAAATAAGTCCGAAAATAGTATGCAAAAAAGTGTTGAAACCTAATTATTGTCTTTAAAAAAGTAAATTTTAAGTTTGACTTGAACATTTCACCCATAAAAATTGTGGAATGGGACGACGACATTTATGCAATCTTGATGTTCTGAACTGAAAAATAACGTTATCATGCATTAGCTTGAAAATCAATCTATTACAAGTTAAATCAATCCATTGCTGATTCCTATGTTTCTTTTTATTTGATTGTTTAAAATCTGGAAAAAGCCGATAGTACTAATTCTTTTTAAAAATATGAATATTGTTGAACTTAAATGTTAGGTTCAATAAATAATATAATTAATATAAATGTAAAAAAAGATAATACACCAAGAAACCTCACGTTTGAAAACACGATGTATACTGCTGATAAGTGTATTCAAACTCAGTACTGCTCAGGCTAAGTTCCCCCCACCCCCCAAAAAAATTAAAGAAAAAACTTTATTACACAATACGCATTTATAGTACAAAAGATATAGGATCTTCTGTGTGTATTTTCCTTGGTTATATATTTAGGTCTGGAGATATTCTTGTAATGGATTACGAGGGTTGGCTCTATTTCAAGGATAGGAAGGGAGACACCTTCAGGTGGAGAGGAGAGAACGTCAGCACTACGGAGGTGGAAGGAGTCATAGCTAAACTTCTGGATAATGTATCCAATGTAGTTTACGGAGTAGAGGTAAACTCTTGGATGGTGTATCCAATGTAGTCTACGGAGTAGGGGTAAACTATTGGATATTTTATCCAACGTAGTTTACGGAGTAGAGGTAAACTCTTGGATATTGTATCCAACGTAGTGTACGAAGTAGATGTAAACTCCTGGATAGTGTATCCAATGTAGTGTACGAAGTAGAGGTAAACTCCTGGATAGTGTATCCAATGTAGTTTACGGAGTAGAGGTAAACTCCTGGATAGTGTATCCAATGCAGTTTACGGAGTAGAGGTAAACTCCTGGATATTGTATCCAATGTAGTTTAAGGAGTAGAGGTAAACTCTAGGATAGTGTATTCAATGTAGTTTACGGAGTAGAGGTAAACTTCTGAATAATGTATCCAATGTAGTTTACTGAGTAGAGGTAAACTCTTGGATAGTGTATCCAATGTAGTTTACGGAGTAGAGGTAAACTCTAGGATAGTGTATTCAATGTAGTTTACGGAGTAGAGGTAAACTTCTGAATAATGTATCCAATGTAGTTTACTGAGTAGAGGTAAACTCTTGGATAGTGTAACCAATGCAGTTTACGGAGTAGTGGTAAACTTCTGGATAATGTATCCAATGTATTTTACGGAATAAAGGTAAACTGCTGGATATTGTATCCAACGTAGAGTACAGAGTAGAGGTAAACTTCTGGATATTGTATTCAACGAAGAGTACGGAGTAGAGGTAAACTTCTGGATATTGTATTCAACGTTGAGTACGGAGTAGAGGTAAACTTCTGAAAATTGTATCCAACGTAGTTTACGGAGTAGAGGTAAACTCCTGGATATTGTATTCAACGTAGAGTACGAAATAAAGGTAAACTCCTGGATATTGTATTCAACGTAGAGTACGGAGTAGAGGTAAACTTCTAGATAATATTGTATTCAACGTGGTTTATGGAGTAGAGGTAAACTCCTGGCTATTGTATTCAACGTGGTCTATGGAGTAGAGGTAAACTCCTGGATATTGTATCCAACGTAGTTTAAGGAGTAGAGGTAAACTCCTGGATATTGTATTCAACGTAGTTTAAGGAGTAGAGGTTAACTCCTGTATATTGTGTCCAACGTAGTGTACAGAGTAGAGCTAAACTTCTAGATAATATTGTATCTAACATAGTGTACGGAGTTGAGGTAAACTCCCGGATATTGTATCCAACATAGTTTAAGGAGTAGAGGTAAACTCCCGGATATTGTATCCAACGTAGTTTAAGGAGTAGAGGTAAACTCCCGGATATTGTATCCAACGTAGTTTAAGGAGTAAGGTAAACTCCCGGATATTGTATCCAACGTAGTTTAAGGAGTAGAGGTAAACTCCCGGATATTGTATCCAACATAGTTTAAGGAGTAGAGGTAAACCCCCGGATATTGTATCCAACGTAGTTCACGGAGTAGAGGTAAACTCCTGGATATTGTATCCAACGTACAGGGTGTCCCACGGAACATGACAGTTGATAAATATTTTTGAATGTCGTCTTCCATACACTGTATTAGATATTAAAGGCTGTTTGCAGTTTATTTCGTTTAAAAAATCTTTTGCTCTAGGATATTTTACTTTGAAATTAATGCTACTATAATATGACTCCTAAATAATATTTTTATTATTGTTTTTCGTATTAAAAAACTTATCAAATTATGGAAGAAGACATTCTAAACTATTTATACCAACTGTCATGTTTCGTGGGACACCCTGTAGTTTAAGGAGTAGAGGTAAACTTCAGTACACCTTGTGAATCTTTCTTGATAACAACGATCATATAATAGGTTCCTGGTGTATCTTCCTTCATAACAACGATCTTATTGTAGGTTCCTGGTTCGGAAGGTAAGGCTGGTATGGCTGCAATACAAACTGGAAACTCTATAGACCTAGGAACAAGCTTTTTCTTTGATTCCCAGAGATTTATTATCATCACTCTACATGAATGTGCAACTGTGTACCTTCTTTTAAATTTTTAGAAAAATAATTAAATTGTTATTATTTATCCCAGTTTTTGCTCTGTATTTTTCCGTTTACAGTTTCTAGATGCTTCGCCCCTTTGAAAAAACTTAAGGAGAGCGACCAATTAAAACAGTTGCGCCCTAAACAATAGAACGAAAAAACGCAGAGCGTGGGAGGAATGATGCGCCAGTAATATTAAGAGTGCGGTAACCTTTAATAATGTTGAAAATGTATAAATTATACGAATTAAACAGATGATAATTTATAAAACCCGCGCCATTTTATTTTTTGATTTAACAGATTTTGATTTCAGGTCCATTACTCATGTCGTTATCATTGAAAGATCAACGCAGCTAATCAGAAATCAGAGTAAAATATGAATACTTGGAATTTTGTTAAATTTCAAAAAAAATTGTGAAAATAAGCTTTGAATTGTAGATAAACTGTGTGAAGGATTAAAGAAGGAACTGCCCAGCTATGCCAGACCAATTTTTATCAGGTTTTAAAATTTACTTACATTGTTTTATGATATTGTTATGAATCGTTTATCAACATTGCTTTGTTTTAGGCTTGTGAAACACCTTGATATTACAGGAACTTATAAACTTCAGAAAACAGAACTTCAAAAAGAGGTTAGATTATCTCAGCGTTGGTTAATATACAGAGGGTTTATTTATCTCAGGGTTGGTTAATATACAGAGGGTTTATTTATCTCAGGGTTGGTTAATATACAGAGGGCTTAGATTATCTCAGGGTAGGTTAATATACGAAGGGCTTAGATTACATCAGGGTTGGTTAAAATATAGAGGGTTTAGATTATCTCAGGGTTGGTCAATATACAGAGGGTTTCTTTATCTCAGGGTTGCTTAATATACAGAGGGTTTATTTATCTCAGGGTTGGTTAATATACAGAGGGCTTAGATTATCTCAGGGTAGGTTAATATACAGAGGGCTTAGATTACATTAGGGTTGGTTAAAATATAGAGGGTTTAGATTATCTCAGGGTTGGTAAATATACAGAGGGATTATTTATGTCAGGGTTGGTTAATATACAGAGGGTTTATTTATCTCAGGGTTGGTTAGTATACAGAGGGCTTAGATTACATCAGGGTTGGTTAAAATATAGAGGGTTTATATTATCTCAGGGTTGGTCAATATACAGAGGGTTTATTTACCTCAGGGTTGGTTAATATACAGAGGGTTTATTTATCTCAGGGTTGGTTAATATATACAGAGGGTTTAGATTATCTCAGGGTTGGTCAATATACAGAGGTTTTATTTACCTCAGGGTTGGTTAATATACAGAGGGTTTATTTAAATCAGGGTTGGTTAATATACAGAGGGTTTATTTATCTCAGGGTTGGTTAATATACAGAGGGCTTAGATTATCTCAGGGTTGGTTAAAATATAGAGGGTTTAGATTATCTGAGGGTTGGTTAATATCCAGAGGGTTTAGATTATCTCAGGGTTGGTTAATATACAGAGAGTTTAGATTATCTCAGGGTTGGTTAATATACAGAGGGCTTAGATTATCTAAGGGTTGGTTAATATACAGAGGGCTTAGATTATCTCAGGGTTGGTTAATATACAGAGGGTTTAGATTATATCAGGGTTGGTTAATATACAGAAGGTTTATTTATCTCAGGGTTGGTTAATATACAGAGGGCTTAGATTATTTCAGGGTTGGATAATATACAGAGGGTTTAGATTATCTCAGGGTTGGTTAATATACAGAGGGTTTATTTATCTCAGGGTTGGTTAATATACAGAGGGCTGAGATTATCTCAGGGTTGGTCAATGTACAGAGGGCTTAGATTATCTCAGGGTTGGTTAATATACAGAGGGTTTAGATTATCTCAGGGTTGGTTAATATCCAGAGGGTTTAGATTATCTCAACGTTGGTTAATATACAGAGGGTTTAGATTATCTCAGGGTTGGTAACTATACAGAGGGTTAAGATTATCTCAGGGTTGGTAATAAAACAGATGGTTTAGACTATCATTATACAGAAGGTTTAGATTATCTCAGGGTTGGTAATTTTACAGAGGGTTTAGACTTACTCAGGGTTAGTAATTATACTGAGGGTTTAGCTTATCTCAGGGTTGGTAATTATGGGAGCTTACATTATCTCAGGGTTGGTTAATATACAGTGAGTTTACATTATCTCATAGAGATGGTTAATATACAGAGGGTTAATTATAATATAGAATTTAAATTATCTCAGGGTGGGTCAGTATACAGAGAGTTTAGATTATCTCAGGTTGGTTGATATTCAGAGAGCTAGAAATATCTCACGGTTGGTTAATATACAGAGAGCTAGAAATATCTCAGGGTTGGTTAATGTAAAGAGAGCTAGAAACATCTCAGGGTCTGTTAAAATAAGTTTCAGATCTGATTTCTACCAGGCTTTCTAACAGTAAAAACCATCTCAGGGTCTGTTAAAATAAGTTTCAGATCTGATTTCTACCAGGCTTTCTAACAGTAAAAACGCTTTAACATTTGAACAAAGAGTAGTTGTTGTAGTTGTTGATGGAGATTCTCTTGGTTTACTTATATACTTGTAATTTGAAAAATGCTTGTTAAGAATCAACGCATTATTAATGAAAAGTCGTCTTCATTGTATTGATATAATCACCGACCACCGTACATAACAGGTAAGAAACGTATCAAATTTGACACTGATAACGTATGCATTTTTTCTTTGAAATCTCTTGTACTTGAATCTATAAAGTAGAAACCTTCTCACTAGGCTTATTCGGACTAAGGTTGGAAAGCTATGCATGTTTTTCTATTTCAGGGATTTGATGTTGAGAGAATTCAGGACGAGATATATTTCATGGGACCTAAGGATGTAGGATATAGAAGATTGGATTCAGAAACTTACAAGAATCTTATCTCGAACCTTCAACTTGCAAAACTCTAGACATTTATAAAGTATGATCATGCATGTGAGTAACTTGCATGCTAAAATATCCTTAAAAATAAAAATTGAAATTGCAAAGATTTTATTCATATTTGTATCACAGCATAATTTTCATTGGTTTTCAGTTCGTAATTCATCATTATTTTCCTCTTCCCCTCCCTCGACCTCGTCCCCTGGAGGGTTTGTTTACTTTCTTCTTCTCCCAATCAGAACTATCAGATTCAAACTCCTCCCCGGAGGAAGAAACGTCCTTAACCTTCTTCTTGCCAGAAGTCCTTCTTAGCCGTTCAAACCCAGATACTGGCGAAACACTGAATGGTGAGCTAATAATTTCTTATGTTTTTTTGGGACAAAGTTAAAGTAATTGTCTTTGTCACAACTCTTTGCTACCCATCGACTTAGATTTTAGATATTTAAAACTATGAATTTGTTAGAGAAAATAATCAAAGTTTGAAATATCAAAGGTTTACACCATAGGATTGCAAAGATATAAGGATTAGAAAATATAAATTTGTGACACAGACTCAATTGCTTTGATGCTAAGATCGAAAGAAACGTTTACACAGAAATTCATCCGATGTTTATCGAATATAAACATAGCGAGGTTTTAAAAATTATTCTTCATTCCTTTGACGAGTCGAGGGGTTCTCTTCATCAGATACAAATAAATTCCCGAATTTAGAACCCTTCTCCGATACCTGGAGCTGAATCCAACCCTGATTCGGTTTAAACCTTGGCTCAGCTGAGAGTAATAAGCTCAATCTCTCTAAATTGGGTAGTATGGATATACGGTCCTGAAATAGGATTAGTTATTAGTGAATCCAGCAGATTTATTTCAACATTAAAAAATATCAAACCTCCATAGCTGACTTTCCAACACTGCTCAGAGCCTCGTAATACAGATCTATATCTCCAAAATTAGTTTCATAATCATTCTCAAAATCGCCCTCGTTCTCCACTTTTAACTCGGGGATTTTCTCGAGTTTAGATTCTTCCAGCTTCTTACACCTGTCTAACTGTTCGGATAAAGGACGGCATGGGTTGGCAAACCAACACTTGAGAATATCCTAAAAAACGATATAAAATTGGATTTAAACTTGAACGAAGTTTAGTGCTCTTATCAACGTTGAACTCGGCCTCAAAACGGGTTGATAGAATTGGACGAGTGTAAATCGTATTAAGACTGCAGATTGATATATAGATAGGCCGTTAAATCCCGCAGCATGTGAAAACTTCTCCACAAGACTTAATGAAATGACTTCAAACATAGGTTCAAACCCCGGCCTTTAGGTCAGTTCCACTAGGTTGGTTTAAAGATGATTTAAAGGAACCTTTACCTTATCATTAAACTGGTTATTACTGTTCTTGAATACATAATCCAGAAGATGCTCTTCAATCTCAGTATTCTCCTTCAGTCCTGAGTCGTAATTCTCAAGGTCTGGAGATTTAGAGTCGTCCCGTATACTTGGAGTACTCGATCTACTCGCTTTATCTAGAATTATGTAAGTTTCTGAGCTTGGAACTTTTAAATGAACGAAACTAATCTAAATTGGTTTTAAAAAGGTTGGATTTAATCTTTAAGCTCACATTAGTTTAACCTAAAAGCTTTTCACCAATGCGAGTGAAAAAAGTGAACACATCTTTACTGGTATAAAATAATTCCGCTTAAGAACTTAGAGCTCTCTTGTGTTTATATAAAATATGCTTATTTTAATAAGCGGCATTTTTCAAATATTAATTTAGGTTAACAGGTTAACCTTGAAAAGTTCATGGTAGGCTAATTAATGACACATTCTTGGTCGCAGAATACGCTCAAATTAGCCAAACTACACGAGAAGAGCATTTTACTCAATTGGGAACATAACATCATGTAACAAATGCATCATTTATCCTGAACGAAACTTTACAATAAACTTACAAGAGTTTTGGTTGACTGGATCAGGAATATCAGGTAGTTGGTACAGATCCTCATCCAGACCTAATGGACTATCTAGAAGGTTATCATGATTGTCAGAAGGCAAATGCGGAGACTGGATTTTGTGTAGCAGAGATTGGCTCTCTAGTTGCGCAGATTGAACGTTGAGTATCGGAGATTGGGTGTTGCGAATCGGAGATTGAGCGCTATGTCCCAGAGATTGTGAGTCTGGAAGAATTGAGTTAGAGAGACGTTTCTTTGGAGGAAGAAAACTAGAGCTTGGTTGTGATGGAGATGGAATGTCTGGAGATTGCGGGATGGGATGAGTACGAGAGGGGCCAGAATGTGAGGAGGGATAAGAACGGGAGGGACCAGGTTTGGGAGAGAGATAAGAACGGGAGGGACCAGGTTGCGGTGAGGTATATGGACGGTAGGGTCCGGGACGGGAGGAGTCTGAACGGGAAGGACTGGCAACAACATTTAGAATCTCAATTTCATCATCAGGTTCTGTCAAGTGTAATTGCTGGATGAAAGTAAGGAAGAGAACTATACAGAATAAAAAATATAATGTATTCAACAATCTGCTTTTACTAAACTTTAAGGGTTTTAAAAGTATTATCCCGCAGTCGATACTTTCCTTGTTTTTTAGTTTGAAGGAGAGGAATATCATCATCTGTATCCTCTGTTGTATCCAGGATAGGCCCCAGAACTCTAGTCTTGGCTCTGGAGCTCCGTACTGGATAAACCTTGCGTTTAGTTGGTATCCGGGTCCCAGAACTAGTATGACCTTCGCCAGATATTCATTGATAATAAGATAATAGAAGATGTGAGACTGCAGAGGAAAGTTGAAAAGGAAATTTAGGAAATTAAATGTTGTCACGCCACAGGAAATATTTAACTATTAATATTTAGGTTTTGAATAAATCGTAAAATTTTAAATAATATATAATTGAATGCTATGAAGACAGAAAATATGTTTTCTTTAAAAAACAGTTTCCTCCTCACTTTTTTAAGGCAGTCTTTTTTATTGATGAATTTTTGGTGTTTAGGGAAAATAATGGTTTACCCATTAAAGAAAGCTTCGCGGATTTTTCGTCATGTTCCAAAATATTTGTTAAAAAATAATATTTTTTGAACAAATTTCTATGAATTTAAACAAAGTTTAATGAGAACAGTCGAACTCGTGCATTTTTGCATGTTTTAACTGCGCACAATGTACAATGTACATTTTTTGCTATAATATGAGCTGATAACTTATAAATCGACAGAACTGATTTAAACAAATAAAGTCCTCTCATAGCAAAATTAACAGATCTCTAAGAGTTCTGGGCTTTTTAACTCATTCATATTTTTTCAATAATATTTTCCTTGAGTCCCATTTTCAGGTTCAGGTTCCGAAATATCTACTTTAATATCCACCTCTTTCTCATCCTCAGAGATTCCACAGGCTGAATTATTTAAGTATGTATCGGAAAAGGTTAAAGGACTTATAATTTATATAAAAAGTGACTCTGTCGCGTTATTAGTTATTTTTAACAAATTAAAATTTTTTATTTTTCCGGTAATTATTACAAATCCAATTCCATACTTCAAATTCTAGATGACTAAACTAAATCAAAAATGAAGTCTTGTTGTCATTCAACAGACCACATTTTGGAAATACCAGTTTCAGTTATTGCTACAAGAATTAGAATTGTAATTAGTAATCATGTTTAGGGGGACCCTGGATTAACTTAATCTTTTGTTTAAATAATACATTTCGAAAAATTAATTGGAGCAGAATTTCTTCTGGAGTGTATTAACGCCGGGATCAAAAAGTTATTGTTAATAAAATTTAAATTATAAACCTAGCAGCAGCTGAGTTCTCTCTTTTTCGTTGAGATTACAAACACTCTCCAAGGTCTCTCCGATAGCATCAGCTAGTCTCTGGAACCTCCGCGTCTCCGGAACTAAATCATTCATCTTCAAACAAATCTGAAATATTTATCATGTTTAGCAGCTTTCATAGGGTTGAAGTCAAAGAGGGGAACTACTTAGTGTCCGGTTCTGCTGGCTTATCTGATGCTTCCAGTTTAGCAGGTTCTGGTTCCAGGAAGTTTGTGAGGTTGACAATCTGCTCCTTGATAGTTAACTGGTTGAATAAAACCATCTCTGAGTAGATTGGATCCTGAACTAGATCTTTAACAGACCAGACGGAGAGAACTTGTTCATCCTCCGCTCCACTCATAACCTAGAAATAATGAAAACATAACAAAACAAATAAAGTCAGAAATCGCTTTCATTTTTCAACCAAGCTCAATCCAATTGCATTCAACCTAAATTAACTAGATTTAAGTTAGCCCCCCTCCTTTTACTCCACTCCACTCCACTCCACTCCACTCCACTCCACTCCACTCCACTCCACTCCACTCCACTCCACTCCACTCCACTCCACCTGACCCGACCCGACCCAACTCAGGTCTTACTAAATAACCCAACCCAACCCAAACTGGACTCTGAAACAACATCAATTTATCAAAGTCCTGATATAGTTTGTACCTCGGTTAGTATTCTCTCCAACCCTGCCAGACTCTCATCTGTAGCTGAGGATTCCTTCCGAACCAGGAACTTGGAGAGAATAATCAGATGATCTTTTCCATAGGGTCGGACAAATCCAACATCCTCAAACAAGGAGGCTATGGAGAGGAATATAGCAACTGTAATTCTACAAATCAATATAAACAATTATGGATTTTCGATTTATTTAGTTTGAAAAGAATCGAAGTTATTTTACTTGTAATATCTAAACAATTTAGTAAACTTGACGTAGACTCAGGAACTCTCAATGATTGTTTGTAAATGTAGTTGGGTTTCATTCATAATCTTGATTATATTATTATCCTTAAACAAAACACCCCTAATATTGGGAATCCTTTTACGATAATAATTCTAAATATCGCCTTGTAGACAGTAAGAATCCCTTCACGATAATAAATCAACAGGTAAACAGTAAGAATCCCTCAAAAAAAAAAAATTTAAAAAGCTTGTTAAACAGTTGGAATCCCTCCAAGATAATAATTCTAAAAAGCCTGGTAAACAGTAGGAATCCTTTCCAAGATAATAATTCTAAAAAGCCTGGTGAACAGTAGGAATCCCTCCAAGATAATAATTCTAAAAAGCCTGGTGAACAGTAGGAATCCCTCCAAGATAATAATATTAAAAAGCCTGGTGACCAGTAGGAATCCCTCCAAGATAATAATTCTAAAAAGCCTGGTGAACAGTAGGAATCCCTCCAAGATAATAATATTAAAAAGCCTGGTGACCAGTAGGAATCCCTCCAAGACAATAATTCTAAAAAGCCTGGTGAACAGTAGGAATCCCTCCAAGATAATAAATCTAAAAAGCCTACTGAACAGTAGGATAGGAATCCCTCCAAGATAATAATTCTAAAAAGCCTACTGAACAGTAGGATAGGAATCCCTCCAAGATAATAATTTTAAAAAGCTTGGTGAACAGTAGGAATCCCTCCAAGATAATAATTCTGAAAAGCCTGGTAAACAGTAGGAATCCCTCAAATATATTAATTCTAAAAAGCCTGGTGAACAGTAGAAATCCCTCCAAGATAATAATTCTAAAAAGCCTGGTGAACAGTAGGAATCCCTCCAAGATAATAATATTAAAAATCCTTGTAAACAGTAGGAATCCCTCCAAGATAATAATTCTAAAAAGCCTGGTGAACAGTAGGAATCCCTCCAAGATAATAATTCTAAAAAGCCTGGTAAACAGTAGGAATCCCTCAAATATATTAATTCTAAAAAGCCTGGTTAACAGTAGGAATCCCTCCAAGATAATAATTTTAAAAAGCCTGGTGAACAATAGGAATCCCTCCAAGATAATAATATTAAAAAGCCTGGTAAACAGTAGGAATCCCTCCAAGATAATAATTCTATAAAGCCTGGTGACCAGTAGGAATCCCTCCAAGATAATAATTCTAAAAAGCCTACTGAACAGTAGGATAGGAATCCCTCCAAGATAATAATTTTAAAAAGCCTAGTGAACAGTAGGAATCCCTCCAAGATAATAATTCTAAAAAGCCTGGTGAACAGTAGGAATCCCTCCAAGATAATAATTCTAAAAAGCTTGGTAAACAGTAGGAATCCCTCCAAGATAATAATTCTAAAAAGCCAGGTAAACAGTAGGAATCCCTCCAAGATAATAAATCTAAAAAGCTTGGTAAAAGTTGAGAATCCCTCCAAAATAATAAATCTAAATAGTCTGGTAAACAGTGGGGATCCTTCCCAAGATAATAATTCTGAATAGCCTGGTAAACAGGGGGAATCCCTCTAAGAACAAAATTGATAATAACCTGGTGAACAGTGGGAATCCCTCCAGGATAATATGATCACCAGTATCTAGACCTGTTATCGCTGTTATAACTGTTTCAATAAGTTTAAGCTGGTTCCTCGGTTCACACTCACTATTCAAGATATTGTTGGTTCGGGCCGTGGGTAGACTTAAACTTAAAACCTTCGTTTTCTCCACAATATCAGGGAATATTTTAGAAATCTTGTTTAATATTTTGGATTCTTCTCTACACTCTGCCAGTGGTTGGGTAGACCCTGAGAATGGTTTATCTTGTTTCCGTTTCTTCTTCTTTGGTTCTCCGTTCTCTTCCTTCCCCTCAATCTGGTTCAGCAGATCAATAGTCTCGTTATAATACTGTAGATGTCGTCCTGTGCAGAACTTAGAGCTTTGTATCTTGGTGAGTTTAATACCGATCCCTCGGACAGGTTTCTCTAGGCAGGCAGCTAGCTTAGGAGCAGTCACCCATTCAACAAACCTGACAATATTGTGATATTAAAATCAGCATAGCTTTGATGTGGACAGATTAAGATCCTATGCTTTAAAAAATGGATCCAACCAAAAATCAGAAATTCCTCCCCCCCCCCAGAAGTTTTGATGGCTTCCAGTGCGCTCTGCGGATTTTTTCTAGTAGCACTTTCAGGTATTACCCGTTGCTCTTCAAGCGGTGATTTTTTTGTAAATCGTTTTTCGCGAATTTTTCCGTTTAAAATTGTGCATTTAAAACAATAATAAATGTTGACATTATTTTCCGGGCAAAATTTTTCATCTTTAATCTTCCATCAACCTTCCATTCGTTCATGTTAGTTGCTACAAAAAAGTGTAGGTTCAGCCGTGTATTTATGTCCTCATTTTCCCTTCTTTTTCCTTATTCTTTTCCAATCTTCTTTCTATATTTCCTTTGACTTTCTTAACTTTTTGTTTCTTTATTCAATCTTAAGTTAAAAGTAGTTTTCTATTCCTTCTGATAACTTTAAAATCCTACCTTATCCTTCCCTTGACCTTCCAATCCTTCAAGGTTTTCCTGATATTTGCCAGTTTCTTCTCCGGTTCCAGGTTAGACTCTGCCACCCTGTCCAGATACGTTCCCTGATCATTCCGTCCGTCCAGTTGACTAGGATATACCAATATTAAAGGGATTGTTCAGACTTTTGAATATTCCTATAAATTAACCAATTCAAGCCCCACTTGGCCAGATAGAGATTGGCGATTTTTGTTGTTAAATAAATCACGAAAGGGTTGGGCAAGTTAAGGACTAGAATATCATTTTGTTATATTTTTATAAGTGTTTCGGCATTCTAGAACTGGTGTCTCGAAACTTCATTAAAAAAGATTTGGGAGGTTTTGCTAGAGCAGCGCAGCTAAGAGAGGCTGACGTTGCGAGTTCAAGAGAGCCTCAATTTGATGAGGGGCAATACCGATTCACAATGATACCCTTGAAACCTTAATCTGATCAACAATATGGAGGATAACGTAGACTCTAGCTTGAAAATTATTTAATTCTTTTAATTTCTCCTTTGTTACTGAAGCAAGAATGCGCAAGTCACTTTTGAGAAGCCGCAAATTAAAATAACCAAGTTTGAATAATTTTGACATTTGATCAGACAAAGCTTTTAGGGTTTATTTAAGAATCCGACATTCGACTCTATAAATGGGTGGTGACTTGAATTTACGTTTACAGACCCTTTCCTGTTTAAAGCTGATGCTTAACATTGCTCTCTGTATATACCTGATAAATGGATCTTCTCTATTGTAGACAACTTGCCTATAGTTGGGTATCTCTTCAATCCTAAAAAAAACATAAAGACATTTTTCTTCTTAAATAACCTGTACTTCTCTGTGTAGAGGGTGGTGTACCTGTACTTCTGTGTAGAAGTTGGTGTATCTGTACTTCTCTATGTAGAGGGTGGTGTACCTGTACTTCTCTGTGTAGAGGGTGGTGTACCTGTACTTCTCTATGTAGTGGTGGATGTACCTGTACTTCTCTATGTAGAGGGTGGTGTACCTGTACTTCTCTATGTAGTGGTGGGTGTACCTGTACTTCTCTATGTAGTGGTGGTGTACCTGTACTTCTATATGTAGTGGTGGTGTACCTGTACTTCTCTATGTAGTTTTTTGTGTACCTGTACTTCTCTATGTAGTGGTGGGTGTACCTGTACTTCTCTATGTAGTGGTGGGTGTACCTGTACTTCTCTATGTAGTGGTGGGTGTACCTGTACTTCTCTATGTAGTAGTGGGTGTACCTGTACTTCTCTATGTAGTAGTGGGTGTACCTGTACTTCTCTATGTAGTGGTCTGCCACCTGTCTCTGGATCTCCGCCAGATTCTTCAAATCTCCGACATTCATCGGATCCTTGAAGTAGTGAAGGTTGTTTTCGATCACGTTCTCCTGAACAAAATAATTTTTTGCTCTCTTTGGATCTTGATTCGGAAGAGAAAAGTGAATTTCATCATGTTCTTACCCTTAGTATGGAAAGAATCCTATTGAAACAACTAGTTCATGAGTACTTTTTTTCGATACGTGTTTTTTTTAATGAGTATGAAAGATAATTCCCCCGAAACAGATCAAAAATAATTTTTTTTATGAGATTCAAGAACGATTTTAAAAGTTTGATTTTATTTTTTGGTGGTTTTCTGGCGAGAATATTTAATTTGCGACACAATAACATTCTTTAATTCTTTGTCAGTCAGTCCAGTTCAGTTCCTAAAATTGGAAATTGAAAATTATAAATTTAAAAAGGTCTGACCTGCAGTTGGAGAAATAAATCGGAGGATTTCCTAACAGCCTCCAGAAAGTCTTCCGGAATATCTTCTTTAGCAAACATAGATTTGTCATCAGGAAATTCTCCATACAAACCCTTTAATAAAATTAAATAAATATATAAATAAAAGGTCAACCATCATATCCTGAAGTTAACGAATATAAAACATTCTGTCAACACTTTACAACCCACAACCCCATTCCTTCCTTCAATGGAGAGAAAGAATTGGAAATTTTATCCAGACAAAGCTTCTCTGATGATAAATACATAAACATCGAAAACAAAACTGCGATTTAGGTTCATATGAAAAAAGCAGTTTGACTAACTAGTTCTACTGAAGTGTGGTACACTAAATATAAAAATCAAAGAAATATGATTTTAAACGTGCACACATAGTTAAAAAGAACAAAACAAAACTTTGAAAACAATGCACATACCTTTATTATTTTTAAATATTGTTTACGAGCAGTTTGAATACATTGCCCAACTAAAGTCCTTCAATCTTCATGCATAATTGATATTATACCTGAGCTGGAAACGTTTGAATTGTGGATATCGAGATCAATGCTTGATCTAGATCTTTTGTTAATCCAAAGATTAATGAAACCTGTAGTTGATATCCGAAGTGTAATTGTACCCTTAAGGGATGACTGAATTGAAGTGATTAAACCTTGATCCTCAAATCTAAATTGCCCAGTATGGATATCGGGATTAAGCTTTCGGGATTGAGTATCCAACTCAAAAGTTCCCTGCTCTAGGCGTCTCTAAATGTTTATGTTTACTAGGACACACTGTATTTTTAAGAATAAAAAACCTTTGTTTCTTTCAGAAAGTTCTGCAGCCAATCTGAACTCTGGAAGTCGAGACAGATAACATAAACCTCCGAGTTTCCCTCCTTACTAGTGGCAGGTTTAAATATTTCTATCTGATTGAAGCAGATATCAAGGAGGTACAGGAGGCAGATGGTTTCACTCTCAAAGGTTGTAAACATCTTGATCACAAAGTTTCCGCCCTTTATGCAAATATTTAGTCATCTTTATTTTTTTCCCATTTTACTTTTTACTATCCCAGGAGAAGTATTTTAATATAATTATAAACAAATTAAACTGTAATTCAACAATTTTGAGGTGAAAATTTTAGATAGTTCTTTTTCATAAAAAGTTTGGCCATTTCTTATTAAATATGTAGTGAACCACCCCACGTCCCTTTTTCTGAAAAAGAGCAACCTCCCATGATTATATATCCTTTACTTTAAAACAATCTAAATTTTTACCTTTTCAAAACGAACATTTTTATAACATTTTGAAACAGTGCAGTATGATTAAGTTTAGAGTTATTGGGATTAGAAATGATTAAAAAGATGAATACATTTTTTCCTTAGCTAGCACAGAGAGGGCTGCGTAGACCTCGCACTCCAATAGGTTGGATACAATAGACTCCTGTCTAGCAGGTTCACCCTGTATATAGTTTGGATACAATAGCAGGTTCACCCTGTATTTAGGTTGGGTACAATAGCAGGTTCACCCTGTATATAGGTTGGATACCATAGCATGTTCACCCTGTATATAGGTTGGATACAATAGCAGGTTCACCCTGTATATAGGTTGGATACAATAGCAGGTTCACCCTGTATATAGGTTGGATACAATAGCAGGTTAAACCTGCATATAGTTTGGATACAATAGCAGGTTCACCCTGTATATAGGTTGGATACAATAGCAGGTTCATTCACAGTAACTGAAAAACCAAGCTATCGGCGGTACCAGTTCAATGAAAGATTGTAAAACCTAGCTGATAGTCTACCTATACTACCGGTGGCGTAATCCAGATCAATAAGAGATTATTACCTGACAATCTATGCTACCGTCGGCGGTGACCAGCTCGATATCGCCGATCTGCTTACACCTATCTTTCAACTTCTCCAGGTTCTGAATCTTCATGAGATCTCCGGAATCATCAACTCCGAACTCCCAGTTCTCCAGGCAACCCAGGATAAATCTGTCATCGTTTATCATGAACCCTAGACTATTCCCTACCGAAGCAACACAGTTTTCATTGGATTTAAATCAAACACATGACAAAGGACATAACTCATGCGCAAAATAAATCAAAACCGCAGCGCTTTTAAATTCCTAAATGCTGAAACCGCTTTTGTTAGATTTCTTGTTTCAATAGAAAGCTTCTTAAATGGAGCGGAGTCCAAATAGAATTCCTAAAGATAGGAGAACTGCTAAGAAAATTAAATTAGATTTATCGATGAACAATTTTGAAAAAATTAATAAAGAAGAGAGAGAAAAGGTCACTTTGAATTAAATCCATTTCCTTCGTAGTGAGGGTTGAGAGTAGTTCCAATCCAGTTCCAATTTGTTTCTAAACAATTCCAATTAAGTATGAAAAAAATCTATAATAAACAAATAACATGATTTCTTTTTATCCTGTTTCTATCTGAACCTAACCTGGATAAGCTGAGACAAGAGCATGGTTGAGTGAGGTTATAAATGCTCCGGGTGCTTCACACAAGTGTAGGGTTTGAAAATCTTTCCCTTTAGGTCCGAGCTGGAACGTGTGAAAACATTCGTGAAACTTCTCCCACGCCTGAACAGTTTAAAAGTTATTGTGGTTCGTATTTTAATCTACGTTTTGATCTGAATCAAGTGTCGGATCCAAATCTAAACTCTCCAATAGGGTATCCGAAACCGAGAAAGGATGAAATGGGAAAATTTTTTACTTACCTGAGTAAGGAGTTCAGGCTTGTATGATTTTTTAAGCGTGAATGCCACAGTTCCAGCAGGATTCATTTTCTTCGTGTGCTTGTGCCATTTAAACAAGGGCAGATCATTCAGCTTAGATTTACAGTTGTTTAACCGAGTCTTCATACTCTAAATATGAAATAATAAATTAGGACTTAAAAGGACTGTAAAGCGTAAGCGTAATATCAAGTGACCCCATGTAAAGATGGCAATGCCCGATTTACAACTGTACCCTTGAAATAATCTGAGACACTGCTATTTTCCTTAAGGGCGTACTCTAATTATTTCTCCATTGCTTCTTATAAGCAAGAAATGCGCAAGTCACTTTTGCAGAGGAACCGCAAATGAACATGAACAGTTTAAAGAAACAAAAACATGGATATAACTTCAACCTTGATCAGACAAAGCTTTAAGGGTACCGTTATGAATCGGACAAAGCCATCTTTGCATGGAAGGTCATTTGAAATTACGCTAACAGTCCCATTAAAGTATTAACGGACTTACAGAATATTTGATTTGTGAAAAGGATTCATGAAGCAAAATTATTCGTATTCTTTGTTTTTCTTACGAGTATCTAAGACAAACTACAGGCAAAGGATTAATACTTCCTTTAGGTTAGCATATCATAAAAGTAAGTTTTAAAGGGGGTGACCGGCTATGTAAGGTAGTTGAACTGAGTATGCAGTGTTGTGGAAAACTTCTTTCGGATTCATTTGAGACACATAAAACTTTTTAAAGATCTGTAAATTCTGAGTTTAAGCGAAAATTCGACAATCAAAACTCCTACATTGGGGGTGGATACGTTTTCAGAATTAGTTTTTTTTAAATTATTAAATAACGACGACATAAAATGTAATAAAAGTTCTTCAATAAACTACAGACGTCATGTATAGGAACATATTGAGAAAATCAAAATTAATCGTATAATCCCTCGGCCTCTCCCATTCATTCTTAGAATATATTAATGTAACCCAACAAGCATGAAATCATGAGATCATATAAGAAAGTTATCTAACCTGTAGCCTATTATCCTCCCAGTACGGAGCTGTGTAGATCGACCCACCCGGAGGAGTCCTCCGTCCTGTTGGGAATGTGTATCTCTTGTTAAACTGAACCTGAAGAATTCAAACAATTAGAAATGCGAGGGGAAAAAAATAACGCGATACAAATATTATCGGAGGGTTTTCAATTATTCCAAAATAATCGTTATTTTCTAATAAAAAATTCTAAATACTTTCGTTAAATATTCTTTTTTATTCTGTTTTTTTTAAATTGTCTTTAAGTGTCATTCATTTCAGTAATTAGCATTTTTTTCAAAATTCTATATATTCACCTTTCAACCTAAAAACCCAAACTAAATGGTCAAATAGTTTAAAAGCCGCAGTTGAGAAAAAAAAAACTTAATTAGCCTGAAAGGGCTTGTACATTTCACAATTTATAAATAAAACTTTGACTCAGTTTAAAATTATTTCAGATTTCAGAATCTAAAAATCTAAAAAAAAACCTCCACAAACCCCAAGGGTTGAAACTTGTCAGTTTGGCGCAGCAGATTCTTGAAACCCTTTCTGAACTATGAATGATAAATTAAGTTTCACCAAAATAAGTGAAAAAGTAATTCTTTAAGAAATATTTATGAGCTGGACCAAGATCAAAATTAAATGGATCCCAAAGCACTGCAGTTGGTAAAGAACTAGCGGGAGAAGGCAGGCGGCCATAAGTCACAACATTTTTCCCTTCCTTGCCACATATTATCTTTTCTGTCTTCTGGAAGCCATGAGCCACAACTATATGGTCTTCCATGCCACATCATTTGAGTCTTCCGGTAGTTACTACGTTTTAAATGACGTCATGCATCTATGTATAAATTTAGCTTGTCTGTCTGTTTGTTTGTATCCAATAAACATCTGAACCGATCGGGCCCAGGGAAGGTTTATGAATGATCAAAATTTTAGAAATTTGTATTTAAAAATTTTTTATTTTTGTAAAATTTTGAAAATGCGCGAAAAAATTTTATGATATCAGCAAACTTTTTTTGTTTTTGTTTTATACTGTACAAAGAGAAGATGCTCACAGATCCACAATTAAAAGTTGAAATAGAAGATGGGCGCGAAGCGCCCTAAAAGCCTAGTAAGATATATATGAAGAACTTTATATTTAAGTTTTAAATTGAAATAATATGATAATCTTGTGAGGAAAAAAATGTAATAATGGAAATTCTTAAACGAGATGAAATAATCTTGATGTATTCTTTAACGAAGGCCGCAGGCCTGAGTTAAAGAATACATCAAGATTATTTCATCGAGTTTAAGAATTCCATTATTACATTTTTATCCTCATAAGATTATTATTATATCGTATTTGTGAGGTTCCATGGGCACATACCCAAGAAATTTTATTAAAAAATAATTCTGGTGAAATCTGACTATTTCAAGGCGGAATAGTTCACATTATGAAAGGTTGCAAATAAGTTTTATGCTCTTGTTCTGACTAACACTGTTTTTTATTTTTCTAATGTTAAAATCTAAAAAACAAACATTTTATAAGTAAAAATTTGTTCTTAATTTGAAAGTAATGCATGTGGTGTGATTGTTTCCTTAGTTTAGTTTGTTTGTTTACCAATTTCTAATGATTTTGCTTGTTTTTTAAGTTGATACTACATTTAGATAGAGCATGTTAAATGTGCCCTGAGTTTTTTTTAGATGGGGAGAAGGTATAGTAGTGGGTTGTCTTAATCTACTGAACAAAATCGTGTCTTCATTAATAGAAGAAATCAGTTTCTGGATATTAGATCCTAAATATTCCAAAAAGAGGAGATAAAAGCATGTTATCTAGTAAGAATCAGTTCGACATGAACTGATGAAGATCTTTGTCTTTTATTCCTGAAGCAAGATTTACTGGTTTGTTTTCATTGCTATGGAGTGCTAAGACTCCATTAAAAGTGTTACACTAATATTTCAATGATAAGTTTTTATACTTTTTTTGGTTTTTATTGTGGTTTCACTTCATCATCTCGAACTATGTGAGATATGGTGACTCAGACTGAAAAGCTCTGACCATACTATTACAAGTATGCAGAGATTTGCAAAATCTCAACAAACTTGGTTTGAAATATGGATGAACTAAAAAAAAATAATAAAGTAGGCAGTCGGGCAGTATGCTTTGAGACTCGGCAGTTTGATGAAAGTGTCTAATGTAAGGCTAAAGGCATCGTCCATATTTTTGAGAATGGTCAGAAAATGTTAATTTCTGACCATTTCCGCTTATGGCCGCCTGCCTTTATCCGCTCACAGAACAACACTCGAATTACTATGTAATTTCGCATGCACTGTATACACTGTACAGTGTAGATTAGACACTGTGCATTAGACTTTGTACATTGTTCACTGTACAGTGTACATTGCACACTAAATATTGTTTGTTGTACACAGTGCTTTATACACTTACACTATGTGCTGTACCCCACCTGTAGAATATCTGCATACTCCTTGTTCAGAATAGGTTGGAATGGAATAGGCAGCAGAATGTGCGACATCTTGCGGGAATAAAAGGAAACTAGTTTCCCTCACCTAGTTCAGGTCTTAATATTTCAATATCCAATATCTGAAATATATGAAGCAGCATTTCAATAAATATATTTACATTTATAGCCATATAGTTTCAGGGGCGGATACAGGATTTAAGTGAGGGTGGTGCTAGAATTATTTCTAAACCAAATAATCCAGATTTAGGAACCAAAAACGCGCCGCATGCAAATTTTTTTAGATAGATATTTTTTCTGTTTTGCACTAGATTTTCTTTCCTTGAAGTTCAATTGAGAAGCTATTCTGAGATCTCAGGGGCCCCTGAATCCGTCGGGGGGGTGCAAAGGTCCTTACCGCCCCCCTGTATCCGCCACTAAATAGTTTACATACAATACATGGGACCGAATTTATTTAATTGGAGGTCGTTGAACTACCTAACGCCGGTTTAAATCCTGAATCACCAATTAAAATCCGCATGATTCAAGATTTGTACCGGCGATTGGTAGTTAAACGACCTAGCTCAAATTCATCAAAGGAACTGAGTTATTGCCACAAACTTAAATTTCTTTATTCACTTATGTAGTAGACCTTAGTTAGTTTAAACCATGAATTTTCTTACATCAAATAAATTAAGTTTGAAATATTAAAGGTTAAAGCCATCATGGATTAGAAAGTTTCAGTTTTGTGACAAAAACTCATCTTATAGGACAGATTGAGATAACTTTAGCTAATAATTGAAGGGGATTTATAATGTGTACTGTGCAAATATTTCAAAAAATTTTGTTTTTTTGTCTGGTAAAAATTTCTCTTTATATCCCCTTATTAAAAAAAACACTTGCATTCAATAAGGATCATATTATAGAATACATTGTAACTGAACAACTAGTACATAAATTAAGATTTGTACATATATTCATTCATTAATATTCTTACAATTCGTCTTTGTACAGAATACACATTGAAACATCCAGACCTCATGAAAATAAATCAAAATATCAGAATCCATTCGATTTTGAATATCATGGAATAATTAAATATCAGAATTGAATGAGTAATAATTAAAGAAAAATCAAAGAAATTGAAAAGGCAGTCGGTAGAATTGGATACATCTGCAGGACAGATATACTCTTTAGTTCAATTCGTTTCCCAAAGGATCTTACACATAAAACACATTTATGCAAAACATTCAATTTGAATTTCGTGTGTTTGTGTGTTATATCATTTCTATTCTTTATTGCCTTTGCTTTGGTCGGGTTTTTATCTGCAGGTTCAGGTTAGTCTCCTGGTTTCAGGGGTTTCCATCATTCCCCGTCATTGGAGTTAGTACAGGAATATTCAAGGTTTTCGTTTAAAATATCACAGAGGCAAGGACAATTACAGCTTTCCAGCTCAGGTTGAGTAGTAGAGCTATCCCACCAATATCAAGTACCCGGAGTATCTCTCTTCCTCACACCAGGTTCAAGGTGAGGGAGAAAGGTTTGCGGAGAAAGCATTGAACCCTGAGCTGTAACAAGAATACTCTCCTCCTCCTCGTCTTCCCAATCCTCTGCTTCACGACGGAGAAGGTCAGGAGAAGATAAAGATTTAGCTTTCGCTGCAGGACTTAATAATAAACTCTCCGGAGTCAGATTAGATGAATCTTTATGGTTCTCTTCGTCTAACTCCGAGGTATCACTCAACCTTGTACACTCCGTCTCCGACTCATCCAAGATATTATCGTTCGTGTCCTCATCATCATCGATCATGGCTGAGTTCATGTTCGTCAGGATTACGTCGGACCTATCCTCGCAGCTGTTCTGGAAGAGGAAGAGTCTCTCTGAGCTCTGGTCCGGGAGCTGAAACAGCTCCTGGTCCTCCTTGGTCTTGTGCAGGATAGTTTCCACTCTCTGGTGAACCAAGGGTACCGGAGCAGGGTTCAGCTCCTCAACAGAAAATTTCTTATCTTCAGTCTGTTTAGGAGGAACCTGGGGTCTGCACTCGTCTACACTTATCTTCTTCTTCTCCTGCTTAGCTTTATGCTCATCAATCAGATCACAAGCTTTACCCAGGATCACGATTGATCCCAGAACTCTAAATGTAAACAAACAAATATACGCCATGACAGCTACAGCCACAGCTCCGGGATTGGTACTCTTGACAGATGTATAGATAACTCTAAGCATAACAACCCCCAAGGGAAGAGGTATAAAACCCATCCTACGTGAGACTATATCCGAATGATCACTAAAAGCTAGTTTCTGTTTAGTCTGTGCTAGATCATAAGCTAGAGATATTGTGTAGTCCTTGTAGACATCAGCTGAGACTTCATTAAACCTGAAATAAACCAATAAATCTCAATCCTGCGTACAAAATGCGATTGTGACACGTAAAAGTTTAGATTTAGTAGGGTTAGAATTAAGAAGCTATTACCTAGTGATAAAAGCGTGTTTGATCCAGTCAACAAGAACCTCTGCTCCGAGTACAATTAAACAGTCCGGAGCTAGAGACCAGAAACTCTCCTCCTTCCATCCATACTCCTTCATAGTCTGGAGAACAACCACAAAGAGCAGAGCGAAAAGATGAAACCGTTCTCGTACATCGGAGCACGATACCTTGAACAGTTTTAATGCGAATAAACCAATTAAATGTGAAAAATATTGTAAAAAGTGTTAAAAAGTAAGTGGATAATGAAACAATGGATAAACCTGGAAAAGATTATTCTTGTCGAACTTCTTGAAAACGCTTCCCTTCAACTCTACGAAGTTGTTGCTCATCATGATTGTGAGGAGAGCCTTGTTGCTGGAGTTGATTGCCACGTTCAGGGTAGTCGCCTGCAACAATAAGTTTCTTTGAGTAGAAGTGGATAAGGCGAGATTTCAAGAGTTATCATTGATGCGTCGGATTCGGATCCAAACTTATTTAACTTCCTGGTTCCGGATCCTAATCTAAACTTATTTACTTTCCTGATCCAAATTTTATCCAGATGTTAAAAGAAAAAATCCCCAAAACACGTGATAATATCAATTAAAGCGCAGAATGTCAGGGGTTTATAATTTAAAGAATAAATCATCCCCCCCTTCTTCATTTTAAAAGGTTAAAAAAAAACAAAATTAAAATGGAATTTCTAACATTATTAGAAAAATGTTAAGCAAGAAAGTTGAGCCTTTATTTAAATATATAAACCTGAAGTAGAACAAGAAGAGCATGAAGAAAGACGTATCCAACTGCTAGGAGGAGGTGAGCAACTACTCCAATATGTTCCCTCTTTTTCCCCTTAGGCTCAGTTGCAGTCCAGAACAGAGCATCTATAGTGTCCTGACCAAAGGCACTAAAAAAGAAGAGAAAAAATTGATAATTTTTTAAATTACAATTGAATAAAAAACTAACCTTAAAAGTTGAATGAAAAACTTGATAAAATCTGAAAAGTTTGATAAAATCAAACCTAAAAAGCTTATTAACCCGAACCTTAAAGCTGGATAAAAACGAACTTGAAAAACTTGATAAAATCTGAAAAGTTGGATAAAACGAACCTGAAAAGTTGGATAAAACGAACCTGAAAAGTTGGATAAAACGAACCTGAAAAGTTGGATAAAGCAAACCTGAAAAGTTGGATAAAATGAACCTAAAAAGTTGGATAAAACGGACCTGAAAAGTTGGATAAAACGAACCTGAAAAGTCGGATAAAACGAACCTAAAAAGTTGGATGAAACGAACCTGAAAAGTTGGATAAAACGGACATGAAATGCTAGATTTTAAAACGAACCTGAATAGCCTGTCTGCAACTTCAATCATGTTGTACATGAGGTAGAGTTTGATGACGGACTGGGACTTGATCATGTGATAGAGCATGGAGGTGTCCACGTAGCTCATGGCGTAGCAACACACCAGGATTATCAGAACTTTTAAAATATCAATGATTTCGGCAGGAAACAACATTCGTCCCTAAACAAAACTTGTTTTTTAACAAGGGAACCTAAAATCTCGAATAAATTTGTGTTATAATTCTTTTGCAACAGGATTTCGTAGACTTGTTTCTGCTAGATCAATTAGTAAAAATTTGAACCATCAAAGGTTGCAATTTTTATTAGGCATGAACGCCGTATGGGATTAGAAAATTAGAACTTGAGGCGAGTTCTTACTAAACAGTGACAATGAAATCAGTTCAGAAGAGTTTTGAAAGGGGGTTTGCATAGAAACATAAGACGGACAATAAATATTTTTTTTTAATTTTAGAGAAGACCATCGTACCATTTTTTAGAAACGTATCTATTCCTGATATGGTAGAACGTATCCTAATACCTGATATGGTTGAACGTATCCTAGTTTGATTCTATACCTGATATGGTTGAACGTATCCTAGTTTGATTCTATACCTGATATGCGCCTAGTCTGATTCTATACCTTATATGGTTGAATGTATCCTAGTTTGATTCTATCCCTGATATGGTTGAACGTATCCTAGTTTGATTCTATACCTGATATGGTTGAACGTATCCTAGTTTGATTCTATACCTGAAATGGTTGAACGTATCCTAGTTTGATTCTATACCTGATATGGTTGAACGTATCCTAGTTTGATTCTATACCTGATATGGTTGAACGTATGCTAGTTTGATTCTATACCTGATATGGTTGAATGTATCCTAGTTTGATTCTATACTTGATATGGTTGAACGTATTCTAGTTTGATTCTATACCTGATATGGTTGAACGTATCCTAGTTTGATTCTATACCTGATATGGTTGAACGTATCCTAGTTTGATTCTATACCTGATATGGTTGAACGTATCCTAGTTTGATTCTATACCTGATATGCGCCTAGTCTGATTCTATACCTTATATGGTTGAATGTATCCTAGTTTGATTCTATCCCTGATATGGTTGAACGTATCCTAGTTTGATTCTATACCTCATATGGTTGAACGTATTCTAGTTTGATTCTATACCTGATATGGTTGAACGTATCCTAGTTTGATTAAAGGTGCACGAAACATTGCTGATATAACGGCTAAGCTAACTCTAAGCGGGAGGAATGTGTAGATGAACAAGAAAGAATCCAAGCAATGAAAGAACCCGTAGGACATAAACTTCTCCAGCTCTCTGATTAACCAGGAGAAATTAAAATACTTAAATACTACTGTTCCTAGATTGTTATACATTTTTTTAATGGTTTGCATGATATCAAGATTCGTAAAAACGTAACAAATATTTTTAAAAATATCCGTTTTGCGTAGAACCTATATCTTTTTCACAAATTACAAATGAATCTATCATTTATATTTCTAAAAGTTGTTAGTTCATCGTCGAAAAATACTAACAATCCTCCACCAGTTTATATTAAATATAATGTAAACAATAAATATGCAACTTTTCTTTTCTTTTCATATGATTTATATTTTTTATATTTTTTTAGAATTGGGGGAAATATTCCCACAACCTCTACTTTCGGAGGTTTTAAAATATTTTCTCCTGAAACACTTAATTTTGTATGTTTTTGTTATATTTCCTAAAAAATCATAACTTACTTACTTATTGCCCACATTAAAAAAATAATTTATTCCCCTATGACAGTTCAGATATTACTTAGTTTATCTATGTTATTTATTGTCTTTTACAGTATATAATTACAAATTTCTTAGTGTTGTGTACAATGAACATGTTGGAAAGAAAGGTCGTGTATCCTTTTTTCGGATACACAGTTTGACCCTAGATAGCTGTTCAAGATCACAGGCGAGCGACCTTCAAGTCGTTTCTCAAGTTTTATAATATGTGGGACACCATCTATATTCTATCTAACAATTGATTATTTTGGGTAAAATGATCATAAAGAGGCAAAAAAGCTTTAAGCTCAGAGGTATCGTTTTTTTTTAATTTCTAGGTTTCCTTGGTATTCTCATGAACGTGTACATTTTCTCTCGTTTCGAAGTATACCGCTCCTGATCATGATCCAGCATATAACTTCGGGTTATCTCATTCCGAACATATTCAAAAAACGACATTTTCACCTAAAAATTTAGGAAATTTAAAAACTAGGATCAAAAATGTTGTTTAAAGACGGGAACATGTTTCGTGGAGCGTATAGATTTCTCTTTATCCAACCGTTTTTGTTCTTGAGTAGCAGGAGATAATGGAATATCTCCTCGGGAATCTGTTTCACTAAAGATGGAGTCTAGATTTAAAGATATCTCCCGAGATTTAGATTTAAGATTAGTTCTTCCCGGAGTATTTGACAATTTGTTATCACCAGCTCGACCTTTACCGAGCCCAACCTCGAACATTTTAGGCATCGCGAGCACAGCAGGATCCTTTTCCTTCCCGAACAGGGTGGCAAGGTTGTCTCCTTGCTCCGACATTTTATCACACCTTTTTCTTGATTCCGTACACCGGTCCTTGAACATCTTCACAGCCGCCAGGTTGACGTTGTAGCTCACGTTCAAGTCAGGTTCTGAAATAGGAAAATTTAAACACTGCATTCCTACCCCCCCCCCCCCCCCCCCCCCCCCCCCCCCCCCCCCCCCCCACCCACACACACACACAACTTTAGACAAATATGAACAAATAATGTATTCAAGTTTGCATAAATAACTTCAGTTAATAGGAAAAATTTTGTTTTTATTTTATTGCAAAATTTTAATTTTTGTTAAAAATAACTGGTTTTTTGACATTAAAATTTTTTAGGTGAGGTGAGTAGTAAAAAAGCTTTATTTTTCTCCGAAATTTGTATTCAGATAAAATACACCCGAAAAAAACTACCCAAAAAAACTTTCAAATAAAAAATAAAATATTTACCAAGTGGATTCAATATATCCAGAGCCGACGTTTTCGGCCATAGTTTATTTTTCTCCTCGGTTTCCCCAGATATAGGATTGAGAGCGTGTTTATTGAACTCAAAATGAGAATAAAACTCGAAAAATCCTCGCAGAAGTTCAAATAGTGTCATATCACTATGATAACATTGGTTGAGTCTGGTTAGATGTGGATTAATATTATGGAGAAAGTTGACTGAAACTCCGTCCTCGCAGCTGAACTGATCCTGACTTGATCCCAGCTCAATTAGTTTCTGTACAGTAGGAACCATACCATGCACCTGGTTTCAACTAAATTCAGACAAAGTGTGATAAAACTTGTTTATGGTTTAGGATTTCTGATTTTATCATGATATTCTTTAGGAAATATAATACATTTATGACATTACTATTATCATTATTATTATTATTATTATTAACATTCCACCTTCAGTCAAAGTATCATGTCCTGTAGACTATGTTACGTTGAGCTCCAAGGTCGAGCTCCAACCACTTACCCATGTCTACATAATAATAATAATAATAATAACGAATATCTACCGAAAAATAGAAAAAAGAAATTTGAAAAACTGAAAGAAATATTAGTGAGCTGGATTCAGATCCATTTATTTAAAGCACTGCAATTTAATAAAAAAAATTTTAACCGCTAAAAATTGAGCATTTCTCTGGGAAATAAATGTTTTGTCAATTTTTTTGTCTGAAAAGTTCCTGTTGGAGGTAGCAGACAACTAGCATTACGAGGGTAAAGTTTGTAAAGTAGTTTGTTGGACGAATATTCTTAACAAGCTTCTGTGATTTAGCCCAGTGTTTAATCACAGAGACAAGGGGACGAACCCTCCAGTCCGCTCCACCCCAGATATGAAGCAGACAAGACATATATAATCCGCTTGATGACGTCATGGACAGATCACAGTCGAACCCAGTGAGCTCGTGGCGGTATTTGATGATGGGAACACGAGCAAACAATATCTTTTGTACGTCCTGACAGCCAGGGAGGAAGATTTGAAGAATGCTGGAGATTTGATCGCAGTAGCGCCGGGTCTGCGCTCTGTCTCCAGATACACAGCTCTTAGAGTGAAAAACAAGACGAGATTCTCGACCCTGGAAATTAAATATTTTTAATTAAACATTAAGAAATTTATATTTCCTGAAAAATGCATTTTTTCTTCATTCCAAAACCACTTTCTATCCCAAGGGTCTTGAGAAAGGATCTATCTATCCATCCTACCTTATCCTGGAGAGGGTCTAGAGAGAGGATCATATCCTGATCTCCTAATGATTGTCCGAATCCATTCACCGAGGATCCAAAAGGAAGAACTGGAAACCCAAACCTTGCTTAACTTTTCAGAATAAATTTTAGAACGAACAAAATCATTTTTTTCAATTTAAAAATTCTAAACTTTTTTACATTATAGCTAAATATTTTTTTGTGTGGAAGGGGTCCGGTAGAGCAAGTTTATATAAGAATTTCTACCCTTCTTTTTATCGTGTTTTTATTTTGACGTAAAAATTAACACAAGGTTTCCTGCAGCGTGTGAAAACATTCCCTGAAAAAAAATAATTATTTTTACCAATCAATCATCCATCCACCAATAAATCAATTAATCAACAATCAATGACTCATCAAAAACAAGAAAACGGTAAAAATTTAACAATTATCTAACCTTCATAGTGAGTTCAACTTGTCTGCAAACCATAAACCTGGCTCTAAATAAAACAATTTATTCATATTCCTTCTACAGATTTAACAAAAAACGACTAAAGGGATTGTTCACTTGTCTGAAAAGGATACTCTTTATTTTTGGAGTGAAAAGGTAAAACCAGTAGACTAGATTCTTCAGTAAAAAAAAAGAACGAGAAAATTGATCAGACAGAACCAATAAACAGAAGAAACTGTTTCCTAAGATTTGACTCCGTGATCTCCTGGGATTTCCAAAGATTATAAATTTGATCTGAGATGGTTCCGCCCGGTTCCTTCTCATCCGGAGTATCTCTAACATCATTAAATACTGGCAGGGGTTGGATGACAGGAGGAGAAACTGTGAGATCGGGTTGGACAGCTCCAGCTCCGGAGAACCAGAGAAACGGAGAGGTTACAGGAACAGGTTGGGTTCCGGAGTCTGCTCCGGAGTGAGAACCTGTTCTCAGGATTTTAGCAACACAAATCTCATCCTAATAATTAACCGTATTAAAAAGTTGAATATTCTAAAAAATATATTCTAAAACCATTACCTCGAATTCTACGATGTAAAAATTTGAAAATGCCTTTGTTGACTGATTTTTGTAGAAATGTAAACCTAAAACAATTGTTTAAAATGAAATATAACAAATTTTATTATAAAATAATTAAAAACTATAAAATAATTCACATTGAACAAAAATATATTCAGGAGCCTAAACCCCGCAGAACTTATTTTCTAATAAACCAACTCTAACTCACCCTTGACGTGTCCTATAGCAGTTGAGCAGTATGTATACAAGTCCTGAGCAGATTGTTTTCCTTTAACTTGAACCATTACACTCCGTCCTGCCTCTTCTCTCCGTCTTGCAATTATATCTGAAGAAAGTAATAAATTAAACAATTTAATTACAAATCAAATTTGGGAAAGGTTGAGAGGGTAGACTTTGGGAACTATCCACACAAAACACGAATTAGAAAATCAGGTTTCAGGATTATTTTTTGATTTTTTATCTGCAAAATACGTACAAAATACTAAGAACTCTAGATGCAAATAAAATGTGAAGCTTATTGCATTTCTAAACGATAGAATCTTTTTAAATTTTCTGTTTTGTCTTAAAAATCCCAATGTAAAGCTTTTTACGATCAAATACGATGTGGGATATTCAGTATGAAAACCAACAGCCAGTATTTTACAGTTGATATCCCAGATGTGCAAAAGTTATTTAAGGGGGGGGGGGTCTAAACCCCTATATAATTACCTAATAGAGGTTCATATTCTCCGGAGTTGACTTTTCCCTCGGTCTTGATCGATCTTAATCCTGGTTTCAGAGAAGAGAGGAGAACCAGGGATTTACTAGAGAAAATATAATCTTAATCCTGGTTTCAGAGAAGACAGGAGAACAAGGGATTTACTAGAGAAAATACAATCTTAATCCTGGTTTCAAGGAAGACAAGTGTACCAGGGATTTACTAGAGAAAATACAATCTTAATCCTGGTTTCAGAGAAGACAGGAGAACCAGGGATTTACTAGAGAAAATATAATCTTAATCCTGGTTTCAGAGAAGACGAGAGAACCAGGGATTTACTAGAGAAAATACAATCTTAATCCTGGTTTCAGAGAAGACAAGAGAACCAGGGATTTACTAGAGAAAATACAAACTTAATCCTGGTTTCAGAGAAGACAGGAGAACCAGAGATTTAGTAGAGAAAATACAATCTTAATCCTGGTTTCAAGGAAGAAAGGAGAACCAGGGATTTACTAGAATAAAATAAAGTTTTTGTAAAAATACAACATAATCAAAATTTGAAGCAAATCGGTTCAGGGGTTCCTGACATGCAAACAAACAGAGATTACTACTTTTATATATATATAACCAGGATCATAACACCAAAAGACAAGTAAAACTAACCAAAGAAGTTAATAGAAAAGGTAATATTGAAACCGGAGAAAAATTCCAGATTTTATGTCAACTGTTGTAAAGTGGCATCTTTTAGGTGTAATAAATCCTAGAAAAATACCTGGAGTATCTCGAAACACATCTATAACTTAAGAGACTGAGCATCGTCAGTCTGAAAAGAAGTGTCCTAATTATGACGAAGCTTTGCATATATTTGCTTGAATAATCCTACATTGATACAAGCTGATTTTTACAAGAATCATATAATTCTACCGAACAGAAAAATGGCTTTCGTTGTTCTAGGGGAAAAATAAAAAAATTCTTCAGCGAGTTTTCCCTCCAATTACGACTTTTTAGCAACAAAATTCTTTTCTTTTACCTAATTTAGCAATTAAAACCCTTAACAATTTCATGCGCATCGCGCTAGTAAACCGAATTTTAAAGGGGGGGGGGGAATTTTTAATAGTAGGTTGTAATTTTTAAGAAAATAAATACCCTTAAAAGTGTTGATGTAAAATGATTCCTTAAAATGGTCAAGTTGGAAATAATTTAATCATTTGCACTTCTAAAACATATAAAATCCTTCCATTCCATTTCTCATCTTATCAAACCTATATCCGGCATTTTCATCTGAAATTAATAAGTTATAACAATAAATTCGTAAAATTAATCAAATAAAATTTATTTATATTTAATCATAAATCGATTATTAAGAAATAAGAGACATGAGGCATATCTCCGGACTACAAATCAGTATTTTTATATATCTTTAACAATAAACAAAACATGAATTAATGACTTTTAGTCTGTGATTATGTGTACAGTGTACAGTGGACACTAGATAATTTGTTGAGTGTACGCTTTTCAATAATATTTATGTACTTTTATACTTTTAAGAATTACGGTGTAAATGTAAACTGTGCCTTTTATGTACTGTTTTGGTACTGCGTAGTGTTCGCACTGTTCAATGACGCATCATAAACGTCTTGTGTAGGGTGTGTACTGTGCATGCTATGAGGCAGTATATGTATGGTGTTCGCTCATCTTGCGTACTACTGTGTTAGTGATTTATTATGTTCGCTGTATCACATTATGTACGAGTGTAAATGTCTAGTGTGCATTCCAGTGAACACTGTACACTGTACATTCAAACGAAAACAATTTGTCCTGTATGGATATTAGATACTGTAAATGTAGAAGACTAAAATAAGACGTTGACTAAATAAGAAAATTGGATTTGGTTGCATCTTGGAGGATAGTTGTAACATCTGTAGGCTCCACCTCCTCCTCCTTACAGTAGGTTCCTCCGATACAACCTAGAAACAGGATTAATCCAACCCATCGGTTACTCAGGAACTTCTTTGCACAATCCTCTCCGTCGTTAATATCTAGAGTATAGATCTGATGGGAGATATGAGCTAGAACTGCTGCTACGGAGGTATAGTACGGCCAGGACTGCTGACACAACATCCCGGAGTAAACTAAACTCATTCCCATCATTGTGGCGAAACATGATAGACAGATAGGAGTCTGCTCACCGAACTTGATAGCTGTAGATCTCATTCCGATAATAATATCGTCGTATTTATCCTAAAATATTAAATAAGTAATGATACTGGACAAACAGTAAAAATATTGTTAATATAAAATCCTCATATTTTCCCCAAGGAAAGATGAAAGTAATAAAAAATCTTAATTATTATTATTATTCGTTATTTGTCAAAAGATTTTAAAAGCATATATTTTTTTCCTGGAAACCAAACCCGAACCATTTTATAGATTTAAGCGTGTTTGGGTATGAATTACCTAGGGGAAAAACTTTCTAATTAAAGTATCTTTAATTTTTCTTCCCCAAATGTTTTGAAATTTCTCAATAGGATTAACTAAACACAAGATTTCTAGGTCACCTCTCCTTGATGTACCTGATGTGCATATATTGTATCATATATCATTGTCCAGCAGATCCCAGCAGAGTACAAGGAGAGACATACACTCCAGTTACAGGCACCCTGAGCTGCTGACCATCCCAACAAAGCTCTAGCAAATAGAAATTTTAAAAATACATTTTCAGTTTTGAAAATATCAGCACTTATTTCAAGATTGTTTCTTCCAAAGTTCTAATGATTCGTTTNAGGTGTAGGAGAATATATCCCATATAAAAAATCTTGATCTGATCCAACATAATTTAAAAAACCTGTTACCTTAATAATTAATCTTTTATCAATAAAACATTGGAGATTTACGCCAGATAACAAAAAGTAGAACCCCTCCCCCATAAAAGTACCATGAAAGAACCATCGCCAAATAAAACCATGAAAGAGACATCACTAAATAAACCATGAAGGAACCTCCACCAAATAAAACCATGAAAGAACCCCCTCCAAATAAAACCATGGAAGAACCACCACCAAATAGAACCATGAAATAACCCCCACCAAATAAAACCATGAAAGCACCCCCTCCAAATAAAACCATAAAAGAAACCCCTCCAAATAAAACCATGAAAGAACCCCCTCCAAATAAAACCATGGAAGAACCACCACCAAATAGAACCATGAAATAACCCCCACCAAATAAAACCATGAAAGAACCCCCTCCAAATAAAACCATATGAGTATTGAGTATCCTACCCCCAGTTGAAGGCAAGTCCCAGGATTAGTTGAGGATAGTGAGTAATCCTTTTCATTAGAGGATACATGACAACCAACCCCATACTGGAGGCCCCCAGGAGCACGCTGTACCAGTTCAACTCCAGTAGGATCAGGAGTCCGACTCCCAGCTGAGCACTTAGAAACACAAGAGCGTCAAACAAGGAAATCTGAAATTAAATTATTTTAAAAGGAATGTGAACCATTTTGCAAAGACTTTTATATATTTAGAAAGATTCGCCAATGATTTTTGTTAGTTGTAGTTGTAAAATCGAAGAATCGCTTCCTAGAAAGATTTTGGCAGAATTGGGAAAAATGGATATCAAAAGGCAATTTTTTTTCCCCATTTATCAAGTCTTTGTTACCCAAAAATTCATTTATTTTAGCCTTACAACTTACTATTTAATATCCTCAATTCACTGGAAATAACCCAAAAAACATCATATCCAACAGCTGGGGAAAAAAAAAATTTCAACGAGAGAAAGAATTTTTCAAGGAAAATAAACACCACTGAATTAGTTAACTTTCAAAAGGGACAAAACAGTAAAAATTCTTAAATTCACCATATGAAAGAATAATCCACCAAAAACAAACCTGTCCTGATGTGATTGGTCTGTTCCGTGTTCTCTCAACATGTTGATCTATATTCCTATCCCACATATCATTGATTGTACATCCTGCTCCCCTCATTACTAGAGCTCCAGCACCAAATACTGCTAGTAGAGAGAGATCTGGTATAGCTCCAGGTACCCCTGCTAACCCTATACTCCAACCACAAGGCCAAAACAACAACCATGTCCCTGACGAAGTAAATATTACAACCCTAACGTTAAATTATAATATCTACATTCTACAACGCTATAAAATAGAACAAAGGAACTCTTCACAGGATATCGAATAAAGATTAAATTAATCTGTAGATTAACAAAAGATCGATATCTGTGCTTGATTTCGATATCCACGTTTCAAGAGTTCCCAGCTTAGCGCAAAGAAATAGGGATTAATAATTAGAGTTTGAGGCAAGTAATGAGTGCCCTTAAACTTGTATTGTTGATTACCTACTGGTTTATCTAATCTTGCTAGCTTGAGGTATGGTTGAAGACCAGAGGGAGAACTTTCAACTAATCTGGACGGTAGAGTTCCTTTTGATCTCGCAGATAACGCATTTGGATTCAATCCCTGAAGGTTTAACGTCCTTTGAATGTTTTTAACCGGGATATTTGTTAACCTATTCACTGCAATACTCTGATAATTATCTTTGTTCCTAAATCCCAGCGTCAGAGGATGTTTATGAAATATTCTGTTGTACTGTCCACCACCATTTTGGAATTGTCTGCCATTTTGGATTTGTCCGCCATTTTGGTAATATTCTCCATTTTGGAACAGTCCGCCATTTAATAATCCGGCGTTTTTAAATCCACCTCCTCCCGCTCTCAGAACAGACTGTCTCAACAACATATTAAATTCATCTGAAAATATAAACTCTATAATTCTATGCAAATACAAATATATATAATAATATGATCCTTCTACACTAGTTAAATTATCTATCTATTAAAGGACCAAAAACAGAAGCTCTCCCATTTTAAAATTATGACTAAACCGGTTTGTAAATTGTTTACATTTTTCACACTGATCTCTAGCACCAGTGCAAGTGGCTCCTCAACTTCCTGCTCCCTCAGCTTAGTTTCTACTGGCTTAAACGCTTGGAGCTGTCAAAATGTCCCGTGATTAGGTTGATAACTTCCAGAGCTGCAACGGGAAGCTTCGTGCCCGGTCCAAATATGGCCGAAGCTCCAGATTTATAAAGAAACTCATAATCCTACAAAATAGATTTTGAAATGTATATTTATATTTTATATATTTATCATATTATTTCATTTATTATATTTTTCGTTTATCCTTATGAAAAATCGAAAGTTTTTCCTCTTATTAAAATTTTTTCATTGGTCTACACGTTTATGTTTTTAAGTAATTTTTTTCACAGTTGTCCCAATGCAAAATTATTTATTATTTATACGTTTGTTATATAATGGGTAGTCAAAAAAGAATGAGACTGTAAAGACGACCTGAAACTGTTTAAATATGACGATAATGAAAAAAGAAATAAGTATAGACTTGCAAGGAAAAATGAGGACACAGAAAGTGTAATATATCGTTCCTGAAGTCTCATCCTTTAACCGTGTATAATTGACCTGTGGTGGGATGACACCTCCACAAATGACCAGGATATCAGGTCGACCCATTTTCTTCAGATTTGACACTAATTCAGGCACCTTTATATATATATTATGTGTATGTAAATCAACTGAAGTTATTATTCAGATAGTGATGTAAATATTATTTTAGTTTATTTCAATGAAAGAATGGAAACTAATCAAGGTTTTCTTTCCAAATTACATTATAAAATAATTCCTTCATAACTTAAATTTTGGCCCGAAACCTCGGGTAATTAAAAATAAAAAAATTAAATATCGAAACCTCAACCACCCCGCAGTAGAGGCCTTACCCACCTATATAGATATTAGATAACATGGGCGATTGTAATTGGGTAACGAAGACTAATCCTGAAGTGATGATCTTGAGAGTTCTGAAAATTTTAGCAAACTTGAACAACTAAGTGTTTATTAGCCGCAGCGCTCGGCCCCCTAGCCTATCCTAGCTCAAGCACTGGGCCAAAATTAATGGCCACAGTGCTCGGCCCAGACTTAATCCCAACCTAACCTAACCCACGATATAGATAACGTCAGCACTGGGCAGATTGTAATTGTGAAGCAGTTAAATGTGAACAAAATGTGTCATTGTCTGTTATATGTTTTGTGCTTTATTAATATATGTATGGATAGTGTTTATTGGGAAATTGGGGCCTTAGATAGATGGAACTAATCACGTGACCTAATGGTTGGATTTGAGAGTTAGGTGGTTACCACTACCCCGCAATAAAGATTAACCCAAACGTAAATAATTAATTTTTTCAAATTAATTATTCGTTTTTGATAAACTTCAAACACACCCCTTTCACCATTTATGAATTACATATCAATCCTTTAAACATTAATTTACCAGAGCTTTGTGTCCTGCAGCAAGGGAGGAGACTCCAACTACATGTACATCACTGTCGATAGCTTGTTGAGCAACCTGATCAATTTTTAATAGATTAATATCCAGGGGTGTATACTGTATATTTTTCATATATTAACCCCCCCCCTCACAGTCCCCCACCCCCAGGAAATGTTTTTTTCTGATTTGGGGAACAAAATGAAAAATAGGACATCAAAAGGCAAGTTTTTTCATACTTTTATATACCCTTTACCCGAAAATTCATTAAGTTTCCCTTAAAAATCCTTTAATTTCCCAAATTCAGAAAATAAAATCCAAAAAAAAAGCATAAATAACTTCTGGGGAAAGGGGGGGGATGATCTTTCAAGAATTATACACTCCTGTAGATATTAACAAATATTTTTAAATTTGTCAAATATTCACCTCTTCGGGAGTTTGAAAGAGAGGTCCAATATCAACATCAAATCCAAGATCTGAGAAACCTGTAGCAATAACCTTGGCACCTCGGTCATGCCCGTCCTGACCCATCTTGGCAACCTAAAGTAATAATTTTGGCATACCGGTCATCACAATCCAGTCCCATTTTATCTCTACAATTTAGTGTAAAACTTTTTTCCTTATTTTTTAATTATCAAATTATCAAAACGTTCTTCGTTGTAAATTAAAATCATGAATATGATTATGAGTAAAAAAAACTTTTACCAAAAATGTTGTAGCCTAGAAAAAACTGGTTTTTCAATTGATAAAAATGCATAATCTATATGTTAAAACAAGACATTCGTATATATATATATAAATATACTAGTTAGGCCTATAGCCGACCTAACTAGTGGACCAATTGGGATGAAATTTTTTTGTAGACACTCAGGGGTGGCCGGGGGGTGTTACAGGCTAAAACAAAATCTAAAATATTTTTTTTTCTTCAAATTTTTTCAAAAATATTTTTTTTTAAATTTTTTAAAAAATATTAATTTTAATTATATATTTCCAAGGGCAACGCCGGGCTCTTCAGCTAGTATGCTAATAAAAAGATCAGACGCAGTCTAATTAAAACGTTAAATTAAGTAAAATATCTCTAATTATCTTACCAAAATTCTGGGTCTTCGTCCCTCGATTTCTTGGAACCTGTCAATAGCCGTAGAAACGGCTACAATCTCCTCGCTCTCCCCGTACTCGGTCCTGTAGGCCCCGGACACCATCCTGTCGTTGGCAACATGTCTCCCGTACACCCGCTCCATAGCCTGGGTGATCTCTCCCACTGTGCACCTGGTAGAATAGAGTTCATGACAAAGGAAAAATGAGAATAAGTAAGTTTTCGAAAACGATGAAAAAAGTTTTAAGAATCTCAAAAGAAAGTTTTACGCATGCTCGTGATTTTTTATTTTAAAACAATTTTAAGCATTTTAGCCCAAATAAACTTTAGTCCGAGTGAGCGTTAGTTCGATCATTCAATAGTGCGATCGATACAACACCTGTTCCGCGAGACATATTACCTTGCTCTAGCCGCAGAGATTGCGAGTTCCAAAAGGTTTCCTTCTCCTGATTTAGCTGAATCCTCGATATCCTGAAGACACTTGTTTGCTGCAGCGGTATCCCTAGTATTCTTGACCTGGGCCAACCTCTTCAACTGCTTCTCCTTCACCTCCGCGTTATCAATACTCAACACATCAATCTGATCTTCAACCTCTAGTTTGTATTTGTTTACTCCGACAATGGTTTCCTTTCCAGAGTCTATATTAGCTTGTCGTTTAGCAGCACACTCCTCTATCTTTAGTTTAGGCCAACCACTAGCTACAGCAGCAGCCATACCTCCCATACTCTCAACCTCATCAACAATCCTCTTAGCCTCGTCGTAAACCTGCTGGGTCAGGCTCTCCATCATGAAGGACCCGGCCCAGGGATCTATCACCTTGGTGATCCCCGTCTCCTCCTGCAGGATCAACTGGGTGTTTCTCGCCAACCTTGAGGAGAACTTAGACGGGAGCGCCAGGGCCTCGTCGAATGAGTTTGTGTGAAGGGATTGTGTTCCACCGAACACGGCGGCCATTGCTTCAATACAGGTTCTCATGATGTTATTGTAGGGATCCTGCTCTGTGAGTGACCAGCCTGAGGTTTGGCTGTGAGTTCTCAACATACAGGATTTCGGATTTTTAGGATTAAATTTTTCTTTGATCAAAGTCGCCCAGAGCTTTCTTGCTGCTCTAAATTTTGCAATCTCCATGTAGAAATTCATCCCGACCCCCCAGAAGAAAGAGAGACGGGGAGCAAAGGAGTCAATATCCAACCCTGCATTGATACCGGTTCTACAATATTCAATACCGTCGGCGATGGTGAACGCCATTTCAAGAGTAGCGGTAGCACCTGCCTCCTAAAATATAAATAAAAAACTTATGTAAACAAATTCAAAGAAGAGTACATAACTTATAAAAGGTATTGTACACTACCATATTAGTAGCACGACCTCAGATTTTGATTGGGGAAGTAACTATGTAACTAACTATGAGTTACCTGGGCAACACTGGGGACCCAAGCTAGCAAATAATAAAGAATAAGTACCTGTATGTGATATCCTGAGATAGATATTGAATTATATTTTGGCATATGTTTCGAGGTGTAGGAGAATATATCGCCGATAATCTTCATTGAAGCGTCCGGGGGATAAATATACGTATTTCGAACCATAAACTCCTTCAAGATATCGTTCTGGATTGTTCCTAGACAAACAAAACATAGATTATTAAGGGACCGTCCGCGTAATTCAAAGTGACCCTCCGGCCTCCATGCAAATATGCCAAGACCGATTGATAACGTTACCCTTAAATCTTTATCTGATAAAGATTGTGGAGGATATCATCGTTTTTCTGAAATTGTAAGTGTTAAATTCCGATAATTTTTAATTGTTTTCACGCAGGTAACATATTGCAGATAAATCAGTTTTCAAAGTTATAAAGATTGATATCTAATAAATTCAGTCAGCTCATAAAGACCCGTAATTAAATTACAATTAATCAGACGACTTTATGATCTAATTTTACAATTATGATTGATGAAACGATAATCACGAAATAGCCCTAGTCTTCCCTTTACCTTTTTTGTGCGATTAAAATTAACAAAGATATATATGTTAAGTTTTCTGTAACTGTCATTTAATTCCGGGTCTTTCTGATTAGGACATTCAGACATATAAGGACTTTCCACAGTTAATTAATTAATCGATATATTAATGCTTAAACCAAACCTGTAAGCTGTTCCTGTTTAACCCCCTGTTCCTCCGCTGCAACTATGTACATCGCCAAGACGGGAATAACGGCACCGTTCATCGTCATCGACACCGACATCTTGTCTAGAGGAATCCCGTCGAACAATATTTTTGTATCTTCGACACTATCGATCGCAACACCCGCCATGCCGACGTCACCAGTTACCCTTAGATCGTCGCTGTCGTATCCTCTGTGTGTCGCAAGATCAAAGGCAACACTGAGACCCTGCTGACCAGCTTTAATGTTTGCTCTGTAAAATAATATCATAAGAATTTTATAAATTATTTGTTAACTAATGTAACACGGAAAATTGTAAATATTTCTTAAAAAATAAAAATTTAATTTTCTATAATATCATTTTCCTGTAGAATTCATTACTCTTCTCTACTGTTGAAAACCCCGCGTACTGCCTGATAGTCCAGGGTTTCTGAGCGAACATGGTTGGATATGGACCCCGGGTGAAGGGAAATGTACCGGGTAGTTCCTCCACCAGGTTCTCCACGTCCTTCTTCGTGTACAAGGGCTTGACGGGGATACCCTCCAGTGTGTTCCAGATCAGGGTGTCAGGACTCTTACCCTGTAAAAACAGCTTTCAAGACGGGTTTGATTAAAAATAGGTCGAGGTTTGAATATAATAAATGGAACCTTAGAAAACGCTTTAAAAACATTATCAATGGCAAACACCGACTTTTCTTTAGCATTTTGGAGGTCTATTGTGTATGGATATTGGATAGTATCAAGTTCTCGTTAGAGAAACAAGATTTTGAAATTAACATTTAATATTGAACCCTGATGACCCTTATTATGATTCTTCCTCTACCCTCCCTCTGTCAAAAATAATATAATCCCACTTTCTTTCTAGAAAAATTGTTCCTTGTTCTATGATCTTTCTTCTGATTTAACGTTTAAGATTCCATTTTAAAAAAAGGACCCGTAACAGGGTTAACAAATATTTCTTTCAGATTTTACTATTTATTAAGACTTTTCTTGTTAAAACTTTAGTGTTCAGGGGGGTTTCACCTCTTTCACCACTCATTCTTCAGTTAACATTTAGGAATTTGTAATTTTAGGAAAAAAATGTTCTTTCAAATTTTGGAACTTAAATCCGGATCCAGGAACTATTCTGATGCGGGTTTATATCCCGGATTACTTCTGATAGAACCAACTAACTTTCATCTGTTTAGTAGCTGCAGCAACCCAGACCGGGTCTAGTGTACTCCCAGAGCAATATCTTGTCATAGGTCTGAACAATACACAATTCAATAAATAAATAGGTTCTAATGCCGTTGATTAGAGCAATCAGTGGTTAATTGAACTTTAAACATGTTTTTTTGCGCGCGTTTAATTCAAGTCCCATTCGAATAGTCTATACTCTATATTACCCAATTAAGCGAATAAAACCCTAAAAAAGTTCCGCACAATCAAACCTGATATCCGAGAAAAAATAATTATCAAGAAGAGTGGGGGAAACGATATATGCACTCCTTCATTTCTTTAACATTGTTAGGTTTTTTAGAACCAATTATCCCAGGGATTCAACTTAAATCTTTCAATTTTAAAGTTAACGATGTAGATATCAAGGTCGGCCAGTGTTCGTGTCGGTTCAGACTGATAAAAAGGTATCACTGAACACTTCCATTAGACAATAAACAGTTTCCATTAGAATATAAACACTTTCCATTAGAAAATTAACAGTTTCCATTAAAAAATAAACAGTTTCCATTATAAAATAAACACTTTCCATTAGAAAATAAACAGTTTCCATTAGACAATAAACAGTTTCCATTAGACAATAAACACTTTTTATTAGACAATAAACAGTTTCCATTAGACAATAAACACTTTTTATTAGACAATAAACAGTTTCCATTAGACAATAAACACTTTCCATTAGACAATAAACAGTTTTGCATGATATTTTATAATTTTTTTCTTTGTTATCTTTTCACAAATGATTTGTGTTTTTTTTTCACTCGAAAATGTGAATAAATCACATGACTTATCTTGAACAATCATAAACAAGATTTTATTTGTATTTCTTTCGCTGCGAATTCTTTTTAAAAAAGTTTTTGTATGACTTGAAAATATCTGGGTTTAAAACTATTAATTTAATGAATCGCCTTATATGCCGCATGACGGGGCTGCGCAATGCATTGCACTGCATTTTGTCTGAAAAAATAAGTATAAAAAAAAAATCAAATTTATTCATCAGGCTCCTCTCCCGCTGTAACCGCTATCTTCTCCGACCCCTTCTTGGTCTTCTTCTTCTGCTTCCTTTTCTTCCCTGGTCTAGGTTTCTGGTGCCCGGAGTCAGACTCTGGTTCCTCGATCGTCTGGAACACTTCGTCCGTCTCGTCCACCTTGAAAGTTGGACCAGTCGGCCGGCCGGCCTCGTAGGCCGCCTTAGCCTCCACGCGATCCTGATACTTTCGGGATTTGGCCTTCTTCAGCAGAGCTCGCTTAGAGTTAGGAGTTATATATCTAAAACAATTTCAATTGTTAAAATATTCTAGGGCGTGAATTAGAATTTATTTTAACTATTTATTTTTTATTAAAAAAATGAAAAACCCGCCCCATCAGCATCCCCTGGATGAAAAACTGTTAGCCTCAGGAAAACTCTATTTAAAAGTCGACTTAAAACAAGTCAAAGAGGTTTTCTTCTTTCTCTGCAGGAAACGCAAAGCGTAAAATACGGAATGATTAACCGATATATTTGTAAATGACTCTGACATAGTGAAACCCTGTGATTTTTTTTTGATAATTCATGTTTAAAACTATTTACGTAGTTTTTTTTAATAAAAGTTTGAAGAAGAAGACATAGCGAAATTGTTTACATTTTACCATTATTATACCATTTATGATTATTATATTTCTTAACAATACACATTAATAATACAAAAATTCAAAATTTCACAAAGTTTACAGAGAGCAATGCGGATGTAATCTATCTTGTAGTCTAATTTGCTGTTTCCTGACCTCCGTCGTGTTATCCATCGAAATAATTTATATGCATTAGTTAACGATGGCAGAGGGGGGGGGGGTTGTTGGGGGCCATTAAATCTGAATTATTTTTCATTAAGTTCATCAGTTGGATCAATAGAATCAAGAAGGCATGCCTGAGATATAAATCTAGCTTTTTATTGTTTAAAAACTAAATAATCTCTAACCTGCCGTTCTCCCAGATAGTTTGTCCACTGAAGCTTCCGTCGAAGACCTTGATAGGGTTGAGAACCATCCTAGGACCAATCTCAGCCAGGGATCCGCTCTCCTCGAGTATCTGGAAGTTTCGGAACCAAATCTAAAAAAATCAAAAGTTGAAATGAGAGAAAATCTGAAGGGACTGTTGAACAATTTCTTTTGTTATTACATTTAATGAGAGCCTGTCCGATTCACAACGGTACCCTTTAAAAAGTATAATTCCTAATTATGCATTCTCTACTAAATTACTAGCGGTTTTTGTGCAGCTGAGACAAAGAACGCAGTTTACAGACTTCAACTCTTTGAAGATAAATTTAAAGGTATTTTAATCTTTTTTTAATGGAGGGTCAGTAAAAAAAATGCCTAAAGTATATCAAAATGTCTAAACTGAATGAGACGTTTATTGTATAGGATTTGGTACGAGTGTGGTGTGATACAATAATCTTAACTTAATAATTTTTCAATATCGAAAAACAAATCTATTTAATGAAGATTTAGGAATGATTTAAATATTTATTTGAAGATGTAACGATCTCCACTTGAGATAAAAACTACAAGTCTACAATTGATCTGATATAAAGGCGCGAAGTGTCCTGAGTTGTAATTATAAAATGTTACCTTGTCATCAACTATACAGAATGTAAAGACATGATCGAAGAAAGGTTGAGATTTAGGATGATGATTGGGAACTCCGAATATCTGGGTAAACAGCTCCTTCATGACCTGCCAATGCGCGTCCTTTGTGAAGTTCTGGTCAAAGGAGAGAAGTGGTCTGGAGGCGCGGAGACAGTTTCCGGTCATCTTTAGCTCAGCCATAGTGTGAATATTCTCTACCTGAATTTAGTATTTGGTTGGATAAGAAGTAAAGCTTGACATTATTATGTTTTGTTCAGTCTACAATTACACATTATGAGAAACATCTTTACTCCCGAAGCCATTTCAAGTAAGAAAAGAAATGTTAAGCTTAAAATACACCTTATTCAGTTTTAAGGGAATTTATCACACCTAATATTTCCCGTTGTAGGGTGATAAAGTTACTTAAAGTAACTGTTTTAATCAAAATAAAAGTATTTTCACAACCACGTTCTGTGTGAAAATAATTTCATTTTGATCTCAAACAAACTCAGATACTTTAATTTTAACTACAAATAAACTAGAAAAAAAATCCCATTATAATGTTATAAATAAATACTGTTGCAAAGATATAAAGTGGTCTTAGGAAGAATAATTAAAATATACTAACCTCAAATTTAACACTGGGACCCCTGGCTACGTTAGCCGCCCAGAGATACACATCCTTCCCCTTCCGACCTTCAAACAGTAAACATTTCTCACAGTTCTTCATCTCCGCAATCTCGTTCACAGCGAACAGAGTCTCCTTCTTCTGCATCTTAGAGTCGGACTTAGAGTGTGGCATCATGCTCTGGATATCCTGGAGTAGATGACGACCTCTGTGACCGATTCCTCGAGCACTGAGAACAAGAACTCTGGATTTGTTGGTCCATTTAATCTTCTTGTTTACAGGTTCATCCTCGGAACCTCGGGTTGCAGGGACCTCCTCTTCAGCTACGACAACCTTGTGAATGATAATTAAGTATAATAAAAAAAACTATCCATCTAAAGGTTCTAAAACGACTTATTTCAAATATGAACTTTAAGTAAAGATTGTAAAATGCTATCGCAGAGCGGTGATAACATTTGTTGGGGGTATCTTCGCTAATTAAGTTTTGTTTTCGTGTAAAAAGTGTCAAAAAGAAAAAGGGGAGAGTTCTTTAGTTATCGTAAGTTTTCTATTTCATATCTACGGTGGTCTCAAAGAGGTTCCCTACAAAAACAGCAATTCAAAGGAAAAAATAAGAGTTCTCTGTTTATGCAAAATAAGATCTATAAGATATATACCTTCATTTCCTCCCTGGGTCTTTTCAATTTCTTTTCACCCATTTTCCTGAAATATTCAGTTTCCTTGGAAACTTCAAATTAAACCTTATTGGATTTTTTAGATATTTACCAAATGCTCTACGACAACATCTTAATTACTTTATTCATTAATATCTTACATCTACTGTATTGATGAGTTTTAATAGTTGATTTTTACACTTGGTAATGTTGATCATGTCATCAATAAACTATAGGTTGCAATGTCTGTGCAACGACTGCAATAGTTATCTGAATTGTCTCATATAAACCAGTTAAATGATGATACACTGGAATTTAGGATTAGTGACTAAAATGTAAATCCCCTTTTGTACTGCCAACCTCTTTCTACATCTTATAATTAAAATACCAAGAGTCAATGACAGTGCATCATACAGTGTTACTACCGTTTAGTGTTTAACAAACCAATCATCAGAAATTTCGGCTAAAAAAGGAAGCATTATATACCAATTTAACCGCCGAATTTTTAGAATCAAATCTTCCGATTACGAATAATACTAGTTTTAAAAATCCCTATGATTAATTCATAATCACAAAAAAGCTACATAGACATAAATATTAAAAAACGTTAACATGTCACTCATTTCTAAAGTTTAAGAAATAATTTTTTCAATTTGTTGCATCACAAGATATTTTTATGCATGGAACCAACTTGCGTAATTGCCGCAATAAAAATTTAAGAACACAACTCTCTCAATCAACTAATCTTCTGCAAAACAATTTGGGGTGCTATAGTTTGAACTACTTCCGTTTGAACTATCGACTTTTTCAACTATTGGTCGTTTGAACTATTGAACGTGGTACCACGTGTAGTAGTTTAAACGATAACATTATGTGCGCATTTGAACTAATTTTTTGCTCATACCCGGCAAGAAAACCTACTCCGCTTTCAGCTCTTGCTTTTCAAGTGGAGCTATACCTATATTTTTTCATGAAATATAAAAATCTATAGTGCATATTTAATAGTTTAAATGAGTAAATAATGTGAATTGTTTGAACTACAGGAAATGACGTCATTATCATATGGTTAGAATCAAGGATGTAAGGCAAGGAAAGTCATTTCAGAAGTGTACACATTCTTTAGTACTGCAGTACTGTCTCTGGGCGCTAATGTAAACGGATGTCGAAGCCTGACATGGGATCCATCATTCACATAAAAAATCAATGAAATATTCTGGTCATAGGAAATTATTATGTGAATTATCAAAATTATCAAAATTTGATGCTTTTATAACCTCCTCGGATACTAAACGAACACTGATGCATCTATTATTGTTTACAAATTCCGCCCAAAGAGAACTGGTTTCAATATGTACGCAGAGTTATACACGACCGCAATTGAATTTCCTTGCCTTACATTCTTGGTTAGAATAAACAATAGTTTAAACGATCAATAGTTCAAACGGAAGTAGTTCCAATGCGGATCCACCTCAATTTAATTAGTTTATTTAAAAGTATAAATTAAAATAATTCTTCTTAATCCTTTTTAATGAAACTGTTAACATATGGACTGCGAAGCTAGCAAGAATTAGAAACGATCCTCTTTTCATTCTTATCAAAAATGTCACCCATAACTTCTCATGAATTGATGTATACATACAAAACTATAGCGCCTTGCAAATAACATATAGTGCAAACAAATGATTTTTCTCCTTCTGGAGAGACTGATCTTTTGTTATGTCCAGGTCATTGCTTTCTAAGCTTAAAACATCAATGGTCAGATCATCACTGATCAGGGATATCATATTGATCAATAACATACAGGGTGTCCCAAAAAACATGGGAATTCAGTGACGAATTCGATATCGTCTTTCAATAAAAAATTTTAAAAAAAATAAAGTTGAAAATATTAAAATTAGAGTATATTTCACGTCGGATTTAAATCTTACATGTTTTCAATTAAACTTCTCTTATTGCCAAAGGCTTATACAGGGGGGAGGCATGGGGGGCAGTGCTTCCCCCTACTCAGAGCTATCACCCTTTTCAAATCTTAGACTGAAGACTTAAAAACATTGAAAAAACTAGTTTGCTCTTCTGAATTGGGGGTTTGAGTGGAGCGGATCCCCCCCCACACACACAAGAAATGTATATTATTGCAGCGCTGTAATTCCTAATTTTCCCTTTTATGTTCACAAATTACACAAAGTTTAGTTGAGTTCACAGAATTTCATATTCAAAAATTTCTTTTACTATCTCTAGTATATATAAATACTAACAAAACATATAATAAAATGTAGATTTTTTTTAAATCATGTTTTTTCTGCTGGTTTTGTTTAAAGGAGAGATAATATAGTTTTGCAAGGTAATAGAACTGTCATGTATGTGTATTAAAGTATCTTATATCTCATATGCCTGATATCCAAGAAGCCAAATGTTTTGAAATTACAGTTCATATTTTGCCTTCCCCCCCCCCTAGATTTATTTCTGCATACGCCCTTGTTTATTCCAGACCTATTGAGAAGAACAAAACTGTTTAAAATGTTTGGTATATAATCAAATAAATTTATCTGTCTCACATTTGTGCTTAAAAACGTTAATAGATGTGATACGATGTCACAAAGGAATACAAGTAATCTTGCATGAATTTAATCTTCTCCTTCAGTCTCTAGATGAGAGAATGTCATTACAAGAATGAATTAGGTAATTTATGTTTTTGTTTTTGAAAACTGTTTATATTTCAACATTTTGGTTTTCCTTCAAAAATGACTTGCACATTGCGCAATTCTGAAAAATGTCAAAATTATCAGAATGAAACACTTTTAAGCCAGAATGACAATATCTTCCAAATTATTGATTAGATTAAGGTTTTAAGGGGGGTAGGAACTATTCTGAACGTGTGTAATAAATACAGCAATCCCCATATTTGTAAACCTGAACATATATATATGTTATATAATATTGTAACAAATTCAAGAAAACACGAAGACGATTACTACTGTGTAGCGAAGTTGACCGCGGAAGATTCACAATACTATAATACTATACCCGCTCCAAATGTGTCTCCTCATGTTCCCCCCCCCTTACCGCCTCTACTTGTGGGGAACAGCGTCAGTTAGCTTTAGAATGTCGAGATGTGAACACCTCTGATCTGGAACTACTAACTCCTTCATACTGCCGCCGATGTCTACTCTAGCAACAAATGCTGCTAATGTCTAAGCGTCCATCATGTCCAAATCCACAAAGCAGTCGCATGTCCCGGGGTTGAGAGGCAATTCAAGTTCCTCCCTACACATAATCCAGACTGCAAACCCTCCAGGACCGTCGCCTAGATGTGAACCCTTTGCTGCCAAGATGCTGACACCTGTGAGCTGACCATCATGAAGCTCCAACTGTTCCATTCCTTTCAACACTATTAATCAATGTTATTTCATTTTCAACAGTTTAGATACTCCCAATTAAGGGCCAATATTTTTAAACTTTTCTTTTATTTCTCATTTCATGCTATTATTCAATAAAGTTACCGAATATCCCTGTTGTTCTTTTTTATTTGTGTCAACAAATATATATTATGTTGTACATTGTCTGTAAATTTAATGTGCTAATCATTAACTACGAAAAACTTGTAATTAACTTGTATCTACGTCAGTGACTGGCTTAACTACGCTGATATATATCTGGGCTAATCTTGTAAATACTTATATTATACTAACTTAATTGGAACATATGCTATCCAAATACAAATTAGTTGATATAGAGACTAAACGCTTTGATTACTGCGTATTTTTTGATTCATTAAGAGATCGTGCCTCTTATCCATTTTTCTTTGTAAATTCTATTTTATTTACTTCTTTTACCGTCATGAGGATGCAGAGGCGGATACAGGGGGGCGACGGCAGGATCTTTGCACCCCCTGACAGATTCAGGGGAGCCATAGCCCCCCCCCCTGAGATTTCGGAATAGCTTCTCAATTCTCTTAAAAGCACTTAAGGGATAGAAAACAGGAAAGTCAAAAAAAAATTTCGCCTTTTGCGCCTCTTTTGGTTCCTAAATCAGGATTTTTTTTGTTCTGAAATAAATCTAGCACTGCCCTTGATAAAATCCTGTATTAGCCCCTGTGAGGACATGCAGTAACATTATTGTATATTACATATATTAAATAGTTGTTCAGCAAAAAGGAATTAACTGAGTTCTGACCGGCACAAACACAAATTGTCTAATCCCTAGATCTTTGCAACCTAAAGGTGTGAATCTTTGATATTTGAAACAGTTAGACCATTTAATCTAACAGAATCGGAGTTTGAAATATCAAAGGTCAACGACTTTGGTTTGAAAAGATATAAGGGTCAGATTCAGACAGTCATTTCCTTTCCCAGCTACTACTATAAACATCTGAAAATGTCATGTATTTTTTCATTTATATAATAATTTGAAACATGAAAATATTTTACAAACTAAGATATTAAAATCAATTAATCATTGTAGAGAACTATTTATTCCCGTCCTCCTCCTCTGTGAGTATCATCATGGATCTCCTGGAAGTAGTAGCTTCTCCTCCTCCTAGTCCACCTAGATGCCGTCCTGGCAGAGATAATCTTTTTTGCTTTCTTTCCTCAAAAGACACCTCAAAAGATCGTCTTCCCGGCCTTAATATTCACTCTTTAACATTAAGGGACTGATTACGGGATTTCAAGTGATCCTCCATTTAAAAAGTGGCAGAGTATCTTTAAACTTCATTTTGAGAAGCTTTAATTGACAACTTCTCTTTGTTTTTAATTTATTTGTTTCTGCTGTTTGAAAGCTTGAGGTAGAAACCAAAATTGAAATAGTAAGTCGTCTTCATTGTATTGTTATATACGACGACGACTGTGTCCCTCTATAAATGAAGGATGTCACTTGAAATTACTGCTACAATCTGCATACAGTCCCTTTAGTCAAATGCAACACAGATAGGGAAGGATATGTTGTAGATAGTGTTAAAACTATAGTATTTGATATAAATAATGTGAAATAAGTATAAAGCTTCGAGGGAACTATGAGTTATATCCATAAAGTCGTCTTTACAGTTCAAATCTCTATCAATCCGTCCTGTGCCACCTGTACATAATATGTCCTGTACCACCTGTACATAATATGTCCTGTACCACCTTTACATAATATGTCCTGTACCACCTGTACATAATATGTCCTGTACCACCTGTGCATAATATGTCCTGTACCACCTGTACATAACATGTCCTGTACCACCTTTACATATTATGTAATTTTTGCTAAAAATGTAGCGTAATTCAATTAATTGAAAAACTGAATATTTTCTAAAAAAAAATATGTAAAAACTTTTTATAATTTGATTTTGTGACCTGCTTAAGCGGCTGAACTATCCCTACCTTGTATCCTGGTTTAGGCTGTGCATGCTCCCAGATAAATTCCCTCTAGTAACTCCACCAAGGTTTAGTAAAGACATAGACCTTACAACAAATATATACGTATAGATTAAACATATTTCTTCATCTTCTTAAATTATTCTAGAAATTCCTTTATTTTAAACTTTTTGTACCTTGGTCAGCATTTATATTAATACAAAATCGTTTAGTGAAATGGTTACATCTTGTATATATACCAATGAATTATCAGGTACTGAAATATTATTTTATCACCATTTCTGTAACTGACACTATATTGATATATATATTTTTACGGAAGTAAAAGAAGTGCATATATAGAGGGTGTCCCACGAAACATGACAGTTTGTAAATAGTTTTGAATGTCGTCTTCCATACACTGTCTTAGATGTTAAAGGCTGTTTGCAGTTCATTAATCTTATTCAATCTTTTGTTCAAATACATTTTACTTCGAAATTAATTTTACGATAATTAGACACCTATATAATGTTTTAATTATTGTCTTTGGTATTAAACAACTTAACAAATAATGAAAAAAAACATTTTGAAATATTCGGCAGCTGTCATGTTTCGTGGGACACCCTGTACTATCGTGAGTTCACTTACAGAGTATTTCATAAGAAAATGTGAAACTGATATTAAAAAATGCTGAGAAATTTCCTTTTTAAAAGCAAGCTTCACAATTTTGATTTATATTTGTATACCTGTTGTTGAGGCCCAAGGTCGACGAACTGAAAGATTTGGATAGATTATGAGGGAAGGGAAGAAATGATGCTTCCTTCCTTGCTAGAAGTTCCAACACAAGATCTTGCTGTTTCATCCTCTCAAGGTTCAGGATAGTTTCAACAGCAGACACTGCCTGGGTGTAACTATCAAAGAATGAATCCTCAATATTCTCCTCTGTATCTTCCTCCACACTCTCTAGAGAGCTAAACGTTTTCGGGACATTCCCAACTATCTCATATGTTACTCCAGTGCTCTTTAGTAGGTTCGGAGTAGAATATCCCAGACTTTTCCGGAACTTACTCACAAAAGAATGTCGTTTGTACACAGAGAAACAAATTCTTTTTCGGAGAATTATATCAACAGGGGTTGGGTCTGTGAGTCTTAATGTTATTTTAACAATCAGGAATAATCTCTCATGCTCCGCTGTAACCCTGTTTAAATAAACGGAGTTATGTACGGAGGAGTCCCAGGAAGCAACGGTTCCAATAATTTTCTCCAGGTTCTCAAGGATAGGAAGAGAGAAGAACTTATCCCCATGCTCTTTGGGTAGAACTGAACCTGCGGACAGAACCGGGAGATAGTCATCCAGTTCTGTACAGGATTCCGGAGAATCTATGCTGGACAAGTTTAAAAACAGTACTGGAGTCAACTTTTCCATTCCTAACTTTGCACATCTTGTTCCATTGGAAGCTTCCCCTGGTACCAGAGCTGCGTTCAGTTCTTCTACAATACAGTTCTTCTGATCTATCAGAGACTGGAGTAGATCTGTATCCTCTGAGGTTCGGGTTTCCTTCTCATCAATATGATGAATCCTTTGATCCACATCATCCTTCAATCTAGATATAGAAGCAGCCCATTCTCTTAGTAAACTATTCAGATCTTCATCTTGGTAGGAGTCAAGAGGGCGTTGGAGTTTACTCCGAGCTACTGGGTTTCCTACTTCAACAGCTAGGATGGAATCACAAACTATTGGAAGGTTTCCAGTGTTGTGAATAGGTTGGACTTTAACAACCATCCGCCGTTGTTGTCCATGTCGGAGTTGGTAGATTCCTCCTGTCCCTACATCCTCTCTCTGCTGGATCTCAACTGGGATATATCTTCCATCCTCGTCAATCTCATGGATCTCAACCCAGAGCTCGAGTTTTCTCACCAGCTCCGACCAACGACTCTGAACATGGTGACATTTCATGTTCAGATCAAAGCATATCCAACACAAGTCAGGATGAGCTATAGAATATCTGTCTGCCAACACCTGAGCCTTTCTCTTCTGCTCAAAAGCTTCCTTAGCGGAGTAAAATCCTTTTGCTTTGTGTCCATATACTTCTATAGACAATGCTCCTTCTTCACAGTATTCCAGCAGTTCTTCATCTACACAAACCTGAACTATCCTTTCATGTTCAAACCTGAAATCTAGTGCTGAAGTTTTCTTAGTTTGGAGTATTCTAGACTCCTCTATAGAGGGAACCACAGTGTACTCCTCGTCCTTGAAGAACTTGTACTGACAGAATAGGAAGTGTGAGAGGGCTGGTGGTATACCTACAGCAGCCCGGATACGGATACGTAACCCCACAGTGGTTTTTGTGTCCTCGGAGTGAATTGTGGAGGTAGAACCTGTCTCCTGATCACATTCTCCAACCCTGTCAATAGGAAACGCTCCCTCAATGCGTTGAACTTGAAGCAGTAGTTTCCCAGCAATCTTTCCCTCCTGGGATATTATAGGAGCCGAGTGTTCAAATATTATATCATGAAATACTGAGGATAGATACAGGTTTGCGACTCCTACTAAGGAATGACTCTCAACTGCCTCGTAAAAAGGATCTTTTAACGATTTCCCGATCTCATCCACAGTTCCTGATCCTTCTTTAACTCTCTGATAAACCTGTCTCATCTCACCAATCCTAATTTCCATCTTCTCCAGGCTCCAAGTTTGTCTTCCTTCTCCTTTCTTACTCAGCAAAATGGTCGGTTCCGTCATGAACGATCCCTTAAAATTATTCGGAGAGAGATTAAATGTTGGAATCTGTAGAGTTACTTTAAATTTACAAGATCGCTGGAGATCCTCTGATATTTGGTTTGCCTCTCTGACTAATCCAACTGCCTTCATTAAACTACCGTGCAAAGCTTCCAAACTTCTTCTGAACTGATCCGTCCTGTTCTCATTAGAACTAGAAAGCCAATTGATAACTCCAGTTTCTTCCTCCACCTTCTCTTCCGCTGAATTCTGAATAAACTTCTTAAACTGCTTTTCATAATCATTCCTCTGGGTCTCCAGGGCGGATAGTTTCTCCGCCTCGTATTTCTTCTGGAGTTTATCCAACACGTCCTTGAGTGGGAGGGATTCTCCTTCACTTGTAAAAACTTCCTCTTGAGCTTCATTCCATCCAACAATTCGGGCAGATTCCTCACTTCCTTAAACAATGATAATTTTTAAACCACTATTTTCGGGTTACCAAAAAAATCAAATTCAGAATAACCTTTTTCTAATAGAATGTAAAAAATTCTTTTTTTCACGATTTTACTACAATTTTTTAGATAAATAAGTCTTCAAAATGAATTAAATTTCAAAAACAGGAAAGATTAAGTAAACTTAAACCGCAAAATCGAAATGTTTAAAAGCAATTTTTTGAGATATTTACATCATAAATACATACTGATTTAAAGTTAATATTCTCAAAAGAATGCTAAAAAAAGATGCTTAAGGCTGAGAAACAATACAAAACAAATATTTTTGAGAGAAATTGGAAATCAAATCTGAATACCTGGTTGTGCCGGACAATTAACTCTGAAAAAATGGTTGAATCCCCAGAGTATTCTATCTCCATCCCAGATTTCAACCTTTTCATGAACAGCCTTTCCGTTCACGAAGGTTCTAGCATTTTCCATAGGTTGGAGATAAAGTCTATTCTCCTCCCTGATCAGGATACAGTGTTCGTCTTGTATTCCTACTCCTGTAAGCTGGATATCCTGCTGAACCTCTCCTGTCATGGATCCAACCTTGGTCCGATCCTTCAGATAGTAAACCAGCATTTCATTTAGGGCTGGGTCGGAGTTTAGGTTCACTAAGAAATATCTAGATCGATCCTGTTCAATAGAATCCTGCTCCAGGCCAAGAGAAACTAAAGCTTGCTTGTTCTCAACCTGTTTCTTCTCCGTCTTTGCTAGTTTCTCCATCCAGGTCAAGGATATTTTCTTCATTAGCTCCTCGTTCTCATTTAGCTGTTCCTTGAGAAGATCAGGTTGGGCGGCACTGATCAGCATACTCTTTAGTTTTTCCACCTCAGCTCTGAGCTCAGTGATCAACCTTGCATTAGGATCTTCGTTGATTACAGCGTGGTTCTTGATTCTCTTTGCTCTATCTGCGTACCTGAATACATTTTTAGATTTTAGAATCATTTATTAGGACTTAACTATAGAAAAATAATAGATATCAAGTAGACTCTTTAAAAATTCATATTTATTATTAACCAGGGGAAACTGGTCAGAGAAAATGAGACTGTTGTTCTCTGACTTAAATCTTGGAATTGAGTTTCCCATTACCTGAGATTTGCCAAGGTTGGGTTGAGTATCTGAGAGTCAACAAGGTTGGGTTGAGTACCTGAGAGTTGACAAGGTTGGGTTGCGTACCTGAGATTTGCCATGGTTGAGTTAATTACCTGAGATTTGCCAAGGTTGGGATAATTACCTGAGATTTGCTAAGGTTGGGTTGAGTACCTGAGATTTGCCAAGGTTGGGTTGAGTACCTGAGAGTTGACAAGGTTGGGTTGAGTACCTGAGAGTCAACAAGGTTGGGTTGAGTACCTGAGATTTGCCAAGGTTGGGTTGAATACCTGAGATTTGCTAAGGTTGGTTTGAGTACCTGAGAGTCAACAAGGTTGGGTTGAATACCTGAGATTTGCCAAGGTTGGGTTGATTACCTGAGATTTGCCAAGGTTGGGTTGAGTACCTGAGAGTCAACAAGGTTGGGTTGAATACCTGAGATTTGCCAAAGTTGGTTGAGTACCTGAGATTTGCCAAGGTTGGGTTGAGTACCTGAGATTTGCCAAGGTTGGGTTGATTGTTGATTACCTGAGAGCTGACAAGGTTGGGTTGAGTACCAGAGAATTGACAAGGTTAAGTTGAGTATCTGAGTACCTGTGAATGGACAAGGTGAATCTGAGATTTTCAGGCTCCTGTGGAATATAGTTGTTTTCAGATTTTTTGCGTATTTGTTGAATATGATCTGTTTAACACTACAACTATTATACAAAAGTTGATATATATACGTTTTAGTATAATTTTGACAAAGTTTTAAATAGATTTCTCGAGACAGAAACGTCCGATAATGTCTTATTTATGTCGTGGAATGCCTGAGATTCTCGGGTTTCATCCTATACCCCCTTTCATTTTTCCTTTACAGTCCCTTTAAATACCTGAGAGTTGACAAGGTTTGGTTAAGTACCCATGAGAATTTACAAAGTTGGGTTGAGTACCTGAGAGTTGACAAGATTATCTTGAGTACTCAAGAGTTGACAAGGTTGGTTTGAGTACTCAAGAGTTGACAAAGTTGGTTTGAGTACCTGAGGGTTGAAAAGGTTGGTTTGAGTACCTGAGAGTTGACAAGGTTGGTTTGAGTACCTGAGAGTTGACAAGGTTGGTTTGAGTACCTGAGATTTGACAAGGTTGGTTTGAGTACCTGAGAGTTGACAAGGTTAGCTTGATTATCTGAGAGTTGACAAGGTTGGTTTGAGTACCTGAGAGTTGACAAGGTTGGTTTGAGTACCTGAGATTTGACAAGGTTGGGTTGAGTACTCAAGAGTTGACAAGGTTAGCTTGAGTACCTTAGAGTTGACAAGGTTGGTTTGAGTGCCTGAGAGTTGACAAGGTTGGTTTGAGTGCCTGAGAGTTGACAAGGTTGGGTTGAGTACTCAAGAGTTGACAAGATTAGCTTGAGTACCTGAGAGTTGACAAGGTTGGTTTGAGTACCTGAGAGTTGACAAGGTTGGTTTGAGTACCTGAGAGGTGACAAGGTTGGTTTGAGTACCTGAGATTTGACAAGGTTGGGTTGAGTACTCAAGAGTTGACAAGGTTGGTTTGAGTACCTGAGAGTTGACAAGGTTGGTTTGAGTACCTGAGAGTTGACAAGGTTGGTTTGAGTACCTGAGAGTTGACAAGGTTGGTTTGAGTACCTGAGAGTTGACAAGGTTGGTTTGAGTACCTGAGAGTTGACAAGGTTGGTTTGAGTACCTGAGAGTTGACAAGGTTGGTTTGAGTACCTGAGATTTGACAAGGTTGGTTAGCTTGAGTACCTGAGAGTTGACAAGGTTGGTTTGAGTACCTGAGAGTTGACAAGGTTGGGTTGAGTACCTGAGAGTTGACAAGGTTAGCTTGATTATCTGAGAGTTGACAAGGTTGGTATGAGTACCTGAGAGTTGACAAGGTTTCTTCATAATTATCTTCTGCTGGTGAGAGTGCTGCAACCATCACAGTTCTAGAGTTACCCCCCAGGCTGTCCTTCAGTAACCAGGTTAACACGGAGTCACGGTAGGGAACAAAACTATCCTTCTCCTTTCCTTGGGATTTATCTGCAAGCTTGGATATTACCAGTCCCAGGGTAGTTAGAGATTTGTTTATGTTTGATCCTTCCTTGAGTCGTTCTCCTACAGCCCCGGTTTTGTTGGCTCTCTCTGACCCTGCCAGATCTACTAAAGATACTCGGGATACTTTCTCTCCAACAACTCCAGTACCCTAGGTGCAACCATAACAATGTCATACCGAGGATGAATAAAACTTTGGATTACAACCCTTCATGTAGAAATGTGCCTTTAGAGGGACTGGCGAGTGAAGAAGTAATTTTGAATAAACCTCAATTTATAGAGTGTGGACCCATGACAGCTTTGATGAGACTTGCGGATTTGATGATACAGAAACAATGGAGGATACCGTTAGAATTAAACACTTTTTAAGTTAGGAAAAAGACATCTCTTCCAATTCTTAGATCAGATAAAGGTTGTAAACAAGGACTGTTTAAAAGAAGACTCACTTCACAACTTTAGTTCATTAAATTCATCAAGGTTAAGTGATGACATGAAAATTCAAAATATTAATAAAAATCAAATAAAGGATTTAGATGATATTTGCAATATAAAGATTGCAATAAAGAAATTGTAATGATTTCCTCGTCTTTGACCGTGAAGGTAAGAATGATTGTGAAGACAGCATGAGAACGACTGCTCTCATTGTTCATCTTGGTTGCAGCAATAGTTCTAGACTTGTTTCCTTCAATCATTAGATCATCAATCTCCTGACAATTCAATTCATGTCAATAAAAATAATAAAAATAATAATAATAATAATAATCTCAACCCAACCTTACCACTCATAGACAAGTCGAGCAGGTCAAACACCTTCTCGTTGTAGATCTCCATGTAGCTCACCTCAACCCTGATCTCCGTCTCCCGTCCCACCTGCTTCTCCGTCTCCAGAAATAGGTTTGAGCAGAGCCTGGGGATGATCCCTGGATCCGTCCTTGATCCCGTCATGGTGTAGGACTTTCCGGATCCCGTCTGTCCGTAGGCAAACAGACAAGCATTGTAACCTATATTCAAATTGGTTAACAATCCTCCCAACAAGGGTCGATTTTCTAAAAATAGTTTATCACACCTATCTGGACAAAAAGAAAATGCAAAAGTTATGCAAGATTACTGGTGCGACATTGTGACCTCATTTTGCCCAAGTATAAGGAAAGTTATGTTGTTTGTTGGCATACTAGAAATTCGATTGTTTTCAAAATAAGGAGCTATGATTAAAAACATGCAAAATTTTACTCTTGAGTGAAAATTTCAATTTTTTAGAAAAAAATTAAAAATATGATCTTTTCTTTCAGAGATTTAAAAAAAAATGACATTTCTCTTTTACTTTAAATTGCAAGAAACCCAGGTTTAAGAAACTAAATTATGATCTGGAGAATTTTTGTAAAAAATGCCTCCAACCTTTAAATGCATTGTCTAGGATATCCTGCCCAAGTGCACTGTAAACAGTCTCCTGGCTCGCAAACTGCTCAGAGTTTGGGTCTGTAGAGTCGAAACAAAAGTCGAAACTAAAATTCCGTTTTTTCCTGAGAAATATTAGACTTTGTGGTTTAATTAATATATATGAAAATAAACTATCTACAACATCTAGTGTAATAATTGCAATTAAAATAATCAAGTAAACCACATTTATTCATTAATAAACATATTCAATTTTTTTAAGTTTAGAAAAAAATTTGCACTTTACAAATTATGAATTCAAATCCATCATTTTATGAGATTCATGAGCTTATACCTTTCTCCCTTTCCAAGTTTAAGAAGAGATGCCTGGTTTCCATTTATTTCTACTACACTCCTAAAAATACAGGCTGATTCATTGTTAAAGAAATGATTCTCTAAGCTTAGTGATGGGTCATAAGTTGGTTTTAAAAAACTTCAAACATTTCAACCCTGTATTCTGTTAAAGTTTGCTTTTATCCTCACTATCTAAACTTGAACCAGGGTTGAACTAAAGATGCCAGAGCAGTGTCCTTCTAAGCTTTTTTAACCTTCTTCTGTAGCTATCCTTACCTTCTCTGGAGCTATCCTTACCTAATCCTGGAGCTATCCTTAACTACTCCTGTACCTATCCTTCCTACTCCTAAAGCCATCCTTACCTACTCCTGGAGCTATCCTTAACTACTCCTGTAGCTATCCTTACCTTCTCCTGGAGCTATCCTTACCTACTCCTGAAGCTATCCTTACCTACTCCTGAAGCTATCCTTTCCTTCCATTGAAGCTATCCTTTCCTACTCCTGGAGCTATCCTTACCTACTCCTGAAGCTATCCTTACCTACTATCGGAGCTATCCTTACCTACACATTGAGCTATCTTCACCCACTCCAGGAGCTATACTAACCTAATCCTGGAGCTATCCTTACCTACTCCTGGAGCTATCCTTACCAAATCCTGTAGCTATCCTTACCTACTCCTAGAGCTATCCTTACCTACTCCTGGAGCTATCCTTACCTACTCCTGGAGCTATCCTTACCTACTTCTGGAGCTATCCTTACCTACTCCTGGAGGTATCCTTAACTACTCCTGGAGCTATCCTTACCTACTCCTGGCGCTATCCTTACCTACTCTCGGAGCTATCCTTTCCTACTCCTGTAGCTATACTAACCTAATCCTGGAGCTACACTAACCTAATCCTGGAGCTATCCTTACCTACTCCTGAAGCTATCCTTTCCTACTCCTGGAGATATCCTTAACTACTCCTGGAGCTATCCTTCCTAATCCTGGAGCTATCCTTACCTACTCTCGGTGCTGTCCTTACCTACTCCTGGAGCTATCCTTACCTACTCCTGGAGCTATCCTTCTCTCTTGTATTGATGGGACGAACACGAACAGCGACTTTCACATTTTCTGAACTTGTGCCTTGAAGTAGCAAAGAATGAAAAAAAAAGTATTTTATTCATTTTATAAACCTGGTTCTATTTAGATTATCTAATAAAGCAATAATCAAAAAAGCATTTTTCAAAGAACTATTGGTAAGAGGTAAGAGATTTTTCTTCATTAAAGAAAATGTCGTTATTCTAAAGTTTAAATATATTTATTTGATTTTATTATAATGTTGTGGTTGAATAATGGTTTTATTTCAAAAACAATATTTCATAAAGCTTTAAAACACAAAAATTCAGATTTTCTAGATTTAATCAAGTTTTCAACAACAAAAGGGTTTCTTACAAATACAATTTCTGTTAAAATCTAGCATTTTTTACTTTTATGTATTTTTTAGAATTTTCAAGTTATCTGTGAATAAGATTCAAAAATATCCAATTTTGTCAAAAATATTATTATTTTTATTTACGAATTTTTACAACTGTTTTTGACTTGTCTCATTTTATTACATTTCTTTAAATTGTTTTTAAAATCTAACCGGTTTGATTTTCATGTCTTCATTTTTTACCAGTTTTTATTTGACAGTTTAAAAAAAAAACAAATTATCATTCTGTGATGATATAACTATTTTATTTAAAGGGACAGGCGGTGTAATTTCAAGTAATCATTCATTTTAAAAAAAGGGGGAGCATACCCAATTCACAACGGTACCCTTTAAATCTTTATTTCAGCTGCAATTATGTTTACGATATTGTCGGTTTTCTAGCTTAACAAGTTTTCAATTACGACTGTTTCCATCTGCACAAATAGAGAAACCACCACAAGTGAAAATGTTTTATTTTCAATGTTAAAAACATTGATATCTCATTCATTCTTGATCAAAGGTTAATAGGGTACCATTGTCAATCGGACACATCACTCGACTTATGAAGGATCACTTTCAAATACGTCTATCTTAAAATGACCTGACTGAAATTTTTTATTTTTCATTTTTCGACGTTATTTTTTTTTTACCTGGGTCCATTCTTTTTGTTGTCTCTAACTCTCCATTTTGATGAAATAAGTTGAAATAACGAAATTAAATGTTTTAGTTTACATCGAGTTGAAAACTAACCTTATCTGCAATACTGGAAAAGATAAGGAATAAACTTTAATAGGAAATTTTTAAATCGCTCTTAAGTTTATGTGTATATTGTTTAATTTTTATGTAAATAAATGCGTGTATTGATAAAAATATAACCAAAGCAATTGCTTTTAGTCTTCAACCTTATTTTCAATTATATTATACAAAATAGAAAACTTTTCTTACATTGAATATGTCCTACATTGATTACTTAAAAAACATCCTACATTGATTCCTAAAAATATATCCTAAATTGATTCCTAAAAATACATCCTTCATTGATTCCTCAAAATACGTCCTACATTGATTCCTAAAAATACATCCATTGATTCTTAAAAATACATCCTTCATTGATTCCTCAAAATACATCCTTCATTGATTCCTTAAAATACATCCTTCATTGATTCCTCAAAATACATCCTAATACATTGATTCCTCAAAATATATCCTTCATTGATTCCTTAAAATACATCCTTTATTGATTACGCAAAATACATCCTTCATTGATTCCTTAAAATACATCGTAAATTGATTCCTCAAATTACATCCTTCAATTATTCCTAAAAATACATCTTTTATTGCTTCCTTAAAATATATCCTACATTGATTCTTCAAAATACATTCTACATTGATTCCTTAAAATAAATCCTTTAATTATTCCTCAAAATACATCCTACATAGATTCCTTAAAATACATCCTCCAATTATTCCTCAAAATACGGCCTTTATTGATTCCTCAAAATACATCCTTCATTTATTCCTCAAAATAAATCCTTTATTTATAATTCAAAACACTCAACAAACACATCATGTAGGATATCTCAACATAAATCTAAAATTTACATATTAAATTGATCCCTCTCAAAACCTAACATCATCGCTCAAAACACATCCTCAAAACACAAAAAAAATTCTCTCAATAGCTCTTCAATAATGGGAGTTATGATTGAAAACATAACTTGCAATATAAGATATTTCATATACGTATTTCTTAAAAGATAAGCTGGCATGGAAGATTCAAGGATTTGACAAAAGTTAAATACATACAGAATGACTTGTGTACGAAAAAAAATCTTAAAAATATATCAGATCTTGATTTTTTTCTTGTTTTTTACCTGCGTACATAAGTTCTGGAAGATTCATAATTTTGCTCATAATTGGTTGGACGAATTCTTTCTTTAAAAAACTGGAAAAGGTTTTTTGTTAAATATTTAATTTTTACGTAAAATAACTACACAAAGTTAAAAATATCTCTTTAAATGTTTTTTACAGAATTTATTTTATTAAAGATAAGAAATATCTGTATATAAAGAGATTTGTAAAACCTTTGTTTATTATTGACTGTGTCTCTTCATCGAAGAATATTATTTATTATTAATATGCAGATTCAAAGTGTAGTTATCCTGGTGTTTCTAGCATGTTCTGTCAGGTGACCATCATGTATAGATATAAATATGTATTTGCATTGTATGCTTGTTTGTTTGTCTTCGCTCATATATATTTCATACGTATATATTCATACTAATGATTGCATAAACCATAAGCCATGTGTGTTTATGAATAAAATGTTTTAAAATTGTTGCTTTTTCACTGATTTCTTTGTTTGTATATATTTAGCTACAGACATAGCCAAACGGCTGAACCAAATTGGCTGAATTTTGTTGAGGAAACCCATGGAGGAAGGGGGGGGGGATAACAAAGGCTATAAAAATGCATTTTTTTTCAAAAGTCTAAATTTGTTTGTTTTCAAAAAAATTTTTTGTATAATTCCACGGGCAACGCCGGGCTCTTCAGCTAATATCCAATTAACGTGCCGAGAATTTAAGATTTAGAAACTTTACGTTACAAACTGGAAAATCTGCAAATTTCAATAGTATTTCTTTCAAAATGCACCATTATTAGAAAAAGAGACGCAAAGCGTTGATCCTGAGAACAGATTTAAGAAAAGTAGGTGAACCACTTGACGTGTAGTTGAACCACAAGTGCACAGGTTCAAGCTACTTCTTCATACTCATTAAAGGAATTGGTCTTTGTCACCAACTCTAACTTTCTATCCCTATATCTTAGTACCTCGATGTCGTAGACCTTAGATATTTTGAACAATTAATAATAAATAAAAACTAATTTTACCCTTAGATCGAAGTATTTAAAGAGTTTGGGTTCGTCATTTAAGTCTGCCTTTGTGGGTATTCCTGTAAACAATTCATAGGGCTGATGTGCCGTGTGACGCCTGTATGGACTTCCTGGTAGAACTAGGAGATAGTGCTGTAACAGAAATCAGTCTTCAGAGTCAGTTGGAGATACTTGTCGGTCAACTCTGCCCTGATGCGGGGGATCCAGAAGGATGTGAGAAAGGGTTTATTAACTGGTGGTCTCAAATAGGTCAGTAGTCATGCAGGTGCAGGAAGTCCCCTATCCCCCCCCCCCCGTTAAGCTGCCTTTGCTAGGGGGATTGCAGTCGTCACGCTTAGGGGCGTATAAATTGGGAGGCCTGTGTGCATTGCCCATTATTGCCCTCGCCCCTCTCCTAGAAATTAGAAGGATGTGAAAAAGTGTTGGATAAATGGTGGTCTCAAGTACTTCCCATGAGGGGTTTGGTTTATGGCCCCTACTAGCCCTAGAACTTACCATTTTCATTTATAAAACCATAAATGCAAATGTAATTTCTGTATATTGAATCCTACTTTCATACAATTCCTTTATTCTCTACGTTTAGCAATAGAATTTGTGATGCTTGTAAAGTGTACAATACAACCATGCGAACATTCTAATATTGCTTCAGTATTTTCATAACAATCTATTCGAGTTGACATTTGCTGATAACACATTATTATAAGGATATCTTGATGTTCGCTTCTGATAGGTTATTGTTTAATTGTTTACACATTGAGGATACATTGATTTTTTACAAAACAATTAATCAAGATTCACTGCTTGCAGTGAATAGGACTTCAAAACATTTTCTAAGATATGACTCGCTGTTTATTTTGATGTGATTGATGTTCATTATCTTTATCTTGTAATTACTTTATTACTTTTATTAAGTCAATAAAAAAAAACATATGACAAATTTTAGAAACATTGCCAAAAATGCCAAATAAAAGTAAAAATCCACTCAAAATTGTTAAAAGTTTGCACAAACTTTTTTTTCTGATGAAATCGTATATTTTTCACTTGACATCATTGTTCTGTGTTAAAAAGTGCTTCTAGTAGGTGCAATACCCACAAATGAGGGAGGAGGGGGGGGGGGGTATTCGTGCATATAACATTTTTCTCTGAAATACCGTTCTACTTTTAACCTACAAAATTAGGCATAATATTCGAAAATGTGCTCGGTTCCATTTTCGCAGATATTAATTGCGTTTTCACCCACGACTACTACACCCTTTTAGTCTACTACAATGTGTGACTAGTATATACAATGTCCAATTTAAAATTCCGTTTTAGCCTTCAAAGTGTACTCGAAATAAAGTCGGTCCACTTTCAAAAGATTTTCAAAAAAATGTGCAATTTATTCTATTCTGTTGTATAAAACGTAAAAATAAAATTATAATTTGAATTTTTAAATTTTTTTTTGAAAAGTAGACCAAGTAATTTTCGAATATTAGGTCCGCTTTTAAAGGTTAAAACAGAATTTAAGAGAAAAATGTTTCATCGACGACCCCCCCCCCATTTGTGTATAATGTACCTAGAACAAGAACATTTGAACGATACACTTTTTTAGGCACCCTGTATAATTTTTTTTTAACTTAAATATTGCTTTCTGAACTAAAAGCTATGATATCTCCATCTCTTTTGCATAATTGCTCAGACAAAGGTTTTTAAGATATCGTCGTAAATCGGGCACAATTAATTCGTCAAATTATGGAAAACTTAAATTTATATCTTGAGTCTCTTTATCTAGGGCTGGCAATGTACCCTGTTCTACTGGAGCCAGGACAAGTATGTCGAGATCTAGGGGTGTGCACTGGTATTAAAATTCAACAAGGGAATCAGATTTTAACTCTCATTAATTTCGAAGCTTTAAGGATTTATTCTTAAAAAGGATACATAACTTTTCTTGTTTTTTAATACTTTATTCTCTGATAAAACAGCATTTTTTTTCCTTCTTGAACCTGGAAAATATTTAGTTCAAGTTTTCTTTTCAGAAATTTAAAATAAAAGAATATAAAAATTTTGTTGCTTTTCAATAATGGGTTTTCAAGCAAAGGAACAGAGTTCTTGCTATTCACAAACTTTTATTTCCTTATCGCTATACATGATATTTTAAACTATGAACTCTGTTTTAACAGAATAGTCTATGTAAGAAAATTCAAAGATTTCCAACATCAGGATACAAGGATATAGGAAATGGAAAAGTCCTGCTCAGAGAATATTCTTTGAAACCTTACTGGACCTAGACAATGATGATCATCAAGCTTTCTTTTAAGAAAATATAAGAAATTATCTCTAAAATATTTAATTTTATTTCTCAACAGAGGAAAACTCTTGATTAATTGATTAGAGCCAACTTGCGAGGATTGCCTGGCTGGAGTAAAAGCAGTGGCGGATCTAATCTCAACAGAGGTTTACATCAACAACATTGTGGACTATCTTTCGGTAAAAATATCGTTAAGTTTGTCAAAGTCAAATTAGTTTAAAATATTTATTTTAATATGATTTACAATTTATATATCTGCAGGGACCTGATTTCTGCGGAGAAACTGAGAATGTGAATACTTGTGTCACTGCTATAGAAGGAACAATCCCATACGCTATACCTGTTCTTGCAGAATTTCTTGCCGCTGACGCTTCTAATGTTTGCAATGCTCTTACTGGGCTTTGCTAGTTTAGTGAGTGTTCAGTTGGAACTGATTGAGATAGTTTTAGAGACTGCAGTTTGATTGTATTCTTCAAAAAGTTTAGAATAGATATGTCTTTGTTTATAATAGTTACATTTTTTTTCTTAGTTTCCGCTTTCTGGATTTGATTGTCTATTCTTGTCTTCATTTCTTTTTGGATTTTTTGAAAGTTCTTTGAACTTTGAAGATGGGTCTGGATAAGATCTGGTTCAGTCTCTGGTTTGTTTAGAACAACGCTTTTTTCATCCTGTGACAAAATATAAAAGTTTACATTGGTTTGAATATTTAAACGTTTTCAAGTAAGACGGCAAGTACTATCTATATGTATAAAGTAGTAACCTCTGTTTGCATGCCCTAGGATAACTCATCAACCCCTGAACCGATTTGCCTCAAATTTTGAATGGGGAAACTCAGTAGAACCACGGAAATGTTCTTATCTAGGATTTAAAATTCTAAGTTGGTTGGGTTGGATTTTATTGAGAAAACTCCAGGCAAAGCTGTGTTCCCAAGTTATATTATTGAATGAATCTACTCAAATAGTATTTTATTCATGACAAAAAGCATTTCTCTATTTAAACAGTACAAGCTCGCACAAACTTGAACTTTATCCATTTTTAATGAATCATTTTTTTCAAACTGAAAAATTTAAATAAAATAAAACTCGCAAATTTTTTATATTTTCCTGCGCCAACACTTTAAATGTTTCTGCTGCTCCCATTCTAACCTGAATCAAGTAAGAAGTGCTATTAAAAGAAAAGTTAAGTCTTTGCCACAAACTCTAATCCATGAATCTTTGCAACTTGAGTGTGTAAACCTTTGATACTTCAAACTTCATGTTTGAAATTTTCAAGGTCTAATTGACATTGGGCTGAATAAATCAGAGTTAGTGACAAAGACTCATTCCTTTGTAATTATTAAAAAGAATAAGTGGTTCTTAAAACCTTTGAATTAATAAATCCCATTATCGTGGTTCTCGGATTTGCAAAAATATGTTCCGCAAAATATCAAATAACATATTATAAAATCGTTGTTCTTTGAACCACAAATTTGAACTATTTCGGTATGAAAACTTGCGCAAAAGTAAATAATTTTTAAAACTGCTGAAATTAAAGAAATTGGTAAATTTTCAGAAAAATACAATCGGATCCGCACAAAAGAAATAAAATCGGATCCGCACAAAATAAATACGCGGATCCGCACAAAATAAATACAATCGGATCCGCACAAAATAAATACGCGGATACGCACAAAATAAATACAATCGGATCCATACAAAATAAATACAGCTGGATCCGCACAAAATAAATACAATCGGAACCGCACAAAATAAATACAATCGGATCCGCAAAAAATAGATACAATCGGATCCGCACAAAATAAATACAATAGGATCCGCACAAAATCATCTTTTATTTTTATTCTTTTTCCCTCCACAAATGTCTTTACCTTGACATCGCTTGCTTCTGTTTTGTCAGGTGAACTGAAATATTCTTTTATTATAAACAGTTTGTTTATCTAGATATATTTTAAGTCTCTTTTTAAATTTTTTTCTTTCTAAATTTTGAGTTTTTATTAAAATCTGAACCTGGTTGGAGATGAAAATGTGGCCGAGTTTACCGTACTTTCTTGATTTATGATTGGTCTGGATATTTTGGATATATTTTTCTTTGTTGACATGGGATTCTGTAAAAAAATGAATCTATATAGTATATGTATAGTATGTACTTTGTTTGGGTGGGTGTTTGTTTGTTTGTTTGTATCCAATCAACGTCAAAAAGTCCCTAAACCGATCGAAACAAAAAATTTCTGGCAACTCACATGACCCCAAGGAAGGTCAAAAAACAATTTTGCCTCCAAAAAAGGCAGAAATCATTTTATTTGATAATACGCCAAATAAAAAAGAAGAATCTGCCAAAAATTGAAAATAATTAAAAATGGCCACTTTCAAAGCAATGAATATCAAAAATTGTTAAAAGGAAAGAGGGCGCGAAGCTCCCTAAAAGGCAAAGCCTAGTATATAATATATACAGATCATGAATAATTTTGAAGGGAGAGTTTAGAGCATAAATAAAAGTTCTTATGAGGAAAGAGTCAAACAAAACAAGCAATGTTGTTTGTAGAAAAAATATTAACATCATATTCACCAATTCTAAAAAATAAAATTAAACAATATGAAGGAGAAAAACTACTCTATTTAATAAAAAACATTTTCTGAGTGAGAGTTAAAAACCATTTTAAGAACTAAAGTGTTTACCTTTTCACTAGAGAGATTTTTGATTTTCCACTCCGGATATTTCTGGTTTTTATATTCGCACAAAAATTGCATCTAGAAATATTACATTGATAATTGATGTTGATACTTTACAGGTGTATAGTTTAAAAAGTAAGTATAATTAACACAAAATGCTCCCACGCCGCCCTTTTAATGAAATGTCATAGCTGAGCATGTCATTGCAAAATGCTTAGTCTATATAATACTGTTAAAATTAATTCGAAATATAAGGAAGACGATTTTTCCGACTCAAATACCGTAGACCTTTCTCTAGATGTGGTTTGCCTTCCTCCCCTCGTCAAGGTTCATAGTTTAAAAAGTAAGTATGATTAACACAAAATGCTCCCACGCCGCCCTTTTAATAAAATTTATATCCCCCACAAATGTGTCATACCTGAGCATGTAATTGCAAAATGTTTATTCTATATAATACAGCTCTTCGCTCATATATATATATTTACATGTTAGCTTTAGCTGGCCAAACAGCTGGACCGAGTGGGCTGACATTTTTTGAGGGAACCCTTGAGTACCCCGGGGGTAACATAGGCATGTTAGCTAGTTTCTAATAAAAATAATTTGCTTCTAATAAAAATAATTTGCTATGAACGTGTGTAGGTACTGAAGGAGGCGATACCTGAAAGCCACAATGAAAATCTGCCCACTGATACCCGTGTTGTCCTCCTACTATATACATACAGTGCTGATCTAATCCAGTAGGCTGACCCATTCCCCAGTTGACCCATTCAACCAGCTCACCTAATAATATTGAGCAACAAATAAGTTTATGAATCCGGAAATACATGAGGACAAAAATATGTATCTTAGTTTCGAATGAACCTCCATACAATGCCCGATTCACAACGCTGCTAAGGGCAGCGTTGTGAAACTTTTTCTGATCAAGTGTAAAATTTTATATCAATGTTAATAATTTTGAAATTTATTATTTTCAAAAGCTTCTTTACAAAACTAAATTGTGCATTTATAATGCAGGAAAAAATATAGGAATTATCAGAAATAAACACTTTTAAACCTAGAATAACGACAATATCTTCCATATTACTGATCAGATAACGGTTTCAAGGGCATTGTCATCTTTGTATGACCACTTGAAATTGCCCTTACAGTTCCTTAAGTCTGTAACAGATATAGGCGTTTCTTTGAAATATCCAAGGTTTACACTACCAGAGTCCGAATTTAATGAATTTGAGCCGCGTCTCAAATCTGTCAAAACCGGGTTCAATTGAGCACCGGCTAAAATCTTGAAACATTAAATACAATTTAAGTGGAATTAACCAACCATATTTGAGCCGCGGCTCAAATTCTTGAAATTCGGCCTCAGGTTACAAAGCTATAGCTGCATAGCAGTTTGCAAATTAGAATTTAAGGTTAGGGTTTAGGTAATTTCGCAGATTTTTCCATTGCTAGAGCCACGTCAGGTCTCAAACATAGTGATAGTCAATAGTCTGATTTGTTTTTCTAACCGTTTTAAGGGTTTTGGAAAAAATATGAGAAACTGTATTATGTAGAAGTTGCTTCTTGAATCTATGCAAATATTTTACCCCAAGAGATAAAGGAAAAAACTATCGTTCCTTGTATTTAAACAAACAAATTGACAAGGCCAACATATAATTTATAAAAATATGCATATATATATAAATGTCATAGATTGAGATAAGTAGTAGCTGACAGTGATTTAATGATTGAAATAAATCCACATGAAAGAGACATCCTGCCAGTTTTTTGTAATTAAATCATAATCTATTGAGGAGAAATTAGAAAATAAGTTTACGCTTCAGTTTACATGATATATTTAAACATTCCTTGATGCGTGTACATTACAATTCCAATCAATCTTGATCAATGACACAAACAATACTACTAACCTGTATCAGCACTATAACATTTCTTTTGTCCATGTTCACCAAATAGTATCAATTTTTTTATTCTTTATTCATCTTAATTCTTAAGTTGTTCAGTTTTTTTGTTCATTCAACTAAATTGTTTGAAATACTATCGAATCATTTTTTTCCAATCTTATCTTGGGTTATTTTGTTTTTAAAACTAAAAAACAGCTTAAATCAGAACTTCTAAACTTTTGCCTATTTTTTTATGCATAGGGTAGTTAAACGGGGGGTCAAAATTGGTTAATGTTGATATTTGTCAAAAGTAAAAATAATTATTTTTGAACACCCTACTCATTAAAGCTAGAGGTATACGTTTTTTTTAATGACCAGGCTTTAAAAGTTGGACTAGGGACATGTATCACACTCCCCTATCTCAACACTATGGACAAAATCCCAATCTATATTAGACAAAAATAGCCCAATCGGGATGGGGTTAAGAATCCATCTTCTTCCTAATCATGATCTAGCGCAGGGCACAAAAAAAGATTGCCGAAAAAAATAAAATTTGCGAGAAAAAATTGTCTCGTTTTTCGGGAAAGATATTTAATTTTGTTAAAATCATATTCCTTCAACTTGCGAGGGGGGGATGTCTTGATAATGTAAACCTTTGTTTTCAATCCGTCATTTACTGGTTAATCTGTAGTCTGATCTACCTGTTGGGAACCACGCCCACTGTCCAGTATGTCCATTCTCAGATCCGCCCAACCACACCCCTGTATTCTTATCTCCTGAATACAGTTAATTCTGCATCACTGCTTCAAAGGAAATAAAATTTTACACAAGAATATGCAGTTTTGTCATCAAAGTTTTCCAGTTTAATAAGTTAATACAGGGCTACCCTCAAAGGATGAGACTGTAAAGACGACTGAAAACTCTTTTTTATTCTAAGTTTAAATTAAAATTTTTTTCCTTACGGACAGATTTTTAGGGCATTTTTAATAATTGGGCAAAGATAGAAAGAAGTTGTTAAAAGAATCGTAATTAGTCGAAACTAATCGATCATTTAATCGTAAGCTATCATTAACAATTATGAGCAATCGTTACACTTGTTAACTTAATCGTTACAGTCATGAAAAATCGTATGCAATCGCTACAAATTACATTCGTAAACAATTAATTAAAATTGTACACGATCTTTAACAATCATGTATAAGGCGAAACAATCGCTTTAACAGTCGTAAACAATCATAAACAAACAATCGTAGCCAGTCCCTTTAATAATTAGGTCAAATCCTATGTAACCAACCCAATCTGACCATCTGACGCATGAAAGGACAAACCCCCTCTCCTCTCCCCGTCAATAAAACTCAAAGTGAAGTCCCCCATCTGCTCAGATAAAATAAAAAAATAAGATAAAATCTGATCTTCAAAATATATCTGTATACTGTACAGTGTGCTAAATATACATAATTATATGTAGTACTTAACATTTATTTCTTGTATCCTGAAGTTGTAAACCTTAAATATTACAAATTATGAATTCTGCTGGGAAATAGACAACGTTCGAAATATGAAAGGTATCACACCATTAGGTTGTAAATATTTAGCTTTTATAAAAATAGAGTTAATAAAAAGTTGTTTTAATAAAAGAGTTTTAAATATCTAAATATGTTTTTCATGTTTGTTCGCTGCAATAAAAATTAATGCAGTTGAACCGATCAGTGACTGCATGAGCTTAAGACCCTGGCGTGTTCAATGGTTGTATGGATTAAAAATTGTTCCGTCAAGACATGAATGGAGATGAATCAAGACTTACCATGTTCAAGGAGAAATTCTTCAATTTTATCATTCTCAATTTTGGTCTCAACAGTAGCTGGAGGGGACACCTAGGTTTAGCTGAATAGTTCTTAAAGGGACTGTAGGCGTAGTTTCAAGCGACTACCCGATTCACAACGGTACCCCTTAAACTTTTCTCTGACCAAGAGGATAATGAACTCATCCTAGGTTTTCTTTAAAAAATTATTTAAATTTTTGGATTCTCTATCTTAGTGACTGTAGCTTTATATAACAGAGACAATGAATTAAATACTTTTAAATAAAGGAAAACGACGATATCTTCCGAACCGCTGCTCCGAGAAATATCAAATATATAGAGGGCCACTTGAAATTACATGTTCAGTCCCTTGAACATCAAAACAAAAAAGAAAGTTTTTATTGTACTGCACGCTCTTCGTTTGTTTTATGCTTTTAGGTAGATGAAAGAATTTGACTAAATTATAAGGGTGCAAAGTGGTGTATGCATAAGCTACATAATGCAAAATGCAGAGAAGACAATAATATCATCAGATAAGATAACACTTCTTGAGAACCAAGACTTACTCACACCAATCTCAACATAGCTGAGTAGAATTATTTCTATCCAGAATTACTAGTACAACCTTGCAACATTATTACTCAGAGTTGAGAAAATTTTGGTTGGAAGTGTACAAAGATGACTTTTTTTTCGTTTCACTAGCTCTTTAGGAAAAGGAGTTGCGCTTGAAAACAGACAATATATTTTAAACTAAAATGAAATGAACTTTAGTTTCCAGTGCACTTACACTCATATCTAGGATATGATCTCAAACAGGTAACAATACAGGAAACAGGACACGGAACATGGGAAAGTAATAAAAAAGATGAAAATTACTTTTTAAAAGACAACATTAAAAATTAAATCGTTTTTTAATTAAAATTGTAGAATAAAATAATGTGAATAAACCGGAAAAGACTAGGTTAAGAAAGATAGATATAGTCACTATGGTTTCTGTTTTGTAAGGGGAGGGGGGAGGCGGGGGGGGGGGTCCAGGCGGTTAATTTCAGGATTATACCAAAAATTTTCTAAACCCTTGGGTTTCCTAAAGATGATCCGAACCCGAAGTTGTGACAGAATTCAGCAGCTCGGAACCAGTTCAACTGAAATATTAATATACAATGTTTGCGGAAATATTATTGTTGTGTTCGACAAATTGAAAATTACAAAAGTCGATCTATCTAAACCTCTGATATTTCTAAATTAGATTTCTGTTTGTCAATTCTCTGTCACGACGACTTGAATGTTCTATTACTTAATTTATCAAAATTTTTAAGATCTTTAACAATAATACAGTTCAAAGTTTTATATTATTATATTTTATTTCATATATTTCTAAAACCGGTTTTATATATTTATAAAACCGGTTTTATATATTTCTAAAACCGGTTTTACCTTAAAATATCCGAAGAAATAGCAACGGCCAGCTATTTGTTGAAAAGCAAGAGGACACGCATCAGCCTGAGTTTTAAACTGTGAGGCCTTAGCAAATCTTGCTTCAACACCTTGACAATTAGTTTCATTAACGTATTGAATTACTTGAATATTATCATCATAAACGTATTGTTTTTCTGAATTGAGATTAAATTATGCAAGTTATGACTCTAGAAAAATGAATCTTAATATTTTTAATTCTACTGCTTGAACCAATTACAATTATTTCTGCTAAAAAAGTACGTAACCAGGAACCACTCTGTAATTCTTTATCAGTTCAAATGTCACTGTTAATATTCGGATATATATACCACTCCACAAATGAAATAACGTTTTTTGTCCCTTTAAGAATATATTTCTACCAAGATTAAGTTAATGGTCCTAAACACTGATGAGTTGGTCACAAAATGTTTGTTAAAGAAAATATGTGGTTTTCACCTGCGCGCATAAATTTCTAACAGGGCACGCACAACTATAAAGATTTAAGTTTGTCCCGGTTTTGTCGAAATGAATTCAGTCAAGTAGAAATTTTAATGAAAAAGCATCCAAGAACGCATGTATTTGGCATCACATAATCTAATATTCTAAACGTATCGCAAATCGAAAAATGTTATTATAGAAAAGTTTTAAAAAAGTGTGAAAGTGGACTTCTTGACTATCAAACCAGGACATTAAAATTACCGTGGGGAAGTCTCAAAGTATGGGATTTAAGTAACGAAAAAACATTTCCTGTAATATACGCACCATTGTTTAGGTACAGGGTGTCCCAAAAAACATGGGAATTCAGTGACGAATTGTATATCGTCTTTGTTATGAATTAGCATTCTAATACCTAATTTCAAAAGCAATAATAGTATTATGTCTGCTAGAGTTTATTTTATGAAAACGGTAAAAGACTGTAAAGATGTGTCTATAATATCTCCGCACGATGAACAGTGAAGACGGACAAGTTTACTCTGTTTGTATACTGCAATTTTCTTGTTTTACTAAGTACAACCGTATGCAGTCAAAACATAAACAAACAAATTGTATACATAGCAGACGAAACTCTTACAGATTACAGCTTTCTCATTAGGTATCACTATACTAAATCAAAGAATTATTTAAAAAGACGATATCGAATTCGTCACTGAATTCCCATGTTTTTTGGGACACCCTGTACAGTACACATTGTATATATACTACGATCCTATTTCTTAACATTAATAAATATCCATGTTTTTAAACTCTTTTTTTTCAACATCTGCTATTTTGCATTTAAAAAGGTAAGATATCTAGGAAAGAAACTGAGTTTTTGCCACAATATCTAATTTTCTAATCCCTATATCTTTGCAACTAAATGTCGTCGACCTTAGATATTACATACTATTAATTCTATAAGATATACTAATCTAAGTTTGAAATATCAAAAGTTTATACCACCAGGCTTCAAAGATATAGACATTAGAATATTTGAGTGTGTGGCAAAGACTCTATTCCTTTATTCCTTTAGTTTAATATCATATTTATAAACTTGCTAATTTTTATAAGTTTTCAAAAAGACAGCTATCATCGTATGAGAGAACTATGATAATTGGTGATATACAATAATTGCTAGTAAAAATATAAACACTTGGTACCACACCTCACAATAATAACAATTATTTGACAAAACCCATTTCTGAAAAGTAAGTCTTTGCCGGGCCACATACTCTGATTTTCTAATCCCTATATCTTAGAAACCCAATGTCGGAGTCCTTTTCAAACTATGGATTCTGTTAAATAATGTAATCTAAGTTTGAATTATTAAAGGTGTACACAATCAGGTTGCAAAGATATATTAAGGATAAAACATTTAAGTTGGTTACGAGAACTCAATTGTTTTACTTATATTTACTACTGCCATCCTCACAAAAATTACAATATTTTGAATAAAATCATTCCTGATTTATAAACGAAATGAGTTTTTGCCTCAAACTCTGATAACCAAATCCCTATATCTTTCCAATCCAATGTCGAAGAACTTAGATATCAAACTATGAATTCTGTTAAATCTTAGTTTGAAATATCAAAGAACTTTTCAGGTTGCAAAGATATACAAATTAGAAAAGTTGAGTTTGTGACAAAGACAACTACGTTACCTAAACTATACTGAAGGATTAGGAAAACCAAATAAATTCTGAACATCACAAAGCACTTTAATTCTCAGCATCACTTCACAATGTCTAAAATTGCGACTTTAGAAGAAATTTTTAAAAGCTCGGATATTGAAATGTACACCGGTTGTGCGTTAATGTGAAGGTACAAATTACTCGCCACGTCAAGGTTATAATGCAAGGAAAGTTATTTCAGAGGTGTACGCATCTTTTGTACTGCAGTGTGCACTGTCTCTGGGCGGTAATGTAAACACAAGACGGATGTCACAGCCTGACATGGGATCCATCATTCACGTAAAAAATCATTAAAATATTCTGGTCATAGGAAACTATGAAGTGAATTATCAAAATTTTCAAAATTCAATGCTTTTATCCTCCTCGGATGCTAAACGAACACTGATGCATCTGTTTTTGCTTACAAATTCCGACCAGAGAGAACTGGTTTCAATATGTACGCAGAGTATACGCAACTGCAATTAACTTTCCATGCATTATAACCTTGCGCTACATTATCTATTTTTCTGATCCCAATATCTTTGTAAACTGATATTTCAAACTATAAATTCTAATTTACATCGACTAAATAAAAGAATTATCAACTAACACCTTGAGGTTGAAAAGAGTATAAAATTATAGTTTATAGCGAGTGTTTAATTCCTCAATAGATTCCATATTAATAGTTTTTAAAAAGCTTAGATGCATATCGATGAAAATTCGTCAAATCTTTTATTTCTATTAAGAAAATGTACAGTGAAGATGCGAAATCTTAAGAGTAATTTTGTTTACAAGCATCTCAACAGCTAATATCAGTTCAGTGTTAAGATTTTGCTTCCACCACTGCACTGCTTCAATATTAAAATACTATTTATTTTTCAAGGTGCGTACGGTTCGAATATGTTTGTATGACTGCACATATAGGAATCAAACAAGAGGATGTATGTATATGCGCGCCGGGCGCGCAGGAACAATTCATCGGATCTTTCCTACAGTGTGATGCCGGGGGTTAAAGAGATAAACCAAAATTGGAGAGGAATATGGCATCTAGTCTCTCCTTTCATAAAAAAGGGTAATTTACTTTCTGGTATTTATTTTCTGTATCGCTGATACTAAAAAATATATATATATAATAAAAAATCAACAAACAATATCAGAACAGGTTTTTTAAAGCAGTTTTATACTTTTTTTATATGGCCGAAACCATCTTAACTTTTTCTATTTAACTTGTATAACTTTCAATGAGGAAATTAAACACTTATTAATCTGTCTTTGTCCATCTATCAATCCTCATTGTCTATTTCATTTTAGTCCTCTTTTTATTGGATCAAAACAATTTTTGAACCAATAATAAACATGTTTAACCAAAACAGCCAACATTCTCAAAGCCTAAACATGGTTTTTGTCAACAAAGTAAATTGCGAAACAGACAGAGTCAAATTCCTAAATATATTTAACAATTTTAAAAATAATATTGGACATATTATATTTGGTCAGATAGTCTATTCTAGCCGTAGTGATCGGTCCTTTTACGTTTCTTATCCTCTCTCTTCTCTACCCCCTACATGGGCTAACGTTACTAAATAACCAATATTGAAGTTTCAATTCTTATAGGCCTTTAGAGCCACCCCTTTTCTATAGTAACAATTTATCCTTTAACTGTTAATTTTCAACATGTTTTTTTTCGGTTCTTCTTTATTTAAAAACTGTTTTGTTAGAGTGGAAAAGTTTGATGCAAACCTAAAAATAGGTATATTTTCGTAAATTTCAATATTCACGAAACCTCAACTGCACAAAAATGCATTTTTAAGTTGGAATTTAAAAATATTTGATGATCTTTCAAGAGAATTGGTATGTAAGAAATTTTATGCAAACATTTTGGTAAATACAATGTTTCAAAATTTCTATCATTTTGGATAAAGTGTGTGAATATTGAATGTGTATTTGTAGAAGATTATAGACAAATTACATCCATAAATGTTGATTAAGATGGATACATACGAAGGAATGATATTGGTGAGAATTTGTGTAGAACAACGCGCGTTGTAGAACAATATAGGTTTAATTGATACCAGCTGAAGTGCCCGGCGTTTAAAAAATATTAATTTCGATTTATGAAATATACAAAGTTTAGAATTGTTTTACCCATTATTACCCTCAGGGTATCCATGAGTTCCCTAAAAGAATGTGAGCCCATTAGGTCCAGCCGTTTGGGCAGCTTTACAGAACATGTATACGAATGACTTGTTTTATTTGTTTAATTATATAGAAGAATATGGATTTCAGAAATTTGTGATTATAGTTGTATGGATATGAAGGAACAATGTGCATGCAAAATTTTAGTCTTCTTAACATTTTGGTTTTAGAACTTGAATGTCTTAAAAATGCATAACTTTACATATAGGGAAACCCTATGAATTCCAAAAATTAGGAAATGTTAGGATTTTTTCAAACCTAAATCTACGTATAGGACAAATCTAAAAATTCCTGATTAATTGGATTTTTTGGGTTTTTACATATGAATTTTTAAGAAATCATTTAAACAACCAACTATTTCCTTGTTTAAAACAGAAAGAACTAACTTTAACGGAAATTTACAGCAAAACGTTGTTTCTAAGAAATTGAAGCTTTCGTTTAAAACAAAAAAACAATTCTATTTTCACGTTACTGTTGCATACACATGCATATCTACTCAAAATAAATACGGAATTATAGTTTCCCTATATTCACGATTCTCTGGTTAACTGTAAACTTGATTCCGTCTTTGCTAAATCTTATAATAAGCAATTATAAGACTAAATTCAATGTAGATTTAATTTGACCTTGGAATCGTCTTCGGTTGTCTTTACAGTCTCATCTTTTAGAGGGTAACTCTGTTTATACAATATATGTTGAATTTCGGCTATGTAGTATCCACTGTTACGACCAAGAGGAAAATGACCCGATTGTTTTCTGACCTACAGTATTTCTAGCCTAAAATTTAATTATATTTTGAATTAGGTTGGCTTAGGTTATGCTGGGTTGGTGGAGTTGGATTGTGGTGAGACATATGTTCTAATGGTGATCCAACTCATCAAACTCAAATCCGTAAAAATGCGTAAGAGTGAATACTTCTCGATATTTTCTTTAAAATGCTCGATAATTAAGTCAGTTTCTATAACATTTGTATTTTTCAAAGAATAGATGGTTCCTCGAAGTTTAATATATTGTTTCCTAAGGTGAATAGTAAAATATTTAACTGTTAAGAATGAAACCTTCAAATTTAGAATATTTCTATTCTATCACACAGAAATTCATTCTAAAAAGCACTCAGGCAGTTCCGGTTTTTTGTCATGGGGGGGGGGGGGTTGTATGAGAAGTTTTAGTTCGATAAAAAATGATTATTTTTAAAATTTGCCCGTTTTTGCTTTGTAAATCTATCAATTTCGAGATGTGTAAACAAAAATCGGTAATATATTTGAAAAATCACAGGAGAGAAATTCACATCTATGTATTTAAAATGAAAACTTTAAACAGGGTATAATTATATAAATCTTAATTCACAAAAAAAAATATAAAAAAAATACATAAAAAAGTAAAAACTAAAAAAAGTATGATAATAGTAAAATCAATACAATAAATAAAGCAAAACAAAATGATTGATTCTCTCATGTCAAGTGGGATTTTAGAGCTAAAAATATTTTTTAAATCGTAACTAAAAAAATTTATCAAATCACAGATTTTGTTACATATTGAGGACCTCGGCCACCTGTCTCATGGTATCCTCAGGATCAGTGACAGTATGTCCTACGATCCGGGGATCAGAGAATATCTCGAAATCGTTTCCTCCAGGGCTAGTTTTATCTCCGAAGAAATGAATCTTTTCATATCCGTCCTGCTCCACGAACTGTAAACAATACCGTTTATCCCAACCGGCCGGGAACACATCTATGGAAATCTGACCGCCAATAACGAACCTAAGACCGAGGTTTGAGAACTCCTGCACCAGAGCTTCTCGGAACTTATCTCTCACTCCGTGCTCCGCGTCATACAGAGCAAACTGATCCCGCTCCTCCTGGCTACAGCTCCGTCCTACCGGGCAGAGGTTGATGAGCCCGGATCTGAACTCGATGAAGGTTCCACGTTTAACAGGTAGCTCCAGCCCTGACATATACCGCAGAGAGAAGTTTATCAATTTCTGAATTTTCTCCTCACCAATATGCTTAGCTATATTCTGCTGGTGGATAAGAACCCCGTCCTTATGAGCCACTAGTCCATTCTCGGAGAAAACATAATCATACTTCTCCATCACATTCATTCCTTTCATCTGCTCCGCAATCTTTCCGATATCTGAACCTCCCACAATCCCAATTGTGGCAAGTTTCCGAGTTTTCTCCATGAACATCTCCATCTGGGCTGTCACCAGCTTCCTTGGGAGAGTCAGGGTTCCGTCCACATCGAAGAGAAGAAGAATCTTTGACCGAGCGGACATGTTTACTCTGAAAGATAAATTATAACTGAACACATGTTTACTTGAAACACCTGTTTTGACTTGAGAAGTTTACAGAACCTTTCACGTGACTTGCACAAATATAATATGCACTACAAATTGAAACAGACTTTGAATGGCGACTTTTTAAAATGAACTTTCGTCTTATATTTAAAGTAAAAATAGGTAGGTTTTAATCCTTGACAACCTGTAACACCCCTAAAAATCTAGTTAGTTCGGAATATTTGTAGATTTTGTATATTTTACTAGTTTAACTGTTACCAACGTTTAAAATTAAAAAGGAAATCATTTCACATAATTTTTATTTCCAACAACTATTTAAACATAAAATGTTATTAAATCCATATTAATATTAGCGTGAATTCAATACAATGAATGTACCTAATATTTACAATCACTGGTTACAGGGTAAAACTATTAAATAATTAAGCCTGAACCAGTAGGAAAATTACAGAGAAAGGAAATGTGTAAATTGAGAAAAAAAAAACATTGCGTCAATATTCTTAGTTCACCTGTGTTATTACTATAGATCATTTACCTTTTGTACTGACAAAAAAAATAACATACCTTAAAGCCCAAAAGTTTGTTCAACAGCAGAACGAGTTTAAGAATACTTTCAGACACAAATTCATTAAAACATTGGCTAATAACAGAAGATAATTCTTAGGATTCAAAATTAACACTTTTCCTTTCACTACAAATGTGTCGTAGAAATAAGATCTCTTCCGTTAATTGGAACTTCCATAAACTACCAACCGGCAGAACTATTGGACAAAAACTACCAACCGTTGTTAAAGGGAGAAGGAAGGTTCTAAATTAAAAACACATGTCAAATTATAAATAAGGGACTAATTAACACAATAAACTAGGAGACAAGATATAGGACACTAACCGACGATTTGTAAGGAAAATAGGATTAATAAACTAGAGACTATCATCACTTTCATTGAGGATCATTGATGTTCCAGGTTGGTCTACAGCTCCCCCTGAATAGTTCTCACCAAACACAGAATCCTCTCCTAATCAGTCATCAGTAAGGAGTAATTAATTGATTTGTCAATTGATCAATCAATTGATTTATATTAAAGAATTGATGATTCAGGATCATTGAGATAAATAAATTCAGAATCATCTAATTGGGGTTAGGAACCGTACTTTTCAATTCTAACGATCCAGTGACTTTTTCCAATCATTTAAATGAAATATTATTATTTTTAGTGTTCTGGATAATTATTGGTTGTTTCAAAGATGCTTTTACATTTTATCATTTTAATGAAAAATTAATGTTTTTTGAGTGAAGGTCAAAAATGTTGTTGCTTGACTCTTAAGCTTTTTTATAAACAAATGTCACAGTTTGTAATTGATTTAATTGATTTTATTGATTTTTACTACCTGTATGATCGATTGCATTTTGATTTCTTGAATCCATTTCGTCCTGACTATTTAATTCATCCTCAAGTTCACTGAAATTATTTTAACTATGTAATTTAAAATCCAAAGATTACAAAAATGCTCCGGAAAATTTTTACCTTTCTTGGCCTACCCTGTTATGGGCCGGGTCCAAGGCGTCCTTGATCTGTGAGTTTGCACCCTTTGGGTCCAGATCCATGGCCCATGAGAAGTGCATCAGAGCATGATGAGTGTTCCCTAACTTATTGTGAACCTAAACATATATTTATAAAACAAGTGGATCGATTTCACGATAATTGAGGTAAAAAAACTTTATACTACTCATCGATAAAATTAGATTTATCGATCAAAAACACACTTAAGATTAAAGAAGGTTAATAACGAATAAAAGTGTGTTTTAAACCAAGCCAATAAATAAAAAAAGATCTAAAATGAATTTAATTAATCTATCAAGTTATCATATCAGTATACAAATATCTTATTCAATGTATAAATAATTAAAGGTAATGAATGAAATCAACTCAATAATCAGTGTCATCCTTCAACAATCTCAAAAAACCACCTTGAACACTCATCTTACTAATGGTTCCGACAGGATCTGAGACCGCCATAGGCTTATCTCCCACCCCTGAATTTACACTGATCAATGAACTGGGTTCATTCATTGGGACTTAAACGGAAGGGAGCACAAGTCTGAAATCTTTTATTGAAGGATTGACAGTGATTATTATTATTATTGTTATTATTCACTCAATTTTATAAATTTAATTAATTCGTCAATAAATAAATTAATTTAAAAGAAAATCAACTAATCACCTTTCCAAGGAGGAAGTAAACAGGAGACTCCTTAGGAACAATATCTTTAAGATCATTGAGCTCCTGAAGCGCGTCAGCATATCTCTCACTACTGTGCAGGATTGAAGCGCGCTCGAACTTACAGAGCGCATTCTTTGGCGCCAGTTTGATGGCAGTGTTAAGCGTTTGAAGCGCCTTATCTGACTTCTGCAGCGCGTGCTGAACCACAGCCACGTGACACATTAGAACAGGAGAGTAGGGGTTTATACCCAGGGCTTTACGGTAATATATCTCCGCTAGTTGAAATCTCTCCTGTAACAAATTATAAAATAGCACAAGTTAACAAAAAATTGGTCCTGATATCGCGTATTTGATTTATACTTTTTTTAGACAATAAACTTTTAATTCTTGAGAGGGGGTGAGGGAGTATATTTTTAATGTTTTGGTTTCTAATGACTGAAGGCAGTCTGGAAACGAAAATAGAGGTTTTTCATAGAATATCTTTTCCAATTTTTTTCCGATTTCAATCAGTCAAAACACTGAAAATATACAGGGTGAGTAAAAAAGTGTGATTTGTGGCGCCTGGTGCAAAAATGTACCTTTTTTGTGCAACTCTTCTGTATGGTGTTCTTTGTTTCAATATTTTTAGAAAATTTATAATTTTTGTTTGGTACTCCAATGGTCCAAAAAAAGTGCTCGAACCTTTTTTTCTCTCAAAATCATGAGTTCAGAAAAGCAAAAGTGTGTATACAAATTTTTCTATCGAAATCTAAAATTTTATAAAGATTGAATAACAGAATCACAGAAAATTGGCAAAATTGTAATTAACTGTAATAAGAAAATTTGAAATTTTTAGTTATGGTCTAATTTTTCAGGAAAAGTTATTTGAAAACTCTAGTTCCTTACTTCTTAGTATATTCAAAAGATAAAAATATACGCTGTTCAGTTGAAACCTGAAAAACCATTGAAAAACAACTTTTCCTGAAAGATTAGAACAGGACTGAAAATTGCGAATTTTCTGTGATTCTGTGATTCAATCCGAATAAAATTTTAGATTTCGATAGAAATAATTTATATACACATTTTTGCTTTTCTGAACTTTTGATTTTGAGAGAAAAAAGGTTCGCAGATTTTTTGGGGGGCAATTAGAGTACCAGTTTTTTTTTATTTTCTAAAAATACTTAAAAATCTCTGTACAGGAGTTGCTCAAAAAAGGTAAAATTTTGCACCACGCGCCACTAATCACACTTTTTTTTGACTCACTCTGTATATTCAGAAATTATAACTTTTAAAATATTTTTTTTCGCCCTAAAAACTCAAACAGGAAAAAAATATTTTACTATTTTGACAAACATGCTTTGAACTATAAGTTTAAACTAACCTGTTTGTAGTATGTGAGCCCTATCCCGTACCAGGCGTTGTAATGTCTACTATCCAACCTAACTGCGGTCCTAAACGCTACTAACGCCTTATCTAATTCCTCGACAAACACGTACTCGTGACCCAGAAGTGTGTATGCGTATGCAAACCTGGGCTGCACCTGGACCGCCCGCTGGAAAAATCTAAAAAATTGTAAAATAATGTTATTATTAAGAACAATAATTTTTATATTAGTGCTGGGACATTTCATAGGTAACAACACCGTTTATCGGAAATTTCAATTCATTGCCTGCAGAACATTATACTTTGAAGGTAGGTTGAATTTTAATAAAAATAATAATAGAACGGACATTTCACAGAAAAGACATTTCATAGAAAGGAAATTTCATTGAAAAGACATTTTATAGATATGACATTTTACAGAATGACTTTCTTTTGTCGTAAAAATAACTTCTTCTAAACTTAAATTAAACGTAAAAATACATTATGAAGAAGAAAATATCAAAAGAAAATTTACAGAACATTTAAAGTACTTTTTAAAGCTTTTCGAGATGCTCCCTATTTTTGCGTATACTCTATTTGAGATCAATAACTGTGCTGGATCAAAACATACAGATTGCAAATAGTAGAATTAGAAAAAACCTATTATACTTTTATTCAATTAATTATACTAATTATTTGCAGACAACTTTTCGTCTATTTATATGGTACTCAATGTGACATAAATTGGGACTTTTGTCTAGGAAATTTCACATCTTTAAAATGTCTTTAATTAAATGTCCTGTCTATTTATAATCGATTTATAGATTGCTTGTCAATAAAATATATCGACACCATTAACCAACAAAATGATAAAGTGGCTAAATGTCTTACTTGATGGCATTTTCATGTTCCTTTTGGTGTGAGAAACAATTTCCAGCGGCGCACCATGACACGGCAGACATCTTGTTTCTCTGGGTCAGATCTTGTGCTAAAGCTGACAACTCAACGTCGTCCTAAACATTAAATTTTTAAATATCTTTCCAACATATTTATCTCAATTTAAGAAGAAACAATAATATTTGGAACTTGAAATTCATTAAGATTGTTCATTCCATTAAGTATAAAATTTTTTATTTTGATTAACGAAACATCTCACAAATTAGTTTCATCCAGGCGGAAAAGTATTGTATTGTATTGTATTGTATTGTACTGTATTGTTTTGTATTGTATTGGGGGGTGATTTTATGATGATTATGTGGAAAGCAAGAAAAATTGGATATCAATAGGAAAGTAATTCTTTTTTTTGGATACTTTTAACCCTAAAATTCATTCATTTTCCCTAATTCAGCGAGAAAAATAATCCGCTCAAACATTTTTAACCTGTGAGGAAAACAAATTATTTAAATGTGGGGATTTTTCGTGAAAATATACCTCCCTGGTTTGGCATTTTTTGTGCCGATATGTTTTTCTAGATTTGATTGTTTTCCTAATTATTTACCTGGATATGCCAGAGTGCAGTACTGTAGTATTCCATCATTTCTAATCTGAGAGGATCCTGGTCGCGTAGAATCCTGAATAGTTCGGCCGCCTCCTTGTACTCCGCCAGCTCAAAATGACATTTACCGCGTAGAGCTAACGCCCAGCTTGACTTTCCGTGATGGTCTGGGATTTCCTCTAAAAGTCTGATTGCCTCCCTGGAGTTGTATTTACTAGCCTCCATGTAAACACGACCGAGGTTACGAAGAAGGCTCATGAGACCGGAAGCACTGGACCTCTGTATCTTGGCGGCCTCGAGGTTAATGTTCGCAAAGCTCAAGGGGTTCTCTTGGCATTTCGGCTTCTCCGGTTTAATCTCAGAGTTTGAGAGAAACTAAAATAAAAGAATTAATTTAATTTTTATCTATATTTTTTAGTCAAACTTAAATAGCAAACCTTTTCTTTAATGTTTTTATTCTCGAGCCCGGGCTTATTTCTCTCGTTTTTCTCCATCTCAGACAATTGTTTTTCTCTTGGCTGTCTTGGCTTAGATTTTCTGGAAGGACTTTTAATTGATATTCTATTTTTACTGCTGTTCTCCTTCACAGACTAAAAAAATAAAGAATAAAATGTTTTTGAATAAGAAATGGATTCACATTGCTGAGCACAATTCATGGTACAACAATTTTAAATGTAAAACTATTTATTAGAAAAAATAAGGCAAAAATTCAGTTTTAAAACCTAGAGGAACAAAGTAATAAAAAACAAAACAATTTAAATATTAAATAAACAAATGAATTATTAAATAACGCACCCTTACAGGGAAGAAAATTGATAAAAACTGGGGGATAATGATTTTTGATGAATTAGGAAAAACTTAAAAATTGGACATCAAAGGCAAGTTTTATCATCTTTTCGATACCTTTTCCCAAAAATTCATTTATTTCCCACTAAAACTAGTTTTTCAAGAAAATATACAGCTTTTAAAACAAAGGAAAAAAATTAAATTGCCCAAAAATTGACCTGAGTTGAACCGAAGAGTCTAGAAGATCTCCGAGTTGGTAAAGTATTCTGAGGAGTCCTAACGTTCCCCCCTGATGGAACTAGAACAGCCGGCTTCTGGTTCTCCGGTTTAGCCGACATAGCAACCCTCTTCAAGAGCTTCGTTTCGTCAGATAGGACGGGGGCGCTTGGAGTAGATGGTCTTAAAATATCATTCTTATGGGTTTCAGAAAAACAAATATGAACAAATATAATTATTGACTAAGTTAAACCTTACAAGACATTTCTAAATATATCGTGTTACTCTGTGACAACAAATAAGCTATATTTCTCCGTTAAAATAATTTTATTTTCTCCAATTCAACAAAACCCTTAAAAAAATAAGGAGTGGACCCTGGACATTGGTGTACTGTACACTTACCTAGATGAAAGAGGCATCGGACTGACAGGAAGAGAGGGTTTCCGTTTAACCACTGTTATAACAGGAGAGAGAATTGCTATCTGAGGAGAGGAGAACTCGAGGATTCTCGCGGTAATTCCGAACGGTAGAGCTGGACTTTGGTTGCACTCAAGGGTTCCAAAAGTTGGACTATATGTTCCGGACCCTACTCCTACTCCTCCTGTTCTAAACCTCTTCAGCTTAGGTCTATAAAAAGATAGACTGATACATTGTAAATATATATACTCTTACATTCATATTAAAAATCAATTAAGGAGAATAAAAAAGGAATTTGATTTTTCTTGCCAACAAAGAAAAATAGACCTAAAAATAGGAAATAAAAATAAAAGGGCTAAAGGTCCCATTTAAAAGTAAAATAAATCTTATAAAATTTAGTTTTTTAAATTTTAAAGTTTTCTTACACGTTGGCAAAAAAGTAATATACTGAGAAAAGGATTTGTGTTCTTACTGTTAATTCGGCAATTAGGGAAGCATTTTTAATATTACGGAGACCTTTTTTTGGGCTGAGGGGAGAACGGGGGAGGATAAAATATTCAAAAGATTCGACAGCTTACGAATATGTACCTGAGTGGTGGAGGCATGTTTCCGCAATTTTTGGATAAGTCTAGATCCGAGATATTATTCAGTAGAGATATACCGGATATATGAGTTCCAACCACTCCACCACTCATTGGAGTAGATACACTGTTCCAGTAGAGTAAAGGAGTCTCCATTAGATTCTGCCGTGGAGTACCCAGGTTCAGGGAGGAGTCGTTCACATTTATTGTGGGAATATTCATGGGAGTAGCATTCTGCTGGGGAGTTGCAGAGAAGGATAGAGGGGTTGGATGGAAGCTTGGAGTATCAACAAAAGATTGTGGGGCTGAGGAGAAGGGATGGTGTGGGGTAGAAGTTAATTGTTGAGGAGTAGAAAGTATCTGTTGGGGAGTAGCTAGTATCTGTTGAGGGGGTGCTAGTATCTGTTGAGGAGTAGCTGACAACTGTTGAGGAGTTGCAGACATTTGTTGTGGAGTAGAGGGTATCTGGGGCTGCTGGAGAGTTTGGAAGATTTTCTGCTGAATCCCGGGAGATAAACCCTGGGATTCAGGAACACTCTCAGGTTTAAATTCTAGGTTGGAATTCACTAAATTAACTAGAGGATTCACTCCCTGGCAGTAGGAGAAGTTATCAACATGATCTAGATCGAACATTTTATCCGGAGAAATAAACTCCCCCTTGTTGCAAACAGCCTCGTATGAACTCCATAGGAACGGATTTAGTCGGAGACTTTTCTTGTCAGCGTCAATAGCTAGAAACAAACATGATTTAGTAAAATGCGGGAAATCTTTGCTGTCCAGTTCTGGAATAGTTTGCTACTTAATAGCTCGATCTTTTTCCAAGTGGCTAAAATTGCCCAAAATAAACAGAAAATATTGTTGCTCTTTGCACGGCCTTTGACAAATCAGAGATCATTAACTACGTTGAAAGCAATCACAATCAAACTTTGAAAAAAAAAACAGACTGTCACTAAGGAATAAGCAATAAAAGAACAAATTTGGCTAATTTTGCTTCAATTAGAAAAGTAAAAAAAAAACGGGAAGCAAGATGGATCTAATTATTATAAAAGAAAGTACAGATCCGGATCCGCATCAAATGTAATGGTTCCAAAGTAATTTTTTCTGCAAAATACATCATAAAAGTCTACACATAAACTTATACAAGGATTGAATTTTCACCTTTATTTCTACGTTCTGTTCTATCGTATATGCCACTAAGCAACTGAAGAGCGAATGATGACTTATCTCCGAACTCTGAGGTGAAGTCATCCAGATTTAACTAACAAGTATAATTCATATTCATTGTAAATCGAAATATTTCACACGTGCTCTTTCAAAGATTGTTGCATTCCGACTTGATCAATGTTTCTTCCCATAGAGATCGAGATGGGAATAGGAACCAACCAATACCCCCCCCCCATTCAATAATATTCCGCCAACAACAAGTGAAGATTTACCTCTCTTCTAGGATCTAGGTTTCCATTTAGAATATTCTCTGCCTCGAAATCTTTTTCCAGGTCTACCGCGCACTTGGCGAACAGATACTTGGTGGACGAGGTTCTCAATCCCTGAGCCTGGAACAACAAGCAGATTAGTATTCTGAGAAAAAGAATCTCCTCCCCCCTGTGCAGTGCATTGGGTAAAAATTGCCAACTTTTAAACCTTTACACTGTTTTATTTTATTTTATTTAAGATTACTTAAGGTCGCAACTTCTAGTATCTATTCCCTGATTTTCATTAGATTCAATACTTTACGCAAGGCAAAGAGGAACAATATCTTTATTAATGCAAATTATCTCAATTTTATTAGAGGAGGCAACAAAAAATAAAAATAAAAAATATCAATAATCCTTCATCATTAATGACTCAAAAATGGTGAAGTAGTATGCAAAGAATATACCTGCAAGATATGAAAGGCCTGATCTACCTTTCCCGCTCTATAGTAGCAGGTTGCTACAAGGTAGAGACACTCGTCCGAACCAGTCTCAGCAAACAATCTTATCAATTAATAAATGAAGTTTATCAAACCATTTCGAACACTACGGCATTTGATCTCACGATAAAAGATGCCGAGTTCCTTAATCTATGGTGAATGAAGACGGTGGTATATTTTTAAACCTACGCAAATCCGCTGTACTACACATCCGACCTACTAGCACGTGGTTTTACAGCTTCTATATGGACTTGTGGCCGCAGCACCCGGCCCCCTAGCCTGTCCTAGCCGCGGCGCTCAGCCCCATAGCCAGTCCTTGCCGCAGAACTCGGTCCAGAAATGGTCTTAACCTAACCTAACCCTCAAATAATACAAAAATAAACAGCTGGCGGAGGTCCCCACTAAAACTAGTTTTTCAAGAAAATATACAGTTTCCTTAAAGATTAGAACAGGACTGAAAATTGCGAATTTTCTTATTACAATTTTGCCAATTTTCTGTGATTCTGTGATTCAATCTTTATAAAATTTTAGATTTCGATAGAAATAATTCCTAACCTAACCCTCAAATAATACAAAAATAAACAGCTGGCGGAGGTCCGATATTGCAGTAGGTCGGAAAGTTAGAAGGTCAGAAGTTCAGTAGGGGGGATGTTGCGTATAGACGATGTAACATTTACGTGAAGACCCACCCAATTGTAGACAAATTGTGGGGAAAATTGCGCGAAACCAATTTTTTTTGGCCCCACACTAGGATGGGCAGGGAGAGAGCAAAGTTGTTAGAAATGTTGGTTCTTGATGTACTTTAGTTCAAAGGATGGAAAATGATATATATATAAGGGGAAGGAGACTACGGCCCGCCCCCTAAGGAATCTATCCCTTTACCCCCCCCCCCCCCATGTATACGGCCTTGCAGGACGTCTATGTTTCATTTGAAAAACGCTATGGGGCAAATTTTATTGTAAATAAAAATACAGTTTTAAACAGCGATTGCAAAGGCCCAACCCCAGTCCGCACTGATCAAAAATTCCAATCAATGAATGATCTGTAATTAGCTCTCGTTTTTAATGTACAAGACCTCGATTTCAACTATTTTTCAGCAAAATTAATCATATTTATTTTACATTATTTCAGGGCTAGGAAGTTGAGACATTTTTGTGTTACACGCTACGGTTAGAATAGGCTCTGAGGGCCAAGCGCGCCGTGGATAAGACAGACAGGGGATCGAGCTCCGCGGATGGGAAAGACTAGGGGATCAAGCGCCGAGGATAAGATAGGTTAGGGGGCTGCACATCTTCAACACTATCCATGTGTCAAATTTGAAATGAATGTACAAAATTGATAGAAGAGAGGAGTATGTAAAGCGCACGGAAGTAAATTACCGATATCGCTTTTGGTTACCGTGTTTTAAAGGTTTAGAGTGTATCGACTAGTGTAGTGCAGGTACGTACTTAGTACTTACAATTTAAGATGTTTGCGAATTGTGAGAAGTATAAATTCTAACCTTTCCGCGAGAAAAGTAGCATCGTTGTATGCGTAGTGGTTCAAACAATGCCAGATAGCAGTTTCTACTGGTTCCTGAACCAACATTTTGTTCAATTATTCCTCATCTGAAACTATTAAATAAAAACACAAATTAGAGAATTGAAATATTATACTTCTGAATCTAATAAACTATTATAAAGACAAATTCCAACTTTAAAAATAAATAATTATTACTATAAGGTAATATTATGAAAATTTGTAAGAAAATGAAAGTAACGATAACACTGAATATATAAGTTATTAAACGAGAGCTTCCTCAAAGAAAAGATTACGGTTAGAACTAAGAGGTGAACCCAAAACGTTTCTACTTAAACTCTATCTCATTTTGCTGTACATTTTTAAACTAAAATTGCCCCCAAAGACTAAATATTGGAAAATAATCAGAAAATAGGGGAAAATTGACTTTCTTCCGAGTGTTAGATGAGATTGGACTGACGAGCGCAGAGCTGCAACAATAGTTTTAAGCGGAGGGGGGGAAGAATCCAAATTCAAAACCGAAGACGATCTCAATTTATTCTAAAACATGGTGACATATCAATAGGACTAAGGATCAATTCGATCAATTGAACTATCGTTTGTTTGGAATTATGTTTATTTGGAATATTAGTCCTATAGTCCTATTGAAAATCTTACCTGTAATCCCCTAAAGCAAAAACCCTGTATAAACTTTTTTCTGTATTTTGATAACATTTTCATAATTTGTTAGCCAATTTTGTTGTGTAACAACAAAAAATAATCTCGTTTTTTATTGACTCGCCCCATGGCGTGCAACTAAGGGAGGGCAAAGAGGAAAAGCACCCCGGTCTAGCCTGATAAAGTGGGGATAATTCCTTCCCCTGTCCCTTAAGAAGGCGCCCCCGATCCACATGTGTGGGGGGGGGGCAAGAAGTCCTTAACAGGGGTGCATCCAGTTCCAAAAATAGTAAATTTTCTTAAACTCAAATTCAAAGAGAATAGAATATATATTAGAAGGGAATTTACTAGAAAAAACTGCATATAATTTGTGAACATTTACATTTGTACACTTTGAACTCCCTTTCAGGCTGAAAGGGACTAAACAAATTCATACCTAGAGATTCACTAAATTCCCCTCATATATATTCTATTCTCTAATTTTGCTCTTCCACCATAACATTTTTCAATATTTAAGCTTAATTCTTTTTATTTTTCCCCCTTTCTTTTCAAAATGCCCCCAAGGATTTTTCAAATTATTCACACCCATTCATCTAATATTTAAATTGCCCCACCAGACTTAAATTTGCCCCCTTTTTTCAACATTTGTAACCCTTAGTGTTTTAGAATGCCACAAAATAGTTTTAATTTGCACCTAAATCTTTTTATCTCAAATATTTTATGAATACAACTAACTTAAGAATTGACATCCTATCTAAAAAATGAGAGATCACTGAACCATGGGTAGAAAATCTAAAAACTCTTGAATTGTTGTTTTTCTAAATTACACTCTAATATATATGTTTTGGGACCAACGAGGTTATAGTATATAGAGTGATGATTTACGCTTATCCTTTACTAATTGTACAGGCCATGTACTTCACTTCCAAAGGTCAATCTGTATAATTCAGTTCTCGGGGGGTGATTTCTGAAATTATTTAAAGGGATAGTTTGTTTTCTATTTAACTATAGAAATCCTCTACACCTTTATCGTATGCAGGATTACTTTTTCACAAGAAGACTTGCATTTACAGTCTTTTACGAGCAATATTTAATCGTTAATAAACGGTTATGAGATAACCGAGTAAAAAAGACACAAAACCTCCCCATACACTTGTACTCCGAAAGCGTGCTGCATACTTGATGTTTGTACTGTATTCACTGTATGAATATCTTGATATCCTTTATCAGTAAACTGTCCTAAGTATACACTTGGGCTAATAAATACGGAGAGGTAGCTAAGATCCAGCTCTCCTGTTTGGGTACTGTAAGGGTAATTTGAAGGATTTCAAGTAATCCTCCATGCAAAGGTGGCAATGTTCGATTTACACAGACACCCTTACAACCTTTATCTGATCAGAAATGTTGAAGAAATCGTCGTTTCTGTGAGCTTCTCTATTGCTTCAGATTAACAAGGAATGCGCAAGTCACTTTCGCAGAGAAACTACAAATAAAAATGAACAATTTAAAGAGACAAAACATCGATGTATATTCCATAATAGATCAGAAAAAAGTTCCAAGGGTGCCGTTGTAAATCAGGCATTGCCATCTTTGCATAGAGGGTCACTTGAAATTACGCTTATATAGTCTCTTTAAAAGATATTATCTAAAATTGAATCACTTTGGATAATCTGAACCCTTTTTAAAGATAATATTTAGGGAGGTAAATAAAACTTATGGGGCCGGATGTAAGTGAAGCTTGAAATATAATAAAACAGTCATTTATTAAAATAAAGGAGCAAATTCAGCAACATCAAACCTAACAGGAAATACAGAAATCATAAATAATCTAACATATTGATAATTAGATCGAGAACTTTCATGATAGATCACAGTGTTACAATATTATTTATTTAAAAGGGACAGTTCCGGAATTTCAAAAGTGAGTCCAGGTAAAAAGAAGTTAGATATGAAGGAAATGGTGTTGACAAGAGCAAACACTTGACGAAATTCGAAAACTTTCCCTTTTTCTGGTTACAACGTTTTCAGAAAATATCACATCAACACAAAAATCAGGGTTAACGTCCTTAGTTTTACTCAATCGATCAATCAATCTTGACTGCGGCGTATATTTTTCTGATAAAGATGTAAGCTGCGTAGAATCCAATTGTCCCTGTCAGTAGCCTAAAATTTTGATCTATTTTAATGACATATTTCATATTGCAGTGCAAATCAAAATAAAATGGTGAAGTTATAGAATGTTTTTGAACAGATCAAACTAAATTAGTTTTACTTTAAGTTGATTTTGAAAGAAAAAAGTAACGTAGTATTTTAATCAGTGCTCAACATATTTCATTTTCAATTAATAACCATATTCCCTCTTACAACTAAAATGCTTGTTAAATCGAGACTTTCTAGGTATATTCTATGGAGACTTATTTCATTTGTTTCAAAATTAAACTTTTACAATGTATTTGTTAAAATATTCATCTGGGATTCTTTATTAATATTATTAAATGAAAATCGCACTCTTTCTTGAAGATAAAAATGGCTTTGCTTGAAAAAGGGGGGAAGTAGTTTAAATATGTTTCGGACGTTTAAATCTGACTTACCAGAAAGTGATAACCATGATGATTGTGTATGAGAAATAAAGAAGGGTTGGAACGAACTCGTCTATCTCCAGTTTAGTGAAGAAGTAGAAGATACTGTACGCGGCAACGTACACGGCAGATCCTCCAGATACGATGAACGATCTAAAATGAGATTTTTTTAATTGGAAATTCTTTTCGTCCTTACTTAGCAATTAGCTCAAGACCCCAGCGTTGCCCAGGGTACTCATAGTTAGTTGGAGGAGGGGGGGGGGGAGATAAATGACTTTTCGAAAACATAACCACTGAAGGAAATCTCTTTGACAGATAAAAAAATCTAATTTTTCAATGTTTAAGTTTACGTCAAGATTTAAAAAGAGAAATAAAATTACCTCCACCACCAACGATAATCCTCTCCGCAGAGCTGGAAATAAACCATCACGATCGAGATCTGTGAGCAGGAGATCGCAAGGATGACAAACACGAGGAACAGGAACCCGAAGAGGTAGTAGAACTGGTTCTCATAGATCGCGGAGAAGATGAAGAAGAGTTCAATGAAGCAGGCTCCGAACGGAAGGATTCCAGCCATGAGGGTGCAGACCACTGGGTGCATGTACCATACTTGAGTGGGAACCTAAAATGTACATTTGTAAGTTATTTTCCGAATTTACAAGAACTATTAAATACAAGAATGACTAATTTATTTGTTACGGGATTCGATAATTGCATGTAAGTTTTGAGAACAACAATTATAACAGTATTTATTCATCGACAAATTTAACGTTGATACGGATCCTATAATAGGGAATCCTCACAAATTTTAACGAATCCCGAAGCTAAGCTCTGTAAATACCTGTCTTGGTATCTGGTTAGTCCTGACTGGATGTTCGTAGGGTTGTTTTCTGTATCCGAAGAAATATCCAAGGAAGACCAGAGGTAGGGAGATGCAGAACCACATGGAGCCGACACTAAGCATGGTGGTGAAGGGTATTGCTCCACTTGAGTGTTTGCTCCAGATGAAGAAGTTGATGAAAACTCCGACACCAAGTACTATTCCAGGATACAGGGTAGCGGTCAGCAGGGCAGCAGCCTAAACACAGGTACAAATTATACTCATCTCACAAATCCTTCAAAAAGATGCAACAAGACATCGGGGGTCGGGGCGAAGGGCAATAATCCCCATGGATACGCCACGCCCCTCTAGGGAGTGGTTTAGGAGAGAGTTTATACTACGAGGATTTTAAGTCAACCTTCTCTATAAAAGTCTGTTAAAACATTAAATTAAACACCTCATAACAGAGAAATAAAATGCCCTAGGGGACATAAAGTCACTTTAAAACACTTGTTTTAAAAAACTTATGCTTAAAAAACAAATTTGTTTTAAATATTATCCTCTTTTTTGTGCTTTATATGATATTAAGTGAAAAATACTATGATTTTGTTGAAGACTGTATTTCTTTGAGTACGAGTGTTATAGGCAATGAATACAGTTTAACGATTTGTAAATCAAGCAATAACGGCATATATCAGGGAACAAACAGAAATTGAAGTAAACTTCAGCATATACTGCACCACTTAGGAGGAGGAGGGGATGGAACAGGAAATATGTTATACGTAATAAATATATAAAGTGAAGGGAGGGGGGTGGGGGTGTAACAGTTAAATTTTCAAATAAGACCACAACCCGGGGGGGGGGGGGATTATTAATGAAAATGCAAGCAATTAAATCAATTAAAGAAATTTCCTGGAGATGGCAACAAAAAAAATGTGGGAAATTTTCATAATTTTTTTACCTTCCATTCTTTCCCCTTGATAGTTTTGTACAATCTGCCCGAGTAATATCCTGCAACAAGTCCCATGAACTCGTAAAGGAATATCGCCGCGGTGAGAAGAGCTCCCCTCGAGGCAGGGCTCAACATCCCGAGCATAGCGAAGAATATCGTGATAGCGAGCATCAGGAATATCTGGATACCAGAACCAATCACAGCAGCAAACAGTCTTAATAATAAAAAATCTATTTGATATAAATTATAATAATTGATTGGGAAGAAACCCGACATGGAACCCCTCGAACCGACATCATGATTGAGCACATATTGAAACTGTTTTTATGCATGATAAATATGGATATGGATATGGATAAATATTCTTGCATCACAATTGTTCTCCTGGTACATGTTAAATTAGGTTTGTAAAAACTATATAGTTCTCTGAGTACCTGTTGAAGTAGGCTGGTATAAACTATATAGTTCTCTGAGTACACGTTACGGAAGGGTGGTCTGAACTATATAGTTCTCTGGGTACCTGTAGGAGAAGGGTGGTCTGAAATATGAAGTTCTCTGGGTACCTGTTAGAGAAGGGTGGTCTGAAATATAAAGTTCTCCGGGTACCTGTTAGAGTAGGGTTGTCTGAAATATGAAGTTCTCTGAGTACATGATAGAGAAAGATGGCCTTAACTATATAGTTCTCTGGGTACCTGTTAGAGAAGGGTCTGAACTGTATATTTCTCTGGGTACCTGTTAGAGAAGGGTCTGAACTATATAGTTCTCTGGGTACCTGTTGGAGAAGGGTGGTCTGACATATAAAGTTCCCAGGGTACCTGTTAGAGTAGGGTGGTCTGAAATATAAAGTTCTCTGGGTACCTGTTAGAGAAGGGTGGTCTGAAATATAAAGTTCTCAGGGTACCAGTAAAAGAATAGTGGTCTGAACTATCTAGTTATCTGAGTACGTGATAGAGAAGGGTGGTCCGAACTATAGTTATCTGGGTACCTGTAAAAGAAGGGTGGTCTGAACTATGCAGTTCTCTGAGTACGTGATAGAGAAGGGTCTGAACTATATAGTTCTCTGGGTACCTGATAGAGTAGGGTGGTCTAAAATATGAAGTTCTCTGGGCACCTGTTAGAGTAGGGTGGTCTAAAATATGAAGTTCTCTGGGTACCTGTTGAAGGCTGGTCTGAACTTTCATGTTCTTTAGGTACCTGTTAGAGTAGGGTGGTCTGAACACATCTCCGTGAACAAGTTTCCATCCAGTTTCCTCAATACTTTCCTCCAACTCTTCGTCTGCTAGGTTGTACTAGAAATAACATATTACACTAACTCCCAAAAAGCGAAGATAAAAGAATTTAATGGAATTTTGTATCTACTCAAAAAAATGTGATATTTTGACAACTTAAGTTATTTTCTGACAGATCATGTTTATTTTTACAGGTTGCTTTATATTTTGACAGTTTAAGTCATAAGAAATAAGGTTAACTAGTTATATTTTGTCAGTTATATTCTGAAATTGAAACTAGACCAAATTGTTAGTCTTTTCATTCTTTAACGCTTTTAATTTTCCAGAATTAAGCCCTGAACCTCTCCAAGTGAGTGTATTTTTCCGATAAAAAGATTTATCGTGTGAAAAGAAATTAACAAAGAATAAAAAATCCAGAAACAAAATGGATGGAAAACTAATTTTTCGCAAGCAATCATTATAAAAATGTTTTGCTTTGAAACAGAGAAACTTCACTGAACAGTAGGCCTAGGGATATCAAATCAAATCAATAATTTTTCCTTATATATAATAGGTGTGTTTAAGAGGAGCGGCCAGAAATATAAAGTTTTTATTATGTTTTAATAGAGGAAATGTTAAATAATTATTGGGTACAGAAATTAAAAAAAGGTGAAAAACTTGTTGGTCGATGTCAAACTTTTCATTTTTCCCAGGGAGGGGGGGGGGGGAGATTATTCAAAATATGTAGTACCACTGAACCATTTAAAATCATTGAGATTTCTCCTGACCTTAGCAATATCCCTCCTGAGAGTTCTGATGATGATCATGGTGATTATACCGGAGAGGAAGAAGACCACGACCACGCTGTTGATGATGGAGAACCAGTGGATCTGAGTATCTGCCATCTCTAGGTATATATCCCACCTGGAGGCCCACTTTACATCAGACTCCTTCCAGGATACCTGACAACATAAATTCAAGAAATAAAAAGATCCCTTTACAAGATTTAATTAAGGAATTGTAAATTCATTTTTATTGCGGTGACACTAACAATCCTTATTTAAAAATCATGACAAAAAAAAGAATGCAACTTTTTAAACAGATCAATGTGGGTTTCCCATTGCTAAAATCGACCAACTGTTAATAAGTAAAATTACCGAATATGTGAAGTAAATTTTGTTCTCTCCGTCAGGAAGGATTTGCTGTGGTTGTGGCTCCGATATTGAGCAAGTGTTATCATCTAAAAACATAAACAAATAAAACGTTTATGTTAAAAATGAAAATTAATTTTAAAAAGATGATTAATTTGATGAAGGTTAGTTCCGAAGAACATATTTTAAAAGACATCTTTAGAATTTAGGGAATGTAAGGCTCAATTTCTAGGGCCGAGCGCTGCGGCCAATATATAAAATGTGATTATTTAAGTTTTTAGGTTAATTCCTGCTTGCGTGATGTAAATTCAATCATGCAACCTCGTGCACACTTTTGTATGGGAGCCGGTGGGGGGAGAGAGATCGGAAACTGGAAAATATTCTCACCGTTAATCTTAACACTGCTAGAGTCCAAGCTCTGTGTCTCAATGAGAAAGCCAACAACACGGTAGAGATTGTTCTCAATATCCTTGTGATATCTGAGGGAGAACTTGAGATGATTGTTAAGATAACTCTTCCCGTCCTTAGCGAACCCCAGCCTATATCCAGGTTCGTACTGAACCTCCAGGGTGTCGGGGAGCTCGAACCTGGTGGCACAAGGTAGGTTATCCATGATGAGATGAACGAAGTACTCGTGTTGGATCCTGTAGTCAGCCTCCTTACTCATATCACCCTTCCACACCTTGTCGGTGCACAGGACGGAGCACTCAGAGTTCTTGTTCATCCGGATATCATACGGAGAGTTAACAATCCTCTCCCCCCGGAGAATCTGTCCGAGGTTCTCGGAGTAGTAGGTCACAACATCCTATACTCAGGGTTAAAGTGAATAATCAGGATTTTCTTCTAGTACTTTTTAACCAGAAGACAAAAGTTTTCTTAGAAATTGAACAATAATGCGTCTCACTTATCATCGCAAGGGTTTTTTTACGAGTGGTCAGGAAAAAATGTTGGACCCACATTAAAAAACATCATCAAAATATAAGGAGAAAAATTCAGAAATTTTTATCCTCAGTCATTCACTCAGAAATAAAAGGAAAACTCTTAATTTTTGGTGAATGAACAAAATGCAAGGTGTAGATAAAATTTTAAAATCATCGACATTGATGAGACAACGATTAAAGATATTTGAATTCACTAATTTCCTTGTCTTTGCAGAACTCCAACGAATAATACTCGAAGGGTAACTGAGTCTGACTACTCGTCATCTTCACAGCTCTGACATCTATCCTGTCCCCTTCCTTGAAATCTGTAGGAGCTACTCCGGGTACATAGAAACCCCTGGAGGATTGTACTCCGAGGTTGAGTAGGAGAACCAACCTCAACATTCTCGACCTCGGCTCCATTATCTACTCAACCTGTGTCTGGAGCACTAACATCTGTAATGATTGAACAGGTGTCTTTAGAAGCTACTTTAAGCTTTCTCATTATGACAAAAAATAAAATCTTAAAGTCAATTTTAAATTTAAGTTCTCTTTCATCAACTTTGATATCAAAACATCTGGAGTAAAATCGGTATTTCCTAAAGAACGATTTTTGGACCCCCCCCTCAAAAANGGGGGGGGTCCAAAAAAAATTTTCTAGGACAGACCCGTTTAATCTTAAAGTTAAAAAAGCAAAGCTGACATTTCGACACTTGCTAAAGATTAAAAAAAAAAATTTCTTTATGCCGCCTTTTTGTTCACTCTATCAGAGTTCTAAGTATATTTGTTTATATAACATATTGTTTATTGATATATTATAATACCTACCTATTCATGTTCAACAAACTCTATTACCACACAGAATAACGATTAAATTAATATCAAAGAAAAATAGAAATTAGGAAATCAGCTAATAAAAAAAAACGAACAAGACCCGCCGTTTGGACACGCTGGGATTTTCGTATCATTTCTAGAAATAATTACCAGCCGACGAATTACTGAATATATAAACCCCAATCAGAGGCGCAACTAGGACTTTTGCTAGGGGGGGGGTCCCCCCCCCTCTCAGGTGCTAGGGGAGGGCGCGCTCCCGGCCGCCCACCCCCCTAGTTGCGCCTCTGACCCCAATACACAAGATAATTTCTTTAGGAAATCAGATCAGAGAGAAATTTACGTTTAATTGTTGACGTAGGTAGATGCGCATGAGTCCCGGGAATGCCACGTTAGCATATGAATATGTCGTCTTTTTTATTATCTTCATCTTCGCCGTCCTACTCATCTTCATCCTATCATTCCCTACCCATCTTTATCTTACCCTTCCCTATTCATCTTCATCCTACCCTTCCCTACCCAACTTCTTCCTACCCTTCCCCACTCATCTTCATCCTATCCTTCCCTACTCATCTTCATCCTAACCTTCCCTACTAATCTCCATCCTACCCCTCCCTACTCATCTTCATCCTACCCTTCCCTACTCATCTTCATCCTACTTTTCTCTACTCATCTTCATCCTAATCTTCCCTACTAATCTTCATCCTAACCTTCCCTACTCATCTTCATCTTACCCTTCCCTTCTCATCATTATCCTTCCATTAACTTGTATCAAGTTACACCTCCAAAAGTCTTGGCTATTAAAATTTTAAATCGAAACTTTATTGCTTTTGTTAAAAGATCTAAAACAATATCAAAATTCAAAACATTCATTCGTTGAATAAATCCTTATATTTCTCTATAAAATTCATCAAGATATGTTGATTCCTCAACTCTGCACAAGAAGAAAAGGGCAACAAATTTTGTTAATTTTTTGTTTTACCTGCAACAATCATCAGAGGTCCTGCCTTTGTTTGGCCGGCAGATAATGGAATGAAGGTTCGGAATTTCAGCTGCAGATAAATATATGTATCCAGTAGTTTAAGTCCAAGCTTTAGTTCATTTCGGGAAAAACATGAACCAGTGAGAATCTGAGACAATCCCACTGCTACTTGTTCCTCCAGAACTAGGATGAATCAATGAAGGTTATGTAACTATCAATTATGATCGATGAAAAAATCGTTGAAAGTTTATAAAAATTGGATTTACGGCACTAGCAGTCACAAAATTGCCAAAAAATCTGTAATAGTTTTATCATAAAAATAGGCGGGGGAGGGGAACTGAAGTCGACATTTAAAAACATTAAAATATATTTAAAAAATGCATGCAATTTTATCCGAAAAAAATAATGAAATTTACCGTTTTTTAAAACCCGTCCGTTTTCGTTTTCTTTTCAACAGTTGATTTTTTTTAAAAAAGACTATTCCGTTTCGTTGGCGATATAAAAATTTAACGGTTTTTGCAGTTCCTAAACGGACTTTTCCGTTAATTTTAGAAAACCTCAGTTTCGTTAACAGAGCTTTACACAGCCATAGATCAATTTTGAGAATTGTGTTCCATCTGTGAAGGTTATGTAACTGTGATATTCATGTACACAATATCTACAGTACATAACCCAGACAGACAAAACTAATACCATTTACAAGGACAAGAAAGTACACTGATTTATGAAGATACAGCCTCAAAGCTGGGTTAAATCTACGATATTTAGCAGTGTCTGGTCTAGTCATGATATAATACAGGACTTTAGGATACACCACCAACAGGTATAAATATATGTTTTTAAACACCAAGATCATGTTGAAGAGTTCTGTAAGAGATTGGTGGTATTGGTTCAGTTTTGAAAGAACATGGACCAGTGAGAATACAATACAATCCCACTGCTACTTGTTCCTCTAGAACAAGGATTAAACGATCGTGATTTTGTTTTGTTTCTTCTCTGAAGATTTTCTTGGAGAATTGTGTTCCATCTGTAAAGGTTATGCAACTGTGATATTCGTGTACACAATATATACAGTACATAACCCAGACAGACAAAACTAATACCATTTAAAAGGACTGATACACTGATTTATAAAGATACCGGATCGAATCTGGGTTAAATCTTCCATATTTAGCAGTGTCTGCTCTAGTCATGATATAACACAGTACTATAGGATACACCACTACACAGGATAGATATGTGTTACTATAAATATTTAGATATTGTTGATGAGTTTTGTAAAAGATTGAAGATATTGGTTTAGTTTGGGAAGAACATGAACCAGTGAGAATACATTACAATGCCACTGCTACTTGTTCCTCCAGAACTAGGATAAATAGACAAAATAGCTCAAATCTATAGATTAAGTTTGTCTCCAGAATTAGGATAAAAATGTTTTTTTTTAAAGAATCATGTTCCATCTGTGAAGGTTATGAAACTGTGATATTCATATAAACAATATCTACAGTACATAACCCAGACAGACAAAATATTAATAATGAATATTAAGAATGAGCGTATACTGTAGGATCAAAGCTGGGTTATAATAGAATATAATATAATCCAAATGCTACTTGTTCCTCCAAAACTATTTAGTTCATATATAAAATATCAAATTTCATCTGTGAAATGTAACTGTGATATTTGTGTTCACAATATCTACAGTACATAAACCAAACAGACAAAATGGTTCTACGCTGATTTTAAAAAAATACAGGCTCAATGCTGTGTTAAATCTATCATATTTAGCAGTGTCTGCTCTAGTCATGATATAATACAAGACTATAGTAGATACCACTAGACAGGATAGATATAAATGCCATATGACTTTTAAGATTTTGTTGAAGAGTTATGTAAAATATTGAAGATATTGGTCTACAGGACTATAGGATACATCACTAGACAGGATAGATATGTTGTTTCTTAATCTGTATAGATGATTAAATCAGGACTTGTAGAATAACTATAAGCTGTAGACGAGGTTTAGTTTGGGAAGAACATGAACCAGTGAGAATACAATACAATCCCACTGCTGCTTGTTCCTCCAGAACTAGGATGGACAGACAAAATATAGCAAATCTGTAGATTAGGTTTGGATAAAATAGTTTTTTTTAGAGAATCATGTTCCATCTGTGAAGGTTATTTAACTGTGATATTCATGTACACAATATCTACAGTACATAACCCAGACAGACAAAACTACCATTAATAAAATGAGAGTTATACATTGAATTATAAAAATACTGTAGGATCAAAACTGGGTTAAATCTACCATATTTAGCAGTGTCTGCTCTAGTCATGATATAATACAGAACTAAAGGAAACACCACTAGACAGGATAGATATAAATGCCATATGAATTTTAAGATTTTGTTGAAAAGTTATGTAAAATATTGAAGATATTGGTTTCAGTTTTGAAAGAACATGAACCAGTGAGAATACATTAAAATCCCTCTGCAACTTGTTCCTCCAGAACTAGGATAAAAAGTTTTAATTTTTGAGAATTGTGTTTCATCTGTGAAGGTTATGAAACTGTGATATTCATGTACACAATATCTACAGTACATAACCCAGACAGACAAAACTGTATTTAATAAGAATGGAAGTTGTACACTGATTTACAAAGATACTGGAATATTGCTGGATTAAATCTACCATATTTAGCAGTGTCTGCTCTAGTCATGATATAATACAGGACTATGGTAGACACCACTAGACAGGATAGATATTTTGTTACTCAGGACTTGTTAATTCGAATTTGAAGATATTGTTTTAGTTTGGGAAGAACATGAACCAGTGAGAATATATTACAATCTGCACTGATACTTGTTCCTCCAGAACTTATGTATGTGGGATATAAAAGTTAATAACAGATTGTTTAGAATTGTAGATTAGGTGTGTTCATCATTTTAACAATAAACAAGAAATCAGTTTAAGGAGAACAAAACCCAGTGATATGAAGATAATACAATATTACTGAGGTAAGGTCATCCTAAACTAGTTACAAGTGTTATTGTCAAACTTGACAGTACAAATTCATCTGTACAGGTCATGCAACTATGATATTCATGTACACAAACGGACAAAATAATTTTATGAAGATACAGGCTGGATTAAAATTTACCATATTTAGTAGTGTCTGCTCTAGTCATGATATAATACAGGACTATAGGATACACCACTAAACAGGATAAATATATGTTACTAAAACTATTAAGATCTTGATGACAAGTTCTGTGGAAGATAAACAACATTGGTTTAGTTTCGAAAGAACATGAACCAGTGAGAATATAATACAATCCCACTGCTACTTGTTCCTCCAGAACTAGGATTTAAAAGAATAGTGTTCTGTGAAGGTTATGAAACTGTGATATTCATTTACACAATATCTACAGTTCATAACCTAGACTGACAAAAAAGATTTCAAATCTGTTAATCCTTGTTTTTGCATAATTAATGTAAATTTTCTGTTTCATTTATCATATTAATATAACTGTAGTTTCAATCTACCATATTTAGCAGTGTCTGCTCTAGTCATGATATAATACAGGACTAAAGGAAACACCACTAGACAGGATAGATATAAATGATATATGACTAATAA